TGCGCCGGGCAGACCGTGCAGACACTTCAAGACGGAAAGAGCGAGGAAGGAAAGCGAAGGCGCGAGTGAGAGGAAGATGGAGGAAACGGATCGGGAGGGTAACTGAGTGCGAGAGACGGAAACATCGTCATCAAGAATCGTATTTCCTTTCGGAAACTACCCTGACCTTCCCCGTATCTATTGCCCCCTCCCTTTTCAAACTACTGCGAGCTTTCGACGTGCTATATGGTTTCGATATTTTCTCTTTTCTTTCCAACGCAATGCTGCGCTTTTCGTTTTATTTAATTTTGTTTCTGTTTTTTTTTCGAACTTGTATTTTCCGTAGCTCCACCCAGAAGAACTTTCAAGTTTACGCATACTTTCTTCTTCGGTGCTGGCCAGGGCTGCTTTCGATCGAAAACTTTTGCCAGGAATTTCGTTCTTTTTCTTATCCGAGACTCCGTACGCATAGACACGTAGCATTATATATCACACCTAGAAGGGATTGATCAAGGAATCAATGAATATTTTAGGTGAGTGATTGATTTGAGTTGTGTCGGGGTGAACGCGTGAAAAACAAAACTTTACAAAATCTTAAAATTATTATGCCTGACTATTTTGTATTTTGACTATTATATAAAATTATTATGGTGCACATGACGACAAGAAGAACAACTTCGAAGACTTTTAGTATGCAGTTCAATTAGTACTGCAATACCAATGAACTGGTAGAAAAAGTAAATAAGATGGTAACAAAAACAATTCAAATTGATCAAAGAGTCCAATGATTAAGCAAGTATCCATGGAATAAATTCTGGAAAAATTAAATATAATTTTTATATAAATAATTAGATTCAGTAACACATGATTCTCTGTAAAATTTCTAAGCAAATACACAATTACATAAAGCTCGAATTCACATAATACATTAGAAATGTATATCGTTCCAAAAATTGAACAAGGACTCTATCAAATGCATACCCTAAAATAGTATATTATATACTACTTTTATATCCCGTATACTATTTTTCATATCCCCTGGCCCGAAAATAGCTCTTCCTTCTTTTTCTCGATAGTTTCTGGCAAAAATGCCTGAGAATGGTCTCGTGAGGCTTTTCGTAGAGGAAGTCAAAATCATTACCTGAGCGCGTGAACTCGTAGTTGTTTGCTTTTCCGTATGTTCAGGTCATAATAATCTATACAATACAACCATTTTAGAGTTGTTTTAAGTTAATTTAAAAATTTTTATTTTTATTTTGTAATTAAATTGTTTTGTTTTTTTTTTAATACTTACTATCCTATCCTTTTAGAGTGGTGAGGTTTTTAGGGTGAGCAGTTTATAAGCGCTGTGATTGGTTGTTCAGTAGCTTGCAATTGTTTACTGAGACGCAAATACGAGTGTTATAGTAAGTTAAGAAAGTGGAATATTAACTTATTGACGGCTGAAGACTAATTTTGATTTTAACAGTTTATAAGATTATCTTCATTCATCTTATTTTTCTATTTTAAATATTGAAAAATGGCAAAATGGGATAAGAAAGAAGAGAGCGCGCGCAGCGCGCTGAAAGTCGAGCTAGTTATTATTAGTAGAAAATAGGTGAGAAGATAGATGGTAATTTAAAAATTTTTTTAATTCAAATTTTTTGATGTTTTAAAAATATTTTTATTGATAAAGTATATAAAATGAGTAATTTTATAACACGTTATCTTACGCCTAATGAATGCCTCAGGTGGTTGTATTATCCATTATTCAAATAAAAAATGAGACAGAAAGAAACAATATTAAAAAATATTAAGTTAGTTATCTATGGACTGCCATAAAAAATAAAATGTATTTAAATTAAATCAATTAAAAGTATAAACATATGAAAAAAGGAAACTCTTTGAGAATGAAAGTACTGAAAAAATTCTAAAAATATTTATCAAAATTTAAGTTCAAGCAGTTAAAAAATTTTATTAAAAAAATACATACAATTCAAAAAATCGAGAATTATGGCACTTGGGTCGAAAATTATTAATTTCGCTTTGGATAGATTAAATTAATATAATTACAGAATTAAAACACCAAGTAACTTTTAGGCTTTTTTGACCCGCGCATCCCTACTTGAATTTCAAGTTCGATGCCTTTGAAGACTGATAATCTTCAAAAATAAGCCTGAAGCGTAAAAGTAAAGTTATTTCAATTATTTTAATGAGCTGCGCGAGCTTATTTTTTGATTATGAGTGCGTGTTTCAGGATTAAGAATTTTCAGAAAGCCATTTTCCGTTAATTTTTGGTAAATTTTTAGGTTAACTACACCAGGCTACAATAAAACAAATAACCTAAATGAGTACAAAAGACTCTTAGACATTCGAACGTTGAACGTTGAAGATGAAACTTTGCAAGCACGATATAATGCACGTATACGCGCGCGTGTGTGTACGCATATGGAGCCGAGTCCTTTGTGTTTGCGCTCTCGGCGCTCAAGCTGCAGCTCGAGCAGTGACATGCGGTAAGCCTCACTTCTCGTTCGTACTTTTGCCAGTGTGACTTGCAAATGAACCTGTTCGAAAGCAACAAGAGAGCTTTTACCTGGGAAAATCGTCCTTTCTCGCATTGTTGTAACATACACAATCGCAAGTTATGTTCGTGCACACGCGCACATACTCGCTCGGCATTCACGGCGTTGAATAGCGATTAGTTTCGTTGTTAATTTTAATCGATCTCGATAGCCAGTCCGAATAAATACTACCATTACAAGAACGAATTGGAGAATTCCGATTGAATTTATAATACTCACAGCTTTAAATGCACCAACTAATTTTGTTTCTGCATTTTAAACGAGCTTCTATCGGCAAATTGAAATATTTTAACGAGGAAAAAAAGAGAGATTTACAATAGTAATTCGAGCCGGGTCAAATGAATTGACGAGCCAACGCGCAAAGCAACACCTTTGTTTACTGCATTCTGACAAACTCGCATAACTTTGATTTGTAAACCAGGCACATTTTTATGACTACCTAAACGAACTTAAACTGTGGAAAGAGTTTAAGTTCAAAATTCAATGCGAAAAAATCCAGGTTAATATCATCGTCCTTGCGTCCTTGGAAGGAGCGACAAAGGCGTCCAGAGGACGTGCAAATTTTTTCATAACCAAACAGCCGTAGTCGGACGCTGCACACACCGAACAATTTTCCAAATGCTCCATCTCAGCGACTCGAGAAGTCGGTTAGAGCGGTTTGCTTCGATACGATACAGCCGTGCCACACACCCGAGTAAATGGTTTAATATATACAGTTATGTGCGCAGTGGCCGTATACAAAGCTGCGGGTTGTATACTCCAAACCACTGCCTGTGTAGCTTCTAATATACCTAAATCTTAAATTACCTGCTTTACCTTCCTCACCCTCCTACTCTTCTGTGGTGAACAAAAGTACGAATTCACCATTGTAATTTTACGCAATGTAATAGAACATTTCGTTGTATTAATTACATTGACTTTAAAGGCAGCACTATAAACAATCGTAGTAACAAGTATTGCAGAAAATTTTAGATGGCACGCATAATATTATATAGCTTGCAGAGATTTTACTAAGTAAACCTGTATAAAATTACATTATTAAGACACTCAGTGAAGGACATAAGGAACAAGAGAAAGAAAGAGAGAAAGAGAGAAAAATTTGATTGTAATCATTGGGGAATACACACGCAACTTTAATGATCGGACTTGGATGGAGCAGGCCTGACCTTATTAAGTGGCAAGAAGGAAAAAAGTTGCATTTATCATCGACTTTTCTGAGCTGTTTCATGACAGATATTTATTATAAAAAGCGACAAGTCGATTTCATGATTAGACTGTTCATAGCTCATGACTATAATTCATATGAAGCATCTAACGAATTCGAAAAAAATTCGATTCAATTTAATTTTCTTTAATATATAAAAAAATTACAAGTTGAACAATGCATCGTGTTAATATATGTTAAATATCGGTAGGGAAAAAATGAACAATATAATATTTAAGGTGCCTCTCGATAAATTTTCATCCTCTTTTTAAGCCGATCGATAGTATGGTCTTTGGCGATGAAAATCCTCGGCATCGGAGAGACGCAATAATGAAACAGATCCATATCAATGAAAAGCTCGTGCTTATACAGGATCACGCGAGCTGTGTCTATTGCAGCTAAAATTTGTTTCTCGAAAAGTATACACGGGCTTATATCGATTGTAATTGAAACGTAATTAGCTCAGTGCGTAGAGAAACTTTTGGTAAAAACGACCCTGATCCCGCAGCTGCAACAGCAAACTTTGTGAGCAGCCGTTTCGTTTTCTCCTTTTATCGGCTTTCATACACGTCGTACACACTGTTACGAGCTCATATGGCAAGGCAAAATGTCTACGTGTGTGTGTGTGTGTATACGCAGCTCTCGCGTAGCAGCGATAATTGCTATAAAGGCCAAGGTCAATCATGCGTTTATGCAGCGCGCGGCCATTTCTCGCGAGTGCTGAATGTATATATAGCGACAATTAGAACCGCGAAAATTAAGCGTAATAATCGGCTCATCCTGCGCGAGACTACATGGCCTTCTGTGAAAAGGCAGGAGCAGCAGAAGCAAAAACAGCCGCGCACACCATCGTGTTATACGCGCGCGCGCAGACACACACACACATATATAGACACCTTGACCCTTTTTATACACACATTCTCGCTGACTCGCCGGTCGCTGTTGCTGCTGCTGCTGTGGTGGTCGTCGTCGAATGTGACGTCAGCTCTCGACTCCGTGCTCTGTAATGCGTGTATACGCGACGCTCAGAACGCCCACGCGTTTTGCACTCCTGCTGCTGCTACTGCAACTTGCAAGTACGCGCACGTGAACTTTTTCTGATCGTCAACTTCCTCCGTTCACTGGACATGGACGATATATGAACTGTTACCGTATTATGTGCTCCATGTAGTAGATGCCACGATGATTCACATATCAATTAATTAATGTAAATGCATAACTATGAATCTAAAATTCTTTCTCACTTTATGTTGCAGGACTCAAAGAGAAGCTACGAGGGACAAGTCATCTTGCGGGTGCTATTCAGGTCGCGTCGAGCTTGAGCAGCTCGGCGGCGAATGGGTGCGCGCACGATGTTCGCGAAATTCAAAAGCGGCGGTAGCGCGGCCAGCGCTCAACCGGTGGCGCCCAACGCCCTCGAGTCCAATCCAATCTGCAATCACTTCAAAGTCGGCAAGCAGGTGGCCACCGCCGGCCCGGAGAACGTCTGGCGCATACTCGAGGGCTGTCGCAAGAGCGACGGCAAGGTTAGTCCAAAGCTCGCGCGGCTATTATTAACAACGCCTCGCGACTCACATAATGAAACCATAATTACGTTCACCGCCTATGTACACACACACACACACACACACACACACACGACGCACGCGGGCCAGCCACCTTCGAATTGCCTTAATACATCCAATGTATATTCAACTCGCAAAGCTTTTCATTCGTACGTTAGTATCTACGTATACACGCGCAGGTGTGAGCATGCAGGTCTCTATGCTGATACGTGAATGCGCTTCGACGTATATCGCCTCGTGTGCACACATAATTCAATCTTCGACGCACTGATACTTTACCAGAGGCTTAGGGCGCTAAAGTTTAATTAAAAACTATACAAAGTCCTTCGGACTTGTTTTAATTCTTGAAATTAAGGTCATGGACTGGCTACTGGCGTTTCATTCGCAAAAAATTCAACCTTCAGTCGCGTGTTGTAATTAAACTCGTCCCTGTTTTACCGTAAAAATATTATTTCCCCGATAATTTTAGGCTTTCTTGGGGAAAAAAGTATCATCAACTGGTGCATATGGGTTTTATACAAAACTCGTTACAGTTTAATCCCTCGTTTTGCTAAAATCCATAACTGCACCCTTTTGAAAAATATACTATTATGCAACCCTTAGCTTTATCTAGACACAGAAATCAGGCCAAAATGACATTACGACTTTTTTTATTTCTATATCATAAATATCTTCAATACAGATGAACTGTTTTGTTCAATTACCTTCTGCAAGAAACTGACCATAATCATTGATTCTTCCGGAAAAGTAGCGTCACTTAGACACTGTAGCTCAAACGGTCTACATCGAAATTGAAGATGAATGAAAAAATTTAAAAAAAAAATGAAAAGCGAAAAAATATTTTTAAAACAGGTTAAAAAAAGGTTAATATGTAAAGTATACGAATAAAGCTCACAAAAATGCTGTATCTCAGTAAAAAGTCAAAAATTTTGGAAATTTAAAAAATGCAACGAAAACAGGAAAAATACAAAACCATTCGAGTCGAGTAACCGTTTAGTATTTTTCGAGACTACTTTTAAAAATGATTAATCATGAAGACAAGTTATGGTAAATTCTTAACAAAAAATCGTTCGATTGTCATCGTTGCAAATGTACTACCAAAATTTATGACTTGTTAATACTTATTAAAATATTATTTCAATAACATTTGATAAAGTTTTATGTTAAAAATTATTAAATTTCATATATGCTATAAAATATGATTTTATTTGAAATTCATAATCGTTATATAATGGTGACAAATTAACACGATGTTATTTAAAAAGACTACTAATGTAAGGAAAAATAGCTGATACAATGAAGATCATAGTTGACTTTTTCATTCAGTCTGATAAGGAATAGAAATATTTAGTACAGCCAATTCTGCATCATTAAAAATAGTATAGGTATAAAATATATTGTTTCAATTTTTATTAATTTCATATTAATATTACAGTGACTATTAAAATGAATTAATGAAATCACCTCAGCCGCTTCATTTGTGTACGCGATAGTTTTCGTATTGATTTAGCTTTCAAGCGTTCAAACATATAATTTTATTTCCCTTTTAATTATATCTGTCAATTATAAAATTTCATTTTATTCGTTACCTCATAAAATGAGAATATGTTATACAAGTTTGAGATTTCCCTAGATGATATAACAATCGGCCAAAAGTATTGGGACTTTTACATACGAATTATGTTTTGATAAATTAAATTATTATTGATAAATAATTCGTATTAAATTATCTTAAAGATTTTGTGGTGAATGTTACAGTAGGATTTTTAAATATTTTTATTTGCAAAAATGTAAAGTATCCCTACATGACGATTGATATTAAAGAGAATTGATTATTTTCACAGAAAAATTCAATTTTTTTCTCTAATTTAGCAAAATGTCCTATTGACTTAATATTTTCACGTTTTCACTTATATTTTATTATTATGTAAAAATAAAATTTCTGTCGATACAAGTTCCAAAGTAAATTTCAGTGCCGAAGCAACGACGTGCCATCAATAACTTGGTTCTTATTCGAAATGGTCTTTTTACTTTAAAAACACTCGTAGCATGCACAACCTCTGAAGTAATTTTAAGCTGTATTCCCTGTTGAGTTGGATATCCTTGACCATTCATATTGACAAGTGTTAAATCCGCTGTTTTGACGATCGCATAAACTTGGCTCGGGCACATAGTAAAGCACTGAATAGAAGCGTGAAGTCGATCGTCACACGGTGCGCGAGGACATGTGCGAAGGTCTCGATCTGTCGTCGAAAATGACTTGGCCGCGTGTCGAATTGCGGGCGTTGATGATACGTCAGAGCAGTTCAGCTCTCTAGCTCAGTCGGAGGCGCGCGGGTGGCCCAGGCTCGAACGTTCGTCGCTGCATCTGTGCGTCTGGTGCACGTACAGAGAGGGACACACGCACGCACTAACATATACTCTCGCTATGTAGTCTAGCAATCCGCAAATATACAGCAGTCACCCAGACACGTAGACGAGACATCCAACGCACCGACGACGCTTACACTTAGTAATTTTCATGCAAATGTCCGACTGCGACAGAGGATAATTGCACATCTCCGAGGATTAGAGCAGGCACTATCGGATTACCATATGCTGTGCGCGCCAGCAATGCTACACTTCAGCCGCACATATATAATATGCTCGCGAACTCTTATGTCACCCCTTGTGTGTAGCACATTTACATCCATTCTCTCATTTGCATGTGTCGATATTGGAGAAATTGGACCCTGGCTATACGACGCGTGTACCCTCGAATTGGGTTAATATATGCCTCGGACCGAATAATCATTATGTACGCCAAGAACAATTAAATTTTGTGCGTCGATATACTTGAACGCATGACCATTTGACTAACAAATTTTACAGACCATCTTTTTAATGGCTTTTCCTTTTCATTTTTCTTTTGAACAATATTTATGCCTAATGGATGTAGCAAGATGAATTGACCTAAAAAAATTGTTTTGTACAACTTTTTATGATCGTATTAAATTTTCCAATGAAAATTCTTTAATACAGTTTTTCTTTTTTGTAGACTTAATTTAGCCACCAAGATATAGTCTTGATGAAAAAAGAAAAATTGCATAACTGCGTACAAATAAGGCAAACTCAACTTACTGTGCACTAAAAAGACTTATAAGTTTATCAAAGTAAAGTTGGCTCGCACACACACACACACACTTTTCCTTGCAAGCCGCCATCATCGAGCTCCGCTCTTTCTCTCGCCACCGCAACTTTTCTATGCAAATTTTTATCACACTTCTGCCGCGCCGCAACTTCTTCGGCCAATCAAGTCCTTTAGGCGCTGAGCCGTTATATTAACTGAAACAACTCCTCGCTGCTCCGCATAAAGAGTTTAATCACACGCAATTCGCATTAGTGGCGATAACTTAATTGATTAATACATTTTGCCTAAACTTCGAGCTTTCTATTTAATCATCTGTGACAGTATAATCTTTAATAATTACACTTTCGCTCTTGTATATTTTTCGTTCCGTTCCAGTGATTAATTGCCATAATAAATTAGCTCCTCAATTTCGCAACGATGAAACAAAGATAGAATTTATAATTCGTACAATTCAACCTGCTTTACCTGCATACATTTTTAATAACACTTGAGTTATGTAAAATTTTTCAAACATCTTGTTTTAGTCGGCTCTGGTGAAAGTCGAAAGGTTTAAAGCACTTTTTTGGTGCTTTGAATTGTAATAGCAAGTTCTTAGTGGTCGATAAATCAATATCGTTGACAAGGCGATATTCCGAGCAATCTGTGCCGCAATCCCATTCAACTAGTTTGGTTTTTTTTATCGTCACCGTTCACACCGACGTCGCCGGGGTGTATTTTGCATTTGAAAAGCGATATTTCGATCGCACCATCGCTCATTGACAATTATTATGAATCTGCCTTCAGTCTGTTCGCAGAGTCTTAAATTTAGTATGTGAGCAATCTTTAGTATATAGTACATGGTTCTTTTTATCGATGAAAAAAAACCCTCATAAAATATTGAACCATAAATCAACTATACGAGCGTTCAATTATAATGAAATTATTGTGTCTGTTTCGATGCATTACAGGAGGTGTCGATATTTTTATTCGAGAAACGTTCGGTGGAGAAAATACACAAGCCAAAGAGAAAAGAAGCTGTAGCGGAAGTTCTGCGCGCTGGAGTAAAACACTTGGAACGATTTCGACATCCAAAAATTCTACAGGTAAAAATATTACATTACTTGGTATTAAAGTCTAAATGTTATAATCTGACAAAAGTATGAAGAAAGAATGGATCGACACGTGGTTCATCGAACTCTGCGTTCCGCTCATATAAAGCCGACGGGTTTCTATGTATTATATAATGCGCGTATTGTAAAACAAGGCTCGCACTTGGCCTTCCACGTAGCTTGTTTAAACTTGCAGCGGGATAATACGCGAAACCCCAAAGGCATTTCAATCGAGACACGCAGCTAGCACGCAGCTAGCGCGCGGCACAACAGAGCGAGTTGGCGTAATTTTGTTCCCGGGCTACATAATAGAATAAATCGAGCTTTAAATTCAGCGTGAAATAATTCAATTTTGCCCCGCACGCAATGTAGCTAAAGCAGTTGCTTTTGTGCGCGAGCAAGCGGAGATTGCGCACGATAAGCAAAACACTTTTGGGGGCTAAATTTCGCGTGTAACTTCATTCGAGAGCACGATCAAAGTGCAACACATTGACGCCAGGGAGCTATATCCCAGCCGCCGCTACTTCATACGCGAATAAAAGCCACCATTGTTTCTAATTGCGTTGATTGGAGTGCAAGCTCGCAAGAAAGACAATTTGAAACGGCCCATGTGACGTTCGTCCGTTGACAGGTGGTGCATCCGGTGGAAGAATGCCCCGAGACGTTGGCCTTCGCTTCGGAGCCGGTCCTGGCGAGTCTCGCGAACGTCCTCGCGGCGGAGGAGCAGAAGCAGGCGGCTCTGGCGGGCCAGCAGCAGCAGCAACACCAAGGGGCCACCTCGAACGGGGGCCTGCTCAACAATCATCACGGCCATCAGTCGCACGGCCATCATCATCAGCAGCAGCAGCAGCAGCAACAACAGCAGCAGCAGCAGCATCATCAGCCGCATCAACAGCACCATCAAACGAGCTCGCAGCAACAGCAGCAGCAGTACCATCACCATCACCATCATCACCAGCAGCAACCGAGCAGCAGGCCCGTCTTCGCCAAGGAGTACGACATGCTCGACATCGAGATCAAATACGGACTTTTGCAGTGCACCGAGGCGCTGTCGTTTCTACACTACAGCTGCCAGTTCATGCATAGAAACGTCTGTCCGGTCAGCATTATGATCACCAAGAAGGGCACCTGGAAACTCTTTGGCTTTGAGTTCCTCGGTGAGACCTCCAGCAAAGCTATAGCGCGCGTACTATACGGAGCTACGGGCACGTTAGTTCAGAGAAAGGGAGGAGCGCGCACCCGTCTGACCATACATAAGGCTACGCTACTTGGACTTTTTTCCAACTTTGCCCACGCTTTGCTGACAAATTAAAGATCTTGGCTATTTCAGATTAAGCTTTGTTTTCTTTCAATTCATGCTAGTTGAGACCATGTTTCGTTCGCTTGAACGATCTGTTATAGACTCGTTTGTTTCAACTCCTCTTGTACTCGCTGCTTCGAATCCGAGGTCAGCCTTCTAATTAACTTAATTGAAAAACATTCGGTTATTTTTTCAAAGATCATAACATGACAAAGAACGGTCTATTTTAAAAATGAAATAAACGTCCTTGAGGCTTGGCGAAAATTCATGAGCAATCCTGTGCGTACGGCTTAAAAATTGTAACTTGCAAATCAAATGACGCTTTTGATATTATTTTTTAAACGGATGTTAAAATTATTTTTTCATTTTACGTTTAGTACGTTATTTATCCGTATATTGAGCTCAAAAAATTCAGTAGAGAATCACATTACATTACATAAACGTAGCTACGTGTAAATATAATTAAAAAATCGCGAAACTCGGAGAAATACCACAAAATCCTTACGATAAAAATAAATTATAATCAAAGTTTAAAAGAAAAATGAAACGCAATATCGAAATATCAGTACCGAAAATATTCAACAAAAGTATTAAGTTCATATGATATCTGTTTCAACAGAAAAAGTGAACGAAATCGACGCCATGGATCCGATTCCACTTCCACAATGGACCAATCGAATACCCAAAATGACTCAACCAAATTTAGATTATATCGGTAAGCTCTCTTGTCTCGAAGCACGTATGCATGATTAATTACTCATACAGGATATATAATTGGACTTTCTATGCACAGCGCCCGAAGTGCAACAGAAAAAAGTCGGTAGCATACTAAGTGACATGTACAGCCTCGGGATGGTCATTTGCACCGTCTTCAATCACGGCCGGCCACTCATCCAAGCGAATCATAATGTCTCGGATTACCAAAAACAACTTGAAACGGTAAGTTTGCAACTGGGCGTTTTTTACTTTGACGTCTCCTCCTTCCTATAGTCACTGAATTGAAGGTCACTTAAATGACGTAAAACAAGTACACTCGTGGCACGAAAGACAATTGCTTTTTGTGTTTTCTTGCCTTTCAATTAAGCTTTTTTTCCTTCATCCTGCGTTCGGGTTTGTTTCTCTCTTTTATCGCTTTGACGAAACGTGAAAAAAAAATGGAATAACAGAGCTTTAACACGAGCGAAGCTTGTACGTATAGAAGCTAGTCGATGAGAGGATATACCTAGAATTTTTATTCATTTAAATGAATTCGCAAAAAAACCGTAATTTAAAACTCGAACAGAGAAAAATTGACTTAATGTCAAAGTAAACATGAGGCTAATGGTATATTGTTGAGTTGCCGGGTTTTAATATCGATCGTGTGGGCGAACGCTTCTGTTTTCGGGACATTCTCCCTCTTCTTCTTTGTCTCGCTCGAATAGTCACGAACGAAGAAAGAGCGAGCGGACGAGCGCAGACCGCCTTTGACATGGCAATTCAGAATTCGATACGCCGTAAGAGTACAACGAATCGAGAATTGAGTTTATTTTTACATTATTTTACAACAAAAAAACTCCACAGAAGAATCACTGTACTATAAATAAATGTGTGCAAAACTTTTTCCTCGATATTCTTTGATCGTTAACTTTTTTTGCTTTTCACGACTCGACAATGTTTTTAATTAAGAAAAAAAGTTTGAACTTTTAATTTTTTTCTCATGAATGAAGATCTTTTAAGTTAGTGTAGATATAAAATTTAACTATTTTCCAATCATTCCTTTACCCATACCTAACTGAAACGAATCATAAATGAATGAAAAGCCTCACAAACTCATTCGCAAATGTGTGATTGATCGAAAATCGTAGCTGGACGAGCAAGTGCGACAGCTGTTACCGAGAGTGCCAGTCCCTCTGCACGAGGCCGTATCGCGCCTCCTGCACAAGGAACCCAGACACCGACCAACGGCTCAACTGCTTTCTCTCATTAAGTACTTCAGGTCAGTTTTTTGAAATGCAAACACGCAAATGTATGTACATACATACACGCGCGCTAATTTATATACTTAGTTGAACTCATTAACTCTACAAGCAAATGATATTAGAAACTCACGGGAGGTAGCAGCTAAATTAACTATGACATATCTCGAATTTGCAAACGTTAACTGATGTAAGTATAAGACGACAGTCCCTGACCTGAGGCATTATTTCAGTTTTTTCTAGTTTTCATTCAAAATCAACAATTGAGCTTTCCGTATGAAAAAAAACTTGTAATTCACAAGAGACAATATGTACAAACTATTATTAATGATCAACGTCAATAATGTATGAATTGCCAAAGAAAAGAACAACGTAGCTTGGTGAAATTGGAAAAAAAGAATTCCGGATAAATGGACGGCGCACGTCCGCGAAGGTGCATAAAAAATCAATTTTAAGACTCGGACGACTTTTATTAGATCGTTCGATCGACTATTGTTAAACGTTATTGCTCTTGTTCCTCGTAAAAATCTCGTAAAAGACAAACAAGACATCTCGTAAAACATCACCGATCGCGCGTTAAGGTACCGTACCTTGCAGAAAAATAAGGTGTCTTTGTTATACGCAAACTTTGCTTTTATATGCGTGCGAGTCGATGCACATTTGCCTGACCGTATAATTTGTTACGAGGAAGATCAATCGTCATTGAGGCATGAGCGGGACGACGGCAACGCCGAGCACTGCGTGTCTTTCCTGCGCGCTTGAAAAATCAAACGAGCTTCTAATTGACGTTTATATATATCCATATGTATTTGAGGACGAACTAATTGTATGGACGCTTGACTCGAATGAAAAATATGCATATGACTGTATAGATTTCAATATTTATGAAACCTCCTAGGAACTCGTCTTTGCACACGTGCTATCAAAAGCTGGCGCTATATACAGCTTGGACTTTCTCGAGATACGTTACTCAACCTATCGTGTATATCTTTAACGCTAATAAATTTCGAATAGTTAAAATTCAATGCAGATTTTTACACTTGTATGCTGGTCGCAAAAAAATTAACTAAAAATTGCTCGAGTTAAAAATTCCTCGAGCTTTGAATCTAACGAAGCGTTAAGATAGCCACACGATAACGTGCGATAATGTAATCAAGTTTAATAGCCTTTGTTTTGATGTTCTTAGGCACATAATACCATAGAGCCGTTTAGAGAATTATGCAGTAGCAGTGCTGCAGAAAACGGGTTTGAGAATATTCATTTTTTCCCCTTGCTTCGGTATCGCCTCGAGCGTCTGGCTTGTGTAGGTGGAAATAGCCCAGCTGGAAGAGCTATCTACTATTTTCATCTTTACGAGCAGTTTGCTATTAATTTTTTCTCAATCTTTTTCTAAATTATCTAATTTAAGATTTCGCGATTGTTAAAAAAAACATTCGCTTCCTTAAATAAATTTAAAAAAGTCGAAATAAATTAATCGAATGCCACTAAATGGGTTAATGAGTTTCTCCATTCTACTCTTTAAAAATAATTTATATCTTTGTCGCGTTCTGCTTAAGAAGAAAATAAGGACGCCATGATAAAATTTTCCTTGTCCTGGCGACAGATCGATTACTCTCAGTATAAAGTTACTGAGCAGTCGAAATGTTGAATTAGTAATCTGCTACGCATGGAAGTCATTATTAAAATCAAAATTATTATTTCAAACAAAACAATGAAACAAATGGTTGAAAGCATTAATTCTATACGAGAGAGGAGTATAAAATCAATAGAATAATGTGATTGACTCATGTTTGCAGTGATCCATCTGTACACGCTCTACAATTTCTCGATGTTATCAACATGAAGGATCCAGCACAAAAAGGGCACTTTTACAAAAATACCCTCAAAGAAGTACTGCCCTACATACCCAGGGTAAGGATAAAAGAATTTCAAACGAAATTCGCATACACATCCGCACACGTGTGCATCCGGTACATACATGAGAATACGAATGTCTACGTGCACATGGGAACTCTTTGAGGATACGGTTGGCACCTTTTGTATATCCAAGCAGCAGTAGATATGTATCCGAGAGAAAAAAGAACAAACATTAAAATGCCATATGCGCTTGTGCACAAATCGAATTCCGGCCAGATATTACAGTCGTGCGTAGATGCAGTATACATATGAGATGATCCTACGGCCGCGAATGCGTACACGGATACTCGAGCTTTTTTCATACCCAAGCACTTCTAATACTCTTGAAATATTCAACAGCGTCAAATCTCTCTTTGTTTCTTGAAACTTTTGTCTTGAACTTTTCTTTTCGTTCTCTTTGTCTTTCCGTGCAGAAATTGTGGTACCAGCACATCTGGCCGTACCTGCAGCACGAGACCCTCTCGCAGGAGGTGTTCGCGGCGGTGCTCCAGCCGATGCTCTACATCATACAGAACAGCAGCCTCGAGAATTACCAGACGATACTGCTGCCGAAATTTCGCTCGATTTTCACGATGCCCCGCTCGACGCAGGGCACGGTCGTCCTCTTGGAGAATCTCCACGTCATTCTCGAGAAGACGACGCTGGAAGATATTCATCGGGAGGTTCTGCCCATTCTCTACAACTCGTTCGAGAGCACGAGTATACAAATTCAGGTACGTGAGGGTGCCAAATAACTAGGCCAGTTCAATTTTCGTTATTTTTTTTTGATTTTTGTTATTTTTGACTCTCGGCAATAATTCGAAAAATTGCAGTTCTTTTATAAATTCTTTGAATTTTTACTCGTGCCGAATAGTTGTTGAAAATGCGCTCGCGCATAGCAAAATAATAACCGAAGCGCATACGTGGCAAAGCTACGCGCGCGCAAGCTACGATTCAATAATACCCTTGTGGCCTTGTGTACGTGTCCAGAGCCGGCTGCACATTCGATTGCTTATGGATAAAAGGCAAAATGATAAAAGCGCTGCGTCCGCGAGCACACATCAATTTGTCATCGCTCTTACTCGCTCGAAATTCATACGTATACAAATAGGTCGCGCGCGTATAATCACACACGCCGGGGCTGGGTACGTGCAGTCGAAAAAATGCGAAAAAAATGTGCGCTGGCGGACCGAATAGAGCTGCAAAAAAATATCATATTACTCCGGTTGGGTTGGCGATATATAGGCCGCTTTGGACGCGCGAGTCTAAGTTTGTGTGTCTGTGTGCGCGTGTATTTCAGTCGGCAGCGTTCGTGGCCGTGGCGAACGTGACGGATTACCTGGACGACCAAGCAATAAGGCGCACGGTGCTCCCCAAGCTGAAGCTCGCCTTCCAGCACGGCACGACGGACCAGCGCGTACTCATGCACGCGCTCTCTTGCATACTCGATCGGCTGGAGAAGGAGCAGATAACCGAAGAGGTCTTGCCCATACTCTGGGAAGCCAAGCTCCAAGAGCCCGAGATAATCGTCAGGGTTGTGGGTGAGTCGATTTCGTCTGCACACCCTACCTACCACCTACTCCCATCCAACTATCTCGGAGAGGAAGGGAGACGGAGCTTGTGGGCTTTTAATCTATTATTAGACACCGATGCATTACGACCCGATTTCGCCTTGTATACACGAAAGCTCGATGAGCGAAATTTTACTTGCCAAAAAAGCAACGTAGCGAAAACATAATATTTTAAGAAACGCCTAGTCTTGAGGATTATCGCGACAATAGTTGCAAGATGGAACATAAAGCTGTCTTGTTTTCTCTTAAAGATTAAAGAAAAAAACCCTCAAGTATGCGAGAGTTTGCGTGTATATGAAAGCCAGTAAAATCCGCCAGATGATTACTCTCCCTCCCTCTCACTTCTAATCCGGAAGATTTATTCTTGCAATTTTCATTGTTCCTCGTTGCTTACTCGCTTTTCTCTCTGCCTTTTTTCCTCCTGCCTCTAGGCATATACAGGTTAATGCTGAGCGACAAAAAATATGGATTGACGGTGAACGTAATGGCGACGCGCGTCATGCCATCGCTCTTGCCGCAAACCGTGAACCGTGGCTTAACTCTAGAGCACTTTACCAGTCTGATCGAAGTTTTGCAAGAGATGCTCAATTTCATCGAGAGGTACGTAGCTCCATATCTATATAGTACCAGACTATACGTCGGAGCCTATGCCAAAAGCCAGAAGGAAGCTTCTGTCTGTATCATATAACTCGCTACAACTATATAAACGATAAACGCTTCATCATTTTCCAAGGCTACATAAAGACAGCAACTTTTCATATAGTAATTCAAGTTCACGCGCAATATTTTTTTTATTTATTACGAGCGGCTTTTCACTTGCGGACTTTTTCCAATGACACTTTTGACACTACCGATCAATTCAACTAGCCAAGTTTTATGAGAAGAAAAAAAACCATCTTCCCTTTTTGCTAACTTGCCGCAGAAACCATGGAAATAAACTGAAACTCGACAACGTATCGCTGCTGAGCCCTGAGAAGCGGACGCTGCGCCATCAATATAGCACCGACAACATGCACGTGCCAGCCTTTAATATACCAAATTTACGTATCGAACAAAGGAAAACCTCCTCAGCGGAAGACATGGCAAGGAAAAACTCGATTGGTACGTACATCATGAGGCGTTCCATTCTACAGCGGCTCGAAATCTAAATCCGGCGATGTAGATGCTCTTACTATTTTACTGTTGTTATTATTGAACAAAGGGACGACCCTAATCACGCTAGATTCATGTTTTGAACCAAACGCTTTACAATATATAACAGTACAATTTTATTGCACATTTTCTAAACTTTCATAGTCTGTATAAGCGACTTGAACGACGACTTTGTAAACGTTACAATATGATGTTATACTCGTTTTAGGTTCAATGTCAATGACGGCGTCCGCTGAAAACATGACAAGGAAGAGTTCCATGACCGGTAAGAATTGCTATTCATTCAACCCTTCCGATAGCAATAAAGAGATCTGTAAAGATGAATAGACTTCCCGTAGCTCAAATACCACCCTCTAAATTCATCGAATAACCAGCGTAGTTTGTAGTTAATATCTAGCAGTAGTACAATAGATTCGCATCTCTTGCTCTTTGTGTAGTAGCGCATGAATATTAACATATATTTATTCGATCGCTACTCACATACACGCTGCGCCCACACGTGCGTAACTCACGTACACGTACGTGCGTGCGCATATTATGCAATGATAAATATACTTATATATGAATACTCTTGGCATCAAATTCACTTCATAATTAGAATATATTTGCCGCATATATACGGTTCATTGTGTCAAGTATTTCACTTTAATTGATCAAATTGACTAGGTTAATAAGAAAGGTATGTACACGTCGCGTAGACGCGATATGACAATTTTATCCCTTCGTGCTTGAAATGGAAAAAAAAAAGAAAACTTGAAGTAAACTTGACAAAATCATGTCCTTGACTTGTAACACATTAGAATTGAATACATATCTTTGAAAAATCAAAAGGTAACTGAAAGTAAAATTGTTTAATTGCGTGCATAAAATTAGAAAGCCGTGACTTTGCTGAGGTTTTGCGCTTTTATACGAAATAAATTGGAAAATTTTCTAATAAAAAATGTGTCCCTAGTACCTTGAATGTACTTTCCAAGCAAATTGAACAAATTAATTAAATCACTTGCTACTGAAGCTTTTATCTCTAACTCTACTCTTTTCTTTCTCTTTTCATCCTCCTTCGACAAAACCTGCAAATCTCCTCTAAAATCGACCGGCAAAAATGCACCATCGCCATCATCATGAAAAAAATCAAAAATCGAAAAAAAATCACGAACAAAACAACAACAACAACATCAACAACAACTACAACAACCACCACCACCTCCATGCGCACAACAACAACAATAGCCAATGTGCGTACCCGTGCTGCAGGCATGTTGGGCAGCTGGTTCTACGGCTCGACATCGTCGGCGAACGCGGACAGCAACTTTTTGCGGGTCGCCAACACGTTCACGTCGCGGCGCCTGTCCGACAACACCCTCATGACACCGAAGATCCGGATAGCGCCCTCGTGCGCGAGCTCGCCCGGTGGCACGCCCGGCGGGGGTCTGCCCATTAGGCGGCACTCGAGCACCGGGCCCCAAGAGAGGCGAGGTTCCAATATCAATCTCTCACCACCCACGGTAAGTCTGTCCCATAGTCAACTTAACAACGACATATTTTTAACACGCGCGAGCTATCGTAATCACGCGCTATATATTTATGCATTACGATGTGCACGTGGCTTGTCTCGCGTACTTGGACTATTTTACTATGCTATACGCTCGTGCGGGTCACCGCGACGTCAAAGAGAGAGGCAAAGTATGTGCTCGCTGGTGTGTATACCTGTTGCGTGAGGGAGAAACGTTTTGCCGCGCGCGCGGGGCTCTGCAAGGAGGGAGGAGGAGAGGCTGGAATTGCTGCTGCTGCTGCTGCTGCTGCTGCTGCCGGGGTAGCAGTGCGTGTTCGTTCGTTGATGTTTGATGGAGATAATGCGATACGGCACGCCGAGTGCACCAAGGGTAATATATCACACGAGGGACGTGCGAGATTAAATATGCCTGTCGCGGAGCTCCGTATAGCGCGCCGGGCTCGTTTTTAAATATATAAATAGCGCCTGCCGAGCCTGCGCTTGTCTTGCTTTTCCCTCGCACACTTCGCTCTCTCTCTCTCGTCTTTAAACGCTTTGCCGCCGCCTAGCGATGCAGTAAAATAAAGTCTATTATGCGCGCTGGGGATATTAAGTGCTAGCTATATAAAGCAAGCTCGAATCTTGCAACTCTCGATCTTGAATTACGAATAAGCCCGTAGCGGGTGCTTTGCTACTCGCAATCGTCTTGCTCAATAACGTTGAATTCGAGTACGTAAAAGGATGAAATAAAAAGGAAAAAATACGTGTCATTTTGCAATGATTTAAAGTGCAGACCGAGAGCGAAGCAACGTGTTAATCCGCTGCGTGCGCTATGTTGTATGTTTATATGCTGAAAAAAAAAATCCAGGGCGGCATGCCGATAACGAGCAGCAGCGTGCCGTACCTGCTGACGTCGAGCATGAGCAGTATAAGGAACTCGAGGCGACCCTCGGTCTCGTCCACCTCCTCCCAGCAGGGGCTGCTCCAGCAATTCGGATCCGGCATGGTAAGACAACTACCCCCCATCTGCCTCAACTTGAATGGACCACCACCAACACTCTCTCCATCACTACTGCAGCCATCGGGACAAATCTCCCACTGACCCATGGTTACAGTGTAAGGATCTCAATGTTCCTCTGACCACACATTAATGCAAAAAAAAAAAAAAAAGAAAACGAAAAAAAGACAAGGAGGAGAGACGCAAGTTGACACGACGCAGAGCGAGACTATTTTACATTTACGACACCCACGCACGAGACACCTACTATACCACTACTGCCCACCTATATACCTGTACACAAACACGCGCTCGCACATACGCCATTTCACTCTATATATAGCTGCACCAATAATCAATGGCAACACTGTACACATTTTGTATATTATATTATTAAGATTGAACGTTTTCAACGCGAACAACTCTGATTTTATAACAGCTTTTAGTTTAATTTTGACACAAAATCAGTCTCACTGATATTTGATGAATGAAATGTTTCGCGTCATAATGTATCTTGTTTATCTAAGTTTCTAATTTACAAATGATGTGATTTTAAATCAACAATGCAGTAATTCGTGATTTATAAACTATCGGCAGTTTTCCAGGTAGAATATTAGTTATGAATTGCATGGCTTGATATTTGCATGTAATGCTGGTTTTGACATTTGATCGGGTGATTTTTATTTAAAAGAAAACTTTTGAAAAATAGCTAACGTTGAAAGAAAAGAAGAAAAAACAATCGCAGTTTATCAAGAAACTTAACCGCACGTGCTACAATATTTTATCCTTTATAACACAGCACCAGACAACACTATATACTTCTAGCTAAGATTTGGTACTGAGTTATCATTCGTGATTTGCTACAATGTTTCAACGCCTGTTGTGCTATGTTCCGTACTTATGTATACTGTTGCTAAAATAATTATTCTGACTTGTTGCTTGTGCTTTTGATTTTTAAACTATTTTATAAGCCTCTGTAATCGTAGAGTAATTGAAACTTAATTTATAATATTTATTTTCGCTTTTAAATTATAATAAATACGTGTAAAAATTGAGTATTTATGACATCAATGCACTCAATCGTTTGTTTTGAACAAAATATGCTGCATTTTATATTTATATGTGAATTAAATCAGATTCGTAGGAACTTACTTTCAATACTTTCTCTTCCAAAAAAAATTCTGTTAATTTTAAATTAAAATATTTCTCGAGAAAAAAATTTAAAACCGTCAGATTTTCTATCAAAAACTAATCATGACAACATAGAACTCAATCAGTGAACACCTTGCGTTTTGATTTTCACACAAGCTTTGCAATGTAAATTTTACAGCACAAAGAATCCTTTAACACAGTTATCATCATTCGTTTACTATCTCACTACAAGTCCACCTTTAAAGCCGTATACGTAGTTGAAAAATGACATCCTTCCTCGCATGACAACTATTTATCAAAGCCTTGTATAATTATTGAATTTGTAAATATTAGATCATGCAGTAATTATAAATCTCCTTGATTTTTATGTAATTCGACAAGTCTGAAGTGAACGAAAAATCTTAAAATTCGGATAATAATTGTAATTGTTCAATTCAGATCTTGTTAAAAACTCACAATTAAATATATAGAGTAATTGAATGAAAAGCATCGACCATCGTCTCATCGCCTGGCTGGATGACTATATAAAAAGCATCAATATCTACGCAACATGTTAATATTCAATTATTACTCGACATATAATATGTATATATATATATATATATATTAGAAAGCTGCATTGTGCTTCGTCCAAACGACAAAAAAACAATTAGTATAAGTGCATTGCCGTCCGTCTCATCTCATCCCTCTGCCTTGAACACTGCCTCTTTGGTTACTTCGACAGGACAGCATTGTTAAACATCGCCAACAATACGTACTTCTACAACGACAATAAATAAAAAATATCTATAAAACAACAGCAACATCTTAACAACTACTTAAAGCAACTATTATAATGATAATGATTTAATTTTGCGGCACTGCGTGTACTGGCAGTAAGTGTGCGCTTCTCGATGCTAGTAATATTACTTGAGTTTTTAGAAATGAGTTTAAAATTGTAATTAAAAGCTCTTTCTTCTCTTTTTTGGTAATTAATTAATTCAAAGCCTGTAAATCCAGTTAAATACGCGATCGGAAAAAGCATTAAAACTTCTCCTTGAACATAGTTTTACATTTTTTCCTGTGAGATTACGAGAGGCATCCATTGCAAGAAACGAAACTAAGTTATAAGGTTGAAATTGTCAAATTTGCTAATAGGTATTTTTTAGCTATCTCTCGTGCAAGATTGACTAATCCCCAACGTTTTTTTTTCAATGTTATATTTTCATTCACACCCACAAGCTCTCGTCTATTTTCTAATGAGATGAATTTTTCATTGAACTATCGATAAAAAGTTCGACTTTGTACACCCTGATTGCATCGAAGCAATCCTCTTTTCTCAACTTCTTTTTTTTTTAAATCTCTACTGTGGCTATCATTAAAAAGTTTCTATCAATCGATTTTCAACAAACTTTTGCCATCGATAAAACAATCAATAGTTATACGGAATTTCATAGCTATTCCGCGGTGAATGTACATAAATTCAACCCTGAAAAACCTCGTAATTTTCATTGAATAAAGGAACGCAAAAACGATACGAAAATAACTGCAGCAATACGCACACGTACTTCCAGTACCGCGTCGATGAGTAAATTTTAAATACAAAAGCAATTCAACAGCAAAAATCCACTTACGAAAAATGCATAAGCATTATATGCAGTAACGTAAGTATACAAAAAGTTACGGATCATTACGTTGGACATTTGACTTTGTGTTTCAGTACCAACTGTTCGCTGGACGGTCATAAGCCGGTGGAGATACAGTTGGAACACGAAAACTCGTCGATCATCCTCTGAAAGTAACGACGGTGAGCTCAGCAGCTCACCATATAGGTATCATAAATATATATGCAGAATGTGGCCAGTTTATATTTTACCGGAAAGGTTGCGCAGGCATCTGTGTGTCTGTGTGTGTACATATTTGTATGTATAACGTAAGGTATAGCCCATATCTCGAATTAATGCTCGCATGCACACACGTCGTCCGGTCGACATCAAAAACGCTCCAGCTCCGAGTGATATACATTTTACGCGTGTAAACAGACTAAAATGTTCGCTATTTCGTGGAGATTTTCCAAGTGCATGTGCGGAAGCTCGTGTACATTCTATGCTTCTGCTGGAGGGAAAATAAGCTGACAAATGGATTTTACATATATTGACGAGTGAGGGACTGTTTGCATTTACGTGAACACATTGGTTTTCGGTTCCGATCGCGAACACGCGACACGCTGGTTTGATTAATTTATAGCTGATGATTTTCAGTACGATTACTTCTAGTTTGTTGAGAGTACGCGAGTAATGTTTATCATAAAAAACAGGAATAGTCGTGAACGAACGCGCTTCAAAGAACTGTTTTTAAAATGCGCCAATTTTCTTTTTCATTTATTTTAACAAAAAAAAGTCTTTTTTAAAAATCACGTTTCAAGCGTGATTGATCGGACGATATAGAGTTTTATTTTTTTGCACATTTTTAATCTAATCGGCGCTATGCGTGTCGGACCTTTTTTTAAAAAAAAACTTTTTACTACACATCAGCAAAACAGAATAATTTGTACATACGTAGGGCGAATTGATTTAAAAGGAGGTGATAAAGTAAAATAGAAAGAAAAACGAAAGCCTAAATAAAATTTAAAAAAAAACTGTAGTTTTTCGTAACTGTTGTAAAAAGTTACAACAAATTTAATCCATAAACTGACAATCTTATACCCACAGATCGATCGACACCAATGTGGGTCGCATCAAAACGTTAACTAAAACGAATCAAATGAAAAAGATAATGGGTGTAAAAATTTCACTGAACTATAACTGTGCGTCTCATTAGTCAAGCAGTACTGTACTTTTAAATATAAATTTCTATCTGTAACTTTATCGTAAGAAAACTAAACTCTTTAGTAAGGATTGTGAGAGATGTCTCATATTATTTTTGCTGGTCAAAATAATATTGAAAAAAATATCGACGATGAGATTAGAATAATACAATAATGATGAAACAAAAAATATATACATATATAAATAGTACATACAAACAGAACAATCAAGATCGAGAAGCTATCAAGGAGTATTCCTTCCGTCAATTGCTAAATTCAAGTCACTGCATCAACAATCATTAATTCTTAAAAGTAGATTTTATAAATTACACAAAGCAGTGCAAGCGTGTCAATATAGAAAAAATATATATTTGCTGGTGAGCTAATGTTGTATATTTAATTAAGGGGCTTTACTTCATACTTATTATTTTAAATGAGAAAGTCAATCTAAATCTGATTTCTCTATAAGATTCAATGTGAAATAATGCCTATTTAAAATATATCCAACTCAAAAGAGTATTCTACTCGTTTCGTATCAAGTGCATATTTGATATATCTGAAAACGATTTAAACTGACAAACTTTTAATGCAAGCTCAGCACCTGTAAACAAAATGAAAAGTCTTCATTCTAATATAAATTTATTTCTTGAATAGACAATCAATTTATTGATATTGATGTGACTATTTAATGTATCACAGTGTACACAAATATCAACTTGTTTTAATCGTATTCTTTATCTGCCAACCAAACATTTAAGAAACGACTTATAATAATAAACTCAAAACTTCTGTATATTTTCTCTTTCTGTGATAAAAATGATAATCTTCAATGACAATCTCATTTCCTGAAATAAGCCCCGTCCTAAAGTTCCATGTATCCTATACAATATACATTGAACAAGAGTTAAAAGAAAATAAAGACTCAGATTGGTACGAAATTATATTGAATTAGAATAGAAAATAATAAAAATTATATATTAATTGGTAATGTCGTTAAATATGATAAAAGGCGATGACTGTCATGAATCGTGATATTGTTAGGATATAAGCTACATACTTCAGAGTGGAATATGAAAATGAATTTAAACAATATATTTATACAATGTTATAGTATCAGAAGGAAAGCCAAAAATAAATGTCATTCAACACGAGATTAAGATTTTCGACCTGCTTTTGTACCTGAAAAATTTACAGAAATATTTATTTATCTATAACATTTTAACTCGATATTTATTCATGTGTGCTTTAAACCTATTTAAGGTGCTAAATATTATTGTACAAAAAAAAGGGAAATTTCATTAAGACTTGGACTTATAAAATCATATCTTTCACTTTTCATTTTTTTTATATCAATTTATTTAACATTTATTATTGACAGAGAATGAAACGAAATGAACACAATTAGATAATTAATTAAAAGTATTCGAAAGTAAATGTTGAAACATAAAAATCAAAAAATCAATACTTATCATATGACGCAAAATTAAATTCTCCATAAAATTAAAAATTCACTCAGCGAAAAAAAATTAAAATGTTTAATCTTTCATTCAGCACTCTCTTAACAAATATTTGACTACAATAAAAAAAGCAATAATGAAGACCACCGGTGTTACACAAATATTATTTTTTAGGTTTAATTTATTTGTGCTAAATGCAAATTATCGAGCCTTGGTCAAACCGTTCTTGTTGAAAACCTTTAAAAAATTGACAATCTTGCTATAGGTGATAAATGATGAAACTCTTAGATTGAACTCTATGACTCTACCTTAGATGAGGTTCAATCGAATAAAATAATTATAATCTGATTTTAATTGTCAAAATAATAAAATGAAAAATAATTCATTGTTCAGTGGTTCATTAAACGCATAGACAAAAAAATCAAGCGTAGGTTAATTAATGTGACCATATAGAAGGCTAAGTGTCCTTATATCCGACAAACAGAAAATTGGAGTTTTACCCTAATTTGAGTATCTTCAATTTTTTTATTCGCAATTACTGTTGATAGATACTTCATGTTTCGGGAACATCAATTCTCTATTTTCTATATTTTTAAAGATATTTAAAAATCAAAGTATAATAAAGAAGAATTTAATCTTTCGATTCAATCAATTATTTTTGAACTTTAATTTCTACTCTTCAATGAAAATGAATAAGCTTCAAAAAACTTGTCATGCTCAACTTTACTGGCCAAAAAACTGTGTTTAAAAAACCCTCAATTGTTGTAGAAGATTGAGTTCTAAAATTAAAATTTTTAATTAAATTGATTTATATGACATTTTTATTCTATTGCAATTTTCTGAAACTTTTACTGAATATTTCTCCAAAAATATGTTGAACTTATGTTAAACTTAATTTTGATGCTCTTTTCATATAGCCCTGTGAAGAAATATACAGTACAACTTTCCAAAAATGGGGCTCAACATTTGATTTTTGGACTAGTTTCACCACCCCATTAACTAAAATCCTAAAATATTAAAAATATAAATGTACAATGTATTGGTGAACAATAATAAAATTAAGCTTGTACAAAATTTTCATCGAGTACTATAATCTCAGTCATTAATTTAAATTATTGAATTCGAATAAAATTATTTATGCTTATTTTGCGATAGCTTAATATTTTGTTCGAGTTCAAAAAATAAGTACTACTACTATTTTGATTAAAAACGTATGTACTAAGGTAGAATTGAAATGTGAAAGCAATGTTAGTTATTTTTCATGAATTTATTTCGTATAACAGTAAACATGAACATTTGGTGTATATGTGTTGTATTAAGTACGGAAAAAATATGTAAACAGAGTACGAACTATTATAAGCAAGCGATCATGATAATGTTTACGCCTACATAAATCTTATTTACGAACATTGACGAAAGTTAAAATTAAATAAACTAGTAAAACCAATTTTTTGGCGTCTCCGCGTCATAAATCTGCATCTGTAATAAAATACTTATCTGATTTATTTATGTCACTTTCAAAAGAATACTGAACATACGGAAGGGTTTTATATATAATAATATCCTCTCGAAAGATAGTATCTTAATTCTTCGATTGTTTATGTGTATCCATTTTTAAATTGGAAGTCAAAATAAACATTTGAATAATATGAAAATCTTATTTATCTTGAGCGTAGAGTAATGTTTGGTATTTGAAAAAACATTTCCAGATAGTTCTGCAAATGTTAATCGTTATTCTTGATATTACGATGAATATTTTTTATGCCCATATAAAATAAATGTACATTGAAGTATATCAATCAAAAAATTGTATAATATTAAAAAGACAACGTCATTCCTTACATATGTCAGAAAAGATATATATGCGTATAAATATAAATAAAATTGTAAAAAAACAAATGAAGGGAAATATTTTAATGTGAAGTTACAAAGGTTATAAAAGATTTATCGAACATCATTCCCCTTTACCCGTCCCAAAAATGATGCATAACGCATAAAATGAAAAAGTATAAAAAAAAAGATAAAAATGAAAATAAGTATATCTAAACGACCTAATTTTCGTTTTGCATTGCCTTAGACAACGGGATAGAATGAACGTATTACATATAGCTATGAAAATATGAACACTTTCAAATTATAAATTAGAGCTACGTAATATTCTATTTTGTAAACATGAAAAATGACAAAGTCTAAAATAAAGAAAATATTATTACAATAAGAATAATCGCTGGGCGATTAACTTACATCAAGTAACTGTGCTACTCCGATGTAATAAAATAATAATGTTATGTAATTAACATACAAGTGATGTTTTAAATCAACGAGAAAAAAAGCATCAGCAAACATGTGTCCTCGTAATTAAAAAAGTCACTTGACTCGATTGTACACTATTTAGAATGAAAAACGCAATGAATGTACGATATCTAATAAATGTATTCTGCACCAATTATTATAATTTTTCATTTCGGCTATTCTGTCCCTATTAATTGTCAAAATTTATATTTAAATCTTGTAAAGTGTTTTTTCAACTTTTTATCATCAAATATTTGCCAATCGAGTTTTAAGATTCGTAATTTTGGTACAAATTTTATCCGCAAGATGTCGTATTATACTGGAATAGTTGGTTTTATCGGCTGTTTTCACAGTCGTTAGTGACAGTCACAAAGCGACCACCCGTATACTTTACATGTTTAAGTTGGTTGGTAAAAGTACTTGCAAGTAGTTTACTGTGCAGTAAAAAAATAAAAAAAAATATCTGGAGAAAGCGGAAATCCTTGTGCATCGAAATATCGAAGCGGTTTTTACTTAAAGTCTTTAGTTTGTAAATAAAAAAATATTGAAATTTCGGCTTTTTTGTCTGTGATGTTGTCAATAAACTCTAATAAAATAGTTATTAAAAGTGGTTTTTTGGGTTGTAATATAAATTCTCACGCGGGTAATTTTTTATTCTTTCAAATTACAAACGAAAAACTAAGAAACAATCGTAATTTCGAAAAATTATGAAAATGATCTCGCAATCGTCTTCCAACCCAAGTCTGCTGTTGGTGGAAAGATGATATTCTTAATTACGATTGTTTCTTAGTTTTTCGTTGGTAATTTGAAAGAATAAAGTTTCCCGCTTGAGAGTTTGTATTGCAAGCTAAAAAACTACTTTCAATAACTATTTTATTAGAGTTTATTGACAATATCACAGACAAAAAAGCCGAAATTTCAAAATTTTTTTCTTTACAAACTAAAGACTTGTAGGTGGTCGGTTTGTGACCGTCACTGACGACTGTGAAAACAGCCTATTGACCGAGCAAACCGCGAAAATTCAGCAGCTTAAAAATTACAAGAATGAAGATTTATCGTAGAAATTTTTACTGAATTCTATATATTTACATTGATTAAAAGACCCTTCATCGAAGATGATAATCGCATAATGAAATTGCTTATTCTTTGCTCAGCATAATGAGAGAATCTTAACAAGTTTAAACTGACTTGAAACTGAGTTAATTGTTCGAACCCTGAAATATTGAATAGCTGTCTGATTAGTGTTGCAGCACTAGTTTCTACTTGGAAACTTTTTCAATTAAAAAAATTATCATTGGAGAATCCAATCAGCTTGTCAACTGACAATACAATCAGTTGGGCCCTTTTCTACTCTTATAGAAAATCCAATTATTTCTCATCGCGCGGTAAAGCGGCTATCCTCGCTGCTCATTGATGATCTAAAAATGCGCCATCGTTTTTCTATCGCTTTCCTCGAGTGGCATTTAAAATGCCTTTACATATGATAGTGTGGCATGTGAAAAAAAACGTCCCCACCAGCAGCAACGTCGACGTCGCTACCACCACCTATGCATGAAAGAAACACGACGTTATACGTGTACGGGCACGCGATATATATTTTCTCTTGTAGCCGCACGGAATCAGGCGCGCTTGGCTTCAGCGAATCATCAGTTGCAGTCGGTTTGTAAGCCCGGCCGTGTGTACAGGCGCCTATATTTTCCTCGCTCCTCTCCAGCAGCGACACATCGGAGTCGCCTCGCCGCGGCGCAGCAGCAGCAGATACAGTAGTTGGCAGTAAAGCGCGCGTGCGTCTGTATGACTCCCCTACTACCACTAATAATCGACCACCCGCACGTTTTACTGCATAGGACAGTGAGTGAGTGAGAGAGAGAGAAAAAGAGAGGCTAGCAGACTTCGATTTTCCGCTCGATCCTTGCCTTGCGCGTTGGAGGCCACCCCGAGTTATAGTTTTGTGCTCTTCGTTATACCTTTAATTTGAGAAAATCAGAACAAATTTAACAAAAATAGAAACCCCAAGCTTGAATTGTGAATAATATATCGAGGAACAAAGTTTCAAGCTCGTTCGCCATGGCTGACAAAATTTATAAACCAAATCCTGAGCTTGCGAGTCAAGCTCACTGCAAAAGCATGGAGCAATACAAGGACATGCACGAAAGGTGAGTTCTTCTTGTCCGTACTATTAAATCAACAAGATTACTTTCGGAGTACTTGAAATCTCTTTGAGCAGCTTTTTGGAGCTTTATTAAGACTCGCCTACGCGCTTTAACAGCTCCTTAAAAGTGAAATGACAACCCCAATTATAGTTACACAACCAAGATCGAATATCTTTAGACTACCGGGATCTCGGTGTTTCGGTTATTTTCAAATTATTCGAACAAAAGCTCTAATAATTAATTCGTGATTAAAGTCGCTCACGCAAAAAGTAAATCGGCCAGACTCGTGTGTTCCGCAAATCGCGACTGCTATACTCGCTTTTCACCTGTTTTAGTCGCGCACATTTTGTGTGTATAAGATTATGCCACGGGCTAACGCGAGCGCTGTAATATTTATGAAGTAAAGCAACATTCAGAAGAGGCATTAGGCTTGAGCTGGACAGCAATATTTGCGTATGATAATTTCGAGTCTTGAGCCATCGCGCCGACGTATCGTCACAATTGCAACATTTATTATTCACCTATTCTCACACCGATTCAATATTAAGATTAAAATTTCCTGCTCAGGCTCGATATCTTGGTTTGATATATCTGCATCGTAGGAAACGAATAGCTCACATCGAGTAAAACGTGGTACAATTTCGCATAATTCCTGACAAACATAATTAATTAATGACAAGTTTAATTTGGCCGTGTCTCGGAAAAATGTAATCTTTTGGGGAGGGAGGAAAATCGTTAGGTCGTGAAGAAATTTCATTAAAAGAAAATCAATAAAAAGCTAAAGAAATTCAATCTAAATGATTCTATGATAAATTTATAGGTCTTGTGAAGCCCATAAATTCGACAGTCAATATATATTTAGAATTAATGAACCCGTCTCACCGTTTAAAGTACAACGTTATGCACATTGAATGACTTAAAATAAAAAAAAGGCTAGTTTAAAATTGTTATTGAACTCATAAAAGTTTTTTGTTATCCATTTGGGAATAAATTCAGATTTTTCATAGATAAAAAGCATCAGCGTGTGAAGGGTCAAGTGATCTCGATATGATGACCACTCGAAGCTTTGAATTATTCCTGCCTGCACGACGCAGTGCAGCAGCAAATTAATAAGCGGACTTTTAATAAGCAGACGCAGCTGAAGGTTAAGGTTGAGGCCTCGTGTGACGGTCGGTCATAAAGCGATAAGGGCACGAGCAATCCTGTACCGACAATAATAATATTCAACTAATTTGTACATCGAAACATGGCTGTTATTTTTGGATTATTAAGAAAAAATTTCAAGTCCGGGGACTCGGAAAGGCCAAAACTTGGAAGAAATCATCTAATTCGGGAATCCTTTTAGGTCTGGTCGATATTCCAGCTATGACGTAAAACTCCTACGATCCCACTGTAACTCGAGTGTGAGGCGCGCTTACATTTTAGTTAATGCGTGTAAAGAGCATATATACTGCACTATTACGTTATTAAATTACATTACTAAATTATTTCTACTAAATATCTTGTGTTATTCACCTCAGGTCCATGAAGCACCCAGAACAATTTTGGGGTGAAATAGCCAAGGATTTTTATTGGGAAACTCAAACTACGGAAGATAAATTTTTCTCCTACAATTTTGACATCAACGAGGGTGACATTTACATCAAATGGATGGAAGGTGCCTCAACCAATTTGAGCTTCAATTTACTCGACAAAAATGTGAAAAACGGCAAAGGAGATCAAATCGCTTACTACTGGTAAGATAAAAATGAAATTTTATGAGATAAAAAAATTAATGTATCGATCGAGCCCCGCGGACAGAGAGTTAACGGCGTAAAAAAGAGGCTTCAATTATTCGAAAGTCAAACAAAACTTTATTCATCAGTAAAATAGACGCTACGAAATTCCCAAGTTTTTTTTCGAAGCCAAGGCGAGTGACTTGCTGGACTCAAGGAAAAAGCGATTTTCTTCACCAGACGTGTCTGAGTCGGTACATACTAAAGTAGGGAAAAATATTACTCAAAAGCTATTGTTGAGCCGAGGTGAAACGTACAATATGCCAATTAGAAGTAAGTTAAGTTGTTACTAGATGCTCGTATACAAACACAAATATTATATGTAAAAATAGAAGTTGATGCATAATTCATGAATGCGCGAGGAGAGACGCTGAAAATTCGGTTGGTTGACACGACTCAAGGCCACCTGCGTCTCGCACGAGTTGGAGCGGTTTTGTCTATGTTGGTTCGTAATTGCTTGATCCTTTTTTTCGTAATTACTTTTCTCGACTCTTGAGGCGATCGATTGAAAAACATGCTCACTAGTGTGATGAGGATCGAAGTGCGAATCAATGGACCCATCTCCGGCTTCACTTCAGGATGTGTATCGTACAATTCCTTTAATTAATTGACGCTAGAACAAGTGCATCCGGCTCGTAAATCAACGATCGATGACAGATTAGCTATCCAATCATTTTAACAACGGAACATTTTCCGCAACAACTCAAAAGTGCACACCTGCGCGTGCGCGCTAGCATGTGCGTATAAATTAGCGAGTATGCCATTAACCCCTCGCTTTACAAAAGTCATCGCGAAAAATGTTTACAGCAACGATCGTTATAATTGCCGATCGTCGTGATTGGCTCTGCTGCGCTTCGCAGCTTGAGTTTTTTGATATACAATGAGCCAAACGAGAAAAAAATCCAAAAATAATTCCGATTACGCAGGTTCTCCGTCGACGGGTGCTCGCTGTTTGCCTAGATGGTTTTGGCAATCGAGGCCCTCATCTGTTCTCCTTTTCTCTTTCGTTTTCTTTTTAATTCCATGGACAGGCACAGTAGCGTTGAGAAAAAAATCTCGCGTGACCAGAAAGATCGCGTGGTATTGGGCGAAAGCGCATGGTGCGAGTATATGGCGTGATTTGACACAGTAGCTTTCACGCGCGCGCGTTCATCTCCCCACAAGATCTTTGAAAAAATCAAGCGATTATGAGAAATTATTTTTTTTTATTTGAAAAAAAAAACGAAAAATCTGCATTTACGTAGAGATTTTTCTGCGTCAAAGTGACGTAGGTACTACGAGCTTTATACGAATAATCGCGAGCCGAATAAAATATGCAAAATAACATTTTCATACGCGCCAAGAAAGAAAAGAAAAAATAGAAAAAGACAAGTAGCGAGCAATGTTTATTACATACACGATAACGAATTCGAAAATATGACTATTTCAGTTTTACTATTAGACATGTAGCGCGCGTATACATTCTGTATGCGTATTATACGCGTGTAAACTACATAGTCGCGCGCCGCTGCATTAGCATGTTTCCGTGACGGCGGAAACTATCATTATCTGTACGTCAAATGCCGTCAATGTATAATACCGATACTTTTTCCCAATTATGCAAGAAATATAGTCGACGAAAAAATATGAAACTAGGCTACAGGTACACGAGATTTAGCGAAAATCAATTGGAAACATCGAAGGAGAGAAAAAAACGCCTCGAGAGCTTTGAATTGGCCCAAGTTTACCTTTTGACAAATTAATCCTCGTCGAGGCGCGGGCGTAGTATTAAAGGGGAAAGTTGGAGAGCACGAGGTATGGGAGCGACAGCGCCGCGTAGGTCGGAGCTTTGTGCCGACAAGGTCGCTCTTCCCTTTCTTCGTTGCACGTGGAAATATAATAAAGGAAGAGAGAGAATAGACACTATTCGAATAGGCAGGCGATATATCCGTATGCGCGATGCCTATCGATGTTACTTACTGCATTGAACAAGTTGATTAGTAACAGCGCAGGTAGAATAAATCACTGTATGGACAATGATGCCTCGACAGAAATTAGAACTACGTAAGTAATGTGTCTCATTACAACGAGCTGAATAATAGCAAACGATCTTAAATATTATGGGCAAAAGAAATTCATTTTATGATTATCAGCTCAAATTCATTGATAAAATAGAATTAATGATGATTGGAAAATTTCACTCATTCGTTCTGTAGGCAAGCTAACTGAATATCGTTTTTTCGTTCCAATATCTCGGCATAATGTCGCGTGCACGATCTGCGAAGCCCTTGATCGTACGGTAAAATTGATACAATAACGCCAAGTTCAAGTTCGAGCATAGGCGAGAGGGAGCAAGACTCTCGAGAGCGAGAGAAAATTGATCGAACGATCAGAAGAGAGAAGCACGAGTATACATAATACGCGCGCGTTACGTCATGATTCTGTCGAATGATGTGTACATCGTTACATGTATAAATCCACACTGACGATGCACGAGCGCCACATCTCGTGTGAATTGCCGATAAAAAATGATCCGATTTTTCCGTTTAAACGGACGATTCACACTGACGCGTTTCTCGCCTGATGTTGTTTCTTTCGCCAATTGTACATACGTAGTGTAACCCTTATCTTTCGTATCGTGAACAATTTTTCCGACAAATTGCTGCATCTCGTCGCTTTTATCATTGCAGAATCGGCAGTCGATAAAGTTTGACATGTCGACGGGTACACGCGTTAAGATTAGCTACCGGACAGCTAACGTATAAAAATAATATATAATGCAACGATTGCGCCGCGGTCGACTTTTGAGAAAATTCGCGCTCAAGACGACGATGAATTTGTCGCGTCTACGCACTCGTTTTACCCGTTTTTCAGCCAACGTATATTACATGTATTGTTAAGATGCATTGCTTAATATAACTATAGCTATATAGACATAATAAAAAGTAACGTCAAAGCAAACATGAAAAAGCCTGCTTACGCCGCAGCTCGCTTGACTTTTGACACTTACGCGAGCGCGTATTTGAAATTTAAATGGCTAAGCGCGTATACGACGCTTTATTGATACATTCCGTGCCTTGCTGTATTTTTTTTTTGTTTTAACAACGCACACATTTGTATATAAGCTTATTTGAATTTGTAGAGCCAATAGCTCAATGCATATAATTGCCATAGACGTTTTAATAACAGCCACATTCGCACTTTAAATTATATCAGTTTTAACAATGACGCTTAGTTGAGCAAATTTAGATTGTCAAAAGATGATTATAACATTGTGTTCGTATAATTTGAAAAAGTTTCAGTTGTAAAAAAATCGAAAATGTTGTGAACTGCGTGCGTAGGTTCTGTATGATGTGTCGTAATAAGTAATTTACCTGACCCAGATGTGGGCTTCATTACCGCAGCAACTAACTCTGAAAATTGGATTTTATAATTTACTTAATGACATTCAAAATACGACATACATACGACATACATAGCGTGCGTCTTTGTCAAATTTCTCAGCAGTGAGAGAGAAAAATTGGACATCAAATGGCACAACAAGATACATTTATTTTCTATACGTTTAGCCGACATTTGCAATGTTTACAAGGTACACCGTTGTCTATTGTTCGCAGGGAAGGTAACGATCCAGATGACTATTCGCGCATAACGTATCTGAAACTGCTGCAAGAGACCTGCCGATTCGCCAATGTGCTCAAGTCAAAGGGCGTCCAAAAGGGCGACCGCGTCGCCATCTACATGCCTATGATACTCGAGCTGCCCATCGCCATGCTCGCATGCACGAGAATCGGGGCTGTGCACAGTATCGTCGTAAGTATCGCATAAAGTTTGACGAGATCGATCGGCTTAGCGGGAGTAATTGGGACGGGAAAAGCGAATAATCTCGTTGGGGGAAACAGTTCGCAGGCTACTCGGCCGATTCGCTGGCTGAGCGTATCTTGGACTCGAAAGCCAAAGTACTGATTACGGCGGACGGCGTCTGGCGCGGCGAGAAGCAACTTATGCTCAAGTCCATTTGCAACGACGCTCTCGACAAAGTCGCGCAGCAGGGTCACAAGGTTGACTCGTGCGTCGTCGTGGCCCATCTCCGGAGGCTCACCAATCCTCTGGGCAAACAGCACGTCGGTTGGTCACTTTCTCTTCTTACTTCCCCACTGGCATGCTTTGTAAAAATGTCCGAACGAAGCTCGAGCAGAAACACACCTGCGTCTTTTTTTTTTTTGTTATTTTATTTTTACCGAGCACGACGCTTAACATAATGTCAATCGAATGCGAATATGCATAAGTCAATGAACGCGTTTTATACGTTCGGCAGAGACGAAAAACGGCACCAGCAATGGCAATTCGAACGGTGAGGTCGTCTGGGACGACGACAGGGACTGCTGGTGGCACGACGAGATGGAGCAAGTCGAGCCGAGCTGTTATCCAGTCTGGATGTCTGCCGAGGATCCCCTCTTCATTCTCTACACAAGGTGGGTCTGATTTTTTGATTTTTCATGTTTTATCGAGGAGAAAAGCTGTTGGCACGAGGATTCATTGAATTTTTAGCGGCTCGACGGGAAAGCCAAAAGGTGTCCTGCACACCACGGCGGGCTACTTAATATACGCGGCAACGACCTTCAAATACGTGTTCGACTATCATCCGGGTGACGTGTACTGGTGCACCGCCGACATCGGCTGGATTACTGGCCACACTTACGTCGTCTACGGACCACTGGCCAATGCGGCCACTTCCGTTCTAGTAATTGCTGCTGCATACTTGCGATGAAACTAATACATCGATGATAATCTAATGATATTATTCTTGCAGTTCGAAGGTACGCCGTTTTACCCGGAAAACGACAGATACTGGTCCGTCGTCGACAAGTACAGAGTCAGTCAGTTCTACACTGCTCCGACGGCCATTCGCTCGCTCATGAAATTCGGCGACGATCTCGTCAAGAAACATGACTTGTCCAGTCTTAAGGTAAATTAATCAGCAGTGTAGCATTATTAACAAAAAAATTATCCCACGATCGAGGTAAAATTTATTCTCAACGGTAAATAATCAAGGTTCTTGGCTCTGTGGGTGAACCCATCAACGCCGAAGCTTGGCTCTGGTTTTACAATTTGGTCGGTCATGGCAAGTGCAGTATAGCCGACACGTTCTGGCAAACGGAAACCGGAGGTCACGTGGTTACTCCATTGCCCGGTGCAACACCGATGAAACCAGGATCGGCCGTGAGTCGTATAGATTTTTTCAAAATAACGACACGACTAAGCGAACGTTGATTCGATATGTACTTTTCTTTGTTTTATTTTGTTCTCAACAGACCTTCCCGTTCTTTGGCGTCAAGCCCGAACTACTGGACGAAGACGGGCGCGTGATCGATGGCGAGGGCGAGGGCTACCTCGTATTCCGGAAACCCTGGCCCGGCATGATGCGCACCCTCTACGGCAACCACGAGCGCTTCCAGAGCACTTACTTTGACCGTTTCCACGGCTTCTACTGCACCGGCGACGGTGAGTAGTCACTTTCATTTTTCAGGAGTCAATTTTTTCTCGAGCTCGGGACCCGCGTACTGAGCTTTGCTGCCCAATTCCGCCTCCAATCTGACCAGTTGGTTGTACCTGACGATGTTCGGATTGGAGCTCGGTGCGCCGACTTTGAATACATCGGCTCCTATTCCTATGGCGAAGTGAGAGATAAATGTGTCGTCCGTTCCTACGTCTCCTGGAACATTTTCAAAGACAAATGCTTGATCGCATGAACGATGCAATTAGAGGATAAGAGGCAACTTACCAGATCCTATGCAAATACTCCACTTGAACTTTTTCGCATGCTCCACAAATTGAAGAGTTTCACTTATGGTACCGATGTGCTCCAATCCGAGCGATACACAACTTGCGGCTTTTTCCGCGATAGCTTTTTGGAATCTCGTTAGGTTTGAACCGATTAAATGGTCACCCACCATCATCACGTTCGGCAGATCAGTCGTTAAAGTAGTCCAGCCTTCGTAGTCTTCTTTGTGAAGAGGATCTTCCAACATAATTACGCTTGGGAAGTTTGTTTTGATGTCCTTGTACATGGTGATCATATCTTCGCTTGACTTATATTCTTCTGGATCTGATTCTTCGGATTTAAACTTGAGATCGTATTTGCCATCTGAGAATGATGATACGCAACAATAGATTAGGATATGACTTAATATTGGTAACCAATAAACCATCGATAACCTTTAAAAAAAGCTGATGCGTTAACGTTAATAGCTATTTTAACTTTTCCCTCGTAACCGGCGCCTTTGATAGCATCCTCGATATGTTGGATAGCTTCGGTATTTTCTTCTAAATTTGGTGCCAAAAAACCAGTATTACCTACTAAAGGAGTTTCTAATTTATCTTTTAAAACTTCAATGATGTTGTAAGCCATTGAATGTGCCTCTTGTAAATCTCGTGCTCCTAGTAATTAATTCGATGAAATTTATTAAGATGGCTAATAAAAAAAGGCAGAGAAATATTTACCTGTTGGTAGAATCATAAACTCATCGAAAGAAAGTTTACTTTGGGTAAATTCTCCACCTCTTATGAGAGTAAAAGCTGGCACGGGTATGTAAGTCGAGCAGTCGGAATTTTTAATGAGCGATGCGACGTAACTAGAAAAAAGCACCGCGTTGCGATAAAAATGAAAACAAACAATTAATTTGGTAATTTCACTAGTTGATAACGAAAAAAAAAACTAGTCTCACGTGCTAATGGCCATGGATTTCTTGAAAGCAGCGGCTTTGACGACAGCTATGGAGATGGGTAATATGGCATTTGCACCTAGATTCGATTTGTCAGCCGTGTTGTCGAGGGTCCGCATCGCAGTGTCAATGTCGTTCTGCTGCTGAACTTCCAATTGCGACTTTATCAAGCCCTCGCCGAGGACTTTTTTCACATTGTCCACCGCTGCAGAGATTCAAATGATACTCGTCCTTTAAATTTCACGGATTGTGCGCAGCGTACCTTTTCTCACGGAGCTCCCCTTATAGACGTTTTCATCGAGATCTCGCAGTTGGACGCATCCATGCTCGTAGGGATTGAAGACGTTGGCCACGCTGGCACGGAAGCCGCTGTCGTTCACGACGATGTCGACTTCCACCGTTGGATAACCAACGTAATCGAGTATCTGCCTCGAGTTCACTTTAACGATCGGCATTTTCGAGATTTAGTTTCAGTTTTTTATGCGACGAGAATTTTGATAGGTTTTGACGAAAGGACCGTTTTCAAAACGAGATATCTTTAAGGTTAGACAATTGATTCGTAAGAAAAAACAAACGAATAATTGTGCAAGTGCTAATAATATTCACAAAATCATCGTAGGTATACAAACTCGTGATATTAAAAATTATTATTAGAAAATCATTGTTCTAAAACGTTTATTATTGTTCAATTAGTGTTTTGTTTGCACTCAAACTGAGCGATGAGCGTAAAAACTAGCTGAAGATGGCTCGTTTTTATATTTCCGAATTATAGTTCATATCATTCGTCGTTTTTCAGGCGCCAGACGAGACAAAGATGGCTATCTTTGGGTAACCGGTCGAATTGACGATATGTTGAACGTTTCCGGACATCTCATGTCAACGGCCGAGGTCGAAAGTGTTCTGGCCGAGCACAGTTCCGTAGCTGAGGCTGCGGTTGTCAGTAAACCTCATCCGGTCAAAGGCCAATGTCTTTACTGCTTCATTACGCCCAACGAAGGCAAAACGTTCGACAAACGTTTGCAAGATGAGCTCAAGAAAAAAGGTAAATATTGTGACTTGTCATGCGCGCTTCATTTGTTCGATAAATTTACCGACGACGTCGTTTCGTTCCAGTTCGTGAAAAAATTGGTCCCTTCGCTCAACCCGATGTCATCCAACATGCTCCAGGACTTCCGAAGACCCGATCGGGCAAGATAATGCGCCGAGTGCTGAGAAAAATTGCCATTGGTGACAGAAATGTCGGCGACATATCGACCTTGGCCGACGAGGGAGTAGTCGATTTATTGTTCTCACTTAGGCCACAATAAGTAACGCAACATGATTGAATAATTATTCTTTCCAATATACTCTTTAACGTTGAAACTTAGAAAGAAAGTACATCAAATCAAGTTGTCCTGCTAAAATCAAGGAAAATGAAAAATATAAAACCAATATAGTTAGATGTGGATGGAGAAAGAACTAAATTATTATCAGACAAAATATGTTCACTTTTTGTTCGCACAGGTGATCACATTAGCATTCGGTATCTAATGTATACTTACATCTCAAAATGAAAAAGTACCACAAAGACGATGCAGTTTTAGATAGAATTTTTAGCTAACGTTTAAACTTGTTTGTCTTTAATTGGCCAATTTTATACTATGTGTTATTAGTTTCATAAGATAGTCATATGTGCAGGAAAAAAGCACGCAATTGTTTTAATGATTAAAAATGAAAATGATACGTTACGAATTAATGCAAGAGCACGCAAAAAAGGACAACGAAGTAGTTGAACAAAATTACGATGAAAGTTCTTTTATATTACATTAAAAATGTAGATTTATTTTTACAGTCTATTATGGCTCTATGTCGAGATTCATCTTATAATCTCTTAAATAATACTTAATTTGTATGCGCAACATCTGTAAAATTATTATTTTTTATTACTTTTTATTTTTACACGTGATAGAAATGTTTGTAGAGTCAAATAGTCAAAAATCTTTTTTTTAAGCTCCTCGAACCTCGGAATGAGATGAGAAAGCGTCTGAGCATAAGTTCCTTTCAGTAGGAGTCTTCCACAGTTTCATTAAACTGTTGTTTGTAAAATGCATAAGAATGAAACCAAAGCATCAATCGTCAAAAACTGCTAACATTGAAATCATCAATAATACAATTTTTGTTGCTTATATTACTACTTCCCGATGGTTCTGCATCAAAAGCTTTTCTACAATTAAAAAAAAATTAATAAAAAAGTTTAAATAGAGGTGATTTCAATGGCGGAGATTGACATAATACTTAAGCGTAACGCTCGATACAATTAATGCATGCGCACAGCTTCGTAAATTTACGTGTCGTAGCAAAAGCGCACAGGAGTGATCACACCGTCTAATTCACAAACAATTAGCTAAATACACTTTAATGAAAACGAAAATTAAATCTAGCAGATAAGAAATCATTAAAGTTCAACCAATCGGGTTGAATCTGAAAGTATATTACCAGTTATACAAAGCACTATGCATAACGCACCTCAACGTATGTTGTATTGTCGATATAGGTACAACGATTGCTTAACACAAACACACATACGCTCACATGAGAAATTCGTGATATTTTAATAACTTTTATCGTTATAAAAATAAAGACGTATTGAATCGTCCTGGTGCTGAATTGAAATATCATCATTCTAAAACAGCTGTTCTTTGTTGATGAAAGATCTTGGAAAAAATTAAACAGCTATTTTTTTATAAGTTTTTGCACTCTTCAGATCTTAAAGTTAGCAATTTATATAATGAACGAAGGCAATTTTTGTCGATATAATTAATCATGAAATTATGACTCCACTGGCTGGATTCAAATTTTTCTCGATTTATATACGGTCAATGACGAAACTCGCTCACGCAATTATATAATATTGTAATAATAGTAAAATTCACCTGTCAACCCAAACTGCACGAGCTTGCATAGTTGTATATGTATAATAATTGTCATAGCAAAATTAATAAGAAAACAAAAAAAGACGAAAGTATAGACACCGACACGTAAGGCAATCATATTTTTTTAGAATGATATTCGAGATTATTCGACCATTTGCGTGAGGTTGAATTTTTAAACAGAAATCTGTAAGCACAAGATATTAAACTAAAAGGGGCGATGATGATAATGATACCTACATTAATTGTAGGGACAAATGAAATTCGCTAGGCGTAAAGAGGTATATGGCGTTTATGATTTGCCTTTTTAATGATCGATGAAACAATTTATATATCAATCTTATAAAATATATACAAATTACATGTGTCTTATACAAAATAATCGCGATACCGCCGCGTGATATTGTATTGAGAATAAACTACATAAATGTAAAGGAAAAAAAACTAAAAAAAATATTGTATTGATACTCTGTAACGCCCACAATGAATGATGTATATCCTTCAACCCGTTGACGGGGACAGAAAAAAGGTTTAAAAGTAAAAATTAAAAATATATTATCAATGTAGTGTATATCTTATACAATGTGTTCGAAGTGCGCGAGGAAGAATAAGAGTCCAAAGTTACTCTCGGGAATCTTCACAAATGAATAAAAAATAATATTTAAATATGATCCACGGAGTCTCAACAGCCTATGAGGCTCTGTTCAATACATATCATCTATTATAATTATATTGTATATTATAAGTGGAACAAGAAACTAACTTTAGGTGTGATATATATGGCCGATTCTCTGTGAATTAGAATAGCTAAAAAAAATTTCTGATGTCATGAAAAACTCATTGTTTTTGATGTCACGCATGTCCCCAAATTTTATTAGAAATATTTTTATCATTCTTTTTTAAAGGGGCCCACAATTGGCGTATTTCTTAAAATGAAAAAAAAAAACATAGTAATTTAAAAAAAAAGTGCAAAAGAGCTTTTTACAGGAAAATATCCAAACTTATTAAAAAAACTTGAGGAGGATCTGAGCCCTTTGGAAGCTTACTACTATAGAGAGAAATATGAAGATCATAATCTAATCACGTTTGACCGGACTTATACCACAAAAATATTCTATTACCTCCTAAATTTTTGTAATGCGTTTTTCAATTCTAGCAGCAACAAAAAATCCAAGAGTATTATAATAAGGCTAAAACTTTTAAAAAAAGCCAAAATAACGGTAAATAACGGACTCTTTACAAAAATTTAGGAGATACTAGTTTATATTGTAAGAAAGTTCTGAAACATTTTTAGGCGATCGCTTCTAAAGTACACAGACCTTCTTGGAGTATTAATTTTGTAAAAATTTGAAAAATTTCCACTAGAAAAGTTTAGCAGCATTTTTTACTAATATCACTCTGGATTGAGCTATAAATTTTTTAAATATTAGTAATAACCATGAATATAAGAAAAATGTTAATTTCATGCCTCTGAAAAAGTGCTGTTCTCAAAATTTTAATAAAGTTTTGGGACATGTATGTCATCAAGAACTAACGATTTCTCGTGCCGAGCAGATATTTTTTTTTTATCATATATTTTAGAGTGTCCCTTATTTTTGTCTCTTCTCTCTCTCTCTTTTAGATGTTTTTAATAAATCATAAAATGTTACCGGATGATTATTAAAAGATTTTTTATACGCTATAACCGGATATGTTTGAAGATTATAAACTTATGAAATTAAGTTACTTGGGGGGAAAAAATGTCTTTCGAATAAAAATCTATGTAACCGCTCCGAGCTATTGAATATTGAAATGATTTTATTTTGATAATTTTTCATTCAAAAAATAAGGCGAGAAAATGTATACCTAAAAAAATTGAATGTGAATATCAAAAATCACTTCCTAATTTTTAAAATTATTTAAAATTTTTAGGATTCCACTAATTTTTCAAAAATATGAAAGAGGTATAAATTAACGCGTGTTTTCTTAATCGATTTTACATTTTTTCGTAAACATAATTTTTTTTCGTTAAGTTCTCCTTTTTTGAGTGAAAAAATTGCAAAACTTTAAAATCAGAAATTCTGCGATCTAATTTATTTGAAAACTTTGCAATTTTTTAACTCCAAAATGAAGCACTTGGAAGGAAAAAAGTTTTACTTAAAAAAGTTAATGCGTCCAGGAAAACCTGAATAAAAATTTTTTAATAGTCATCCGGTGACATTTTATGACATGCTGAAACAATAAAACGAGTGGGAAGGGAGGACAAAAATAATTCAAATAAATTAGGGAACACTTTAATATATATGTGTATGTAAACTAAATATATATTAGTTGATTTATTTTAAAATGATGGATATGTGTGAATGTGCTTGATTATGTGCATGTGTAAAATTACGTTGACACATATTCTGAATGTATATATCTATGTTGGAGCATAAAATTATCGTTACGTTGAACAAAAAAGATCAATAATGTTGTTGTTTTTATCATTTCAAACATCTTCTATTACTTGTTCATACTACGATTCGATTGAGTCACGCATCAACTTTTAAAAGTTCGTGATTAGATAGTTTATCAAAAAAGCGTACCTAATCTTTCCAATTATCCTTGAGGTAATGCCACTATAAGCAATATTCATGGAATATTATTTGATTAGAAGGGGTCGATCTCGTAGGCGGTAAATTTCTTGCGTCATCTCAAGAATTGTCGCGTCAATGCACCGAAAGGCGTTGTAAAAAAAGCATGCATAAGCACCTCGATAGCATGTAGATATTTGGACTTTGGGGCAAAAGGGTGGGGGATCATCGAAGTCTCAGGCGTGCGCGCGTCAGCAGAGCTATTGCAACGCTCAGTAACTAACGCGACGCTCATCGAAGAGCACGCAAATTTTGGCAGAGTATTAAGTCCATTTTTTGGCTTCGAAATTTAGACACAGCACGTGCGCGTTGAACCCATTTTCAACAATACTTTGAAATATTTTAGGCGATATGTCGGAGTTGGATCAGTATTATGATCTCGTTATCGAGCTGGTTAAACAAGGTGGTCAGGTAAATAATTTTGTGTACATTCTTTATTTTTGCTTCGTGTAATTTTCGATAACTGGAACTCGAATCAAAGTTACTCTTTGCTTTATTTTTTAAAAACTTAATCGATCCATTGATAAATTGCAAAACCTTACGATATAAAATTAGAATGAAAGCTTGTGTTTGTACGAGTTCAAAGTATACTCGCAAGCATAAATACTCTGAAGGTTGAAACTTCTATAAAAAGACGAAAGCCTATCTATGTAAATTCGCCGAAAAAGTGTATTCGTTGTTTGATAAAAGATTTCTCTGTGCCCATTTTGAATCAATCGCTTCCAATTATTAGTTAAGCTTCCATGAAAAAAAAATACTTCAAAACTTTCCCTTAGCCACGGATGTTTATCGAAAAATAGTATATTGTTCGTTTGAAATTACGGCATTTACTGTCAACATGTGGCCAGCCGCACATTATCTGTTTGATGCGGGCTTGTGATAACTGTCTTTTGTTGGTCAATACGAATGGCTTGCTGTAGTGGTCGTGATCGTGCGGAAATGAAACCAAAAATTTATAATCGTTGGATGCTGGTGACACATGTTCACCTCCAAGCACCATCGTCGGTGCGTCTCGCTCCTCGAGGTCATTACTCGAATCTTGAGAGGTAACCGTACCAATGCTTTGTTCAAAATGATAAACAAAATTTATTTACGTAACTATACTTATTTGTCATGGCCTTGGCCTGGCATAGAGAAAAAAGTGGATGCGTCGTGCGGTTGGATTACTATTAGCGGCTATATACACACTCACACATACATATACATATATGTATAGCTTAAAAGCGCGAGCCATCGATTATTTCATACGCATGACGTTATGACGAATATATACTGTATCCAAAGCTACCTCTTCCGCGGCTACTTTTAACATTAAAACGCAAATAAATTGGTTGTGTCGACTATTAATTCTATAATTATTGATGAAATCAAATTGAAGCAAAACCCTTTGGTACCAGGCTCAATTGTTAAAATGAGCAATTCGATGCAATAAATGTCAATATTATCATGTATTTCATGTGGATCCAGGTGTCGACTGCACGTTGTTATTATGTACCGACTGAGTTCCAAAATCGATACATAATTGTAGTAAAAATTTCTCAACCCATTTGTTAATTACTAATTAAAAAATCAGTTTTGTTTTCTTATTCGGGTGAATTAAATTGATTTCTATGTTAGTTTAAATTATATTTTAGAAATTAGAATTGTAGTGTAGTATATTACTGCCCTGAGCCACAAAAAACAGAAAAGTACCAGTGCATGTGTTTATCGGCCTCGATTTTGCCTTGGCCGCTAATTACATATGCCCTAGAATTTATCTGTTTTTTTTTGCGGCGCAGGGCAGCAATACATAAAATAAAATATACATTTTCCGGTCACTAGAAGGATTCTTGTGGTCCATTGACTTAATTAGTTATTAATAATTTAAATGTTTATGAAGTTACTAACGGCGGTGGGCATATGTTTTCATTATACTGTAACTTCACGATTCTGTTATGTCTGTATCTGAGTCTCTAATGAAAATTGAAAGTTGTACTATCTGTAATTTAAAAGCTCAGGATTTTAACTTTGCGGTACATTTCAGATTTATTTTTGTTTTCAAAAAAATAAAAAAAAAAATACAAATCGCAGAGTCTGAGCGTGCATAAGCTACTGGCTATTTTCACTTGCTTAAAGACCCTGGCCAGTACTCAAACATACATTTATATACTTGCAAATAAGAACACTATTAACTTATATAGTTAAAGTATCAAAAATGATTTTGCAGTCACTCTGGTAGCCGTATAAACATTTAAATTGTCATTAATTAATTACCCGACTACTTGTCTTTAAAACAATCTCGATTTTTTGATTCAGCGGGGAAAAGTATAGCTAAAATCATTGTTAACTATTCCCGTGAAATCAATCGGCAAACAAACCCTTCTAACGGCCCGGACTATTTGAACAAAAATTATTCAATCATCATTATTTTCATAATTACAGCTAATAAGAGAAAACATCAACAGGCAAAAAACCATATTAACCAAATCAAGCGAAGTCGATCTTGTGACAGAAACCGACCAAATGGTGGAGAAGCTCTTCATGAATGGAATATCTGCAAAATTTCCTGATCACAAGTGAGTGTTACGATTCGTTAGATGCAAATATTTCAATGAAGCCCCAGAAATACGTGTTATGTTGAATACCAATTTGGTCAGTAGAAATCATACATTTATTCGCGACTACATTTTTGGAATATACGTAACGACAAACTCATTGAAAAAGTTTATCGAAAAATAAAGTCGATAATTATTTGACTCAATAATTATAATTAAAATAAATATAATGATTACACGCTGATCAGTAAGAAAAGACATTAACGAGACAATTTTTATTCAATATTAACACTGCATCAAATTTCTAGAAAAAATTTACTACAAATATAAATGCAAATTGAATATTTTAAAATTGAAAATGTAATGTAATGAGAAAAAAATTCAAAACAGATTTATTGGTGAAGAGAATACAGCCGAATCAAACCGTCGAGTGGAACTGACTGATGCACCAACATGGATCATCGATCCTGTCGACGGCACCATGAATTTCGTTCACGCTATGCCTCACACTTGTATATCAATCGCTTTATACGTGAATAAAGTGGCTGAAATCGGCATTGTGTACAATCCTGTAATTGAGCAATTTTTCACAGCACGAAAAGGCAAAGGAGCTTTTTTAAATGGTCAGCGAATTCGAGTCTCTGATGAAAAAGGTAAAATATTGATTTTACAATTCAACTCAAAGATTGGTAGTAATTTTTAATAATCATCAATTGTATAGCTCTGAGCAAGGCCCTGGTCATGATGGAAATGGGTACCAGCAGGGATCCAGAAAAAGTCAGAGTAGTCATGGAAAATCTGAGAGCCATTGTACCACTTGTTCACGGGTAAGTAAGCAATTCATAATTCCTACTTGCAAATAATTGACTATTTCTACTTATTATTTTTTTTTTACTTAGAACGCGCGCGCTGGGCTCGTGTGCATTGAACATGTGCATGGTAGCAATGGGAGCTTCCGATTTAATGTTCGAGTTTGGCATTCACATTTGGGATATCGCTGCTGGCGATCTGATCGTTCGTGAAGCTGGTGGTGTCTGTATAGATCCAGCAGGTATGCTTAATCTAGGGTTTGAATTTTAGAAGATGATAAAATCATTTACATTTTCACCATAAAAAATGGAATCTTTTTTTTAATAGGAGGCGACTTTGATGCTTTAAGTCGTAGAGTTTTATGCGCTGCGTCATCCGAGTTGGCTCATCAAGCGACGCAAGTCCTCGTTCAGTATTATCCCGACAGAGATTAGATTAAAAGCTGTAAAATTGTACGTGCAATTTTATCGCATAGAATCAAAGCAGCGTTTTATGAAACATTCCGAAGCAGAAATTACGCAATGCGTTAATCCGTTAAAATTGTTATGTGTCAACATTCGATGTCTGATCAACAACAAAAAATGTATAATAAACAAGTATATTTTTCTGTGAAAATCGAAACGTTATCAATTTATTTAGATTAAGTATTATTTTTGTACTTGCTGAATTGCAAATTTAACCAAATTATGTAAAGTTTGGGTAGGAGTTGTTTCTAGTAATAATGACAGTATTGTTAAAATTTAATTATTTTATTCCTCGAAATCCATCGATGACATAATAGTAACAGTATATTTACAAAAATGCATTACTTAATTTCATTACTGAAGTGTACTTCATATTTCTGGTAGATTCCCAAATAATACTATATTATCACTTCACAAAACAAGTGTATAAAATCGATTATGTTCAACACGTGCAGAGTAAGGTTTTTTAAGTTTTTAAAGTACCGCTGCCTATGAAAAAGTTGAATTCGTTAGGGACATCATTTTTCAGTTTACTGAAGTTGATAAATCATGAAATTATGGACACCTTACCTGCTCTCCAGCACATACTTACAAAAGATGCGCGGAGAGTCTTTTTAGATTATTGTCATTCGTTGCTTGATCGTGATTGACGTGATTGATGTATTAATACACCCTCGTTTTTCTTTCTCGCGTTCGCCCTTCACCATTCCGCTTTTCCTCCACTGCCCTCAGGGAGGGCTATAAGTAAAAAATTACCAAATCTCTGATTAGAAATATGCATAATTTTTTATTATCATGATTCTAAATGATACGGCTCTAGTTAACATGAATAAAAATTTTTAATTTTAAATTGTCTATTATAATATAAGTATTTTACGAACAAATTTGACCGGATTTTTTTATTGAACAACTTGAATATTTAATCAAATCAACTCGATTTTCAATGTAAAAAAGTACTAACCCTGCGGGTTTTTCTGATATGAAAAAAATAATGAACTTCTCGTTTGAAGTAATATAGATAATTATTAAATGAGAATTAAAGGACTTCTTGTACTTCTTTTAGTTTTTCAAAAATAAAAAAAAAAAAAAAAACTACACGTTATAATCGTAAAAATGGTGTAATGCTAAAATAAGTAAGTCCCAAAAGTCAGTTTCCTAGAATACCTTGAAACGGAAACAGCTATAGGCCCGTGTTAACGTCCAGTTGAATTTATCCAAAGTTTCAACTTGGGAAGACTGATCTGAAACATAAGCAGCTGCATAAAATCTACCCGATTGAAAATTTTTAAAAGAGCCATTATATCCCAATTAACCAAAAACTATTTTCCTGATTGAATAAAAAATTAATTAATATTAATCAAAAATATACCCTACTGATGAAAACCAAGTTTAATTTAAAATTAATCCGGTATTTTATAAAACACCAGTTTGGATGCTAAAACACTCAGCTTTATTATCACATTAAAATAAATTCTGAAAAACAAATTTTCTTAGCTATAAGATAAAGCCTTAGTTTAACATAAAGAACTATTGAAGTTAAAAAATAGTACCTAAATGATTCATTTTCAAGAATCATTGTGATGAAAATTCCGAGATTGATGACTTAAATTTAATACGAAGATTGAAAAATTCAATAACACACGTGAAATCCAAGCTCATTTTGTATAAACATCAATGAAAAAATTACTTTAAAAGCCGAGATTCAAAATCAAACTCATTTTATTTCTCAGGCGTATATAACATATACTGTACAAAGATCTCTCGTTATAGAAATTCTTTTCTAACACTCGTGATTGCTCTGTAAAACTTTATTCAACCCGAAAATTACTAAATCAAATTACGTAAAACCTTGATTAACTTTTTAAACCTTTCGATGATTATAATATAAATCTAAATTTCTAGCAAATTTATTAAATACAACTTGTAAAGCACAGACTGTACTGGTGATGAACATTACAAATTAGACGAATGATAAATATCTAAACTCATCATAACCCATGAATATACAATACTTCAATGTACAATTTTGCCATCTACGAATGTACTCCATTTCAATACGCCTCAGGAGTTTTGAACGGAAAATTTATCTTACATGTTCTAAATTCTTATAATTTATTAATCAAACCTCCTTTGGTTATTTTATTATCTAACTAAATTGAATCAACCCCTTCTATATTTTGAGCAGGTACACATTTAACGTGCTGCAGTGAGAAGAAAACATTTTCAAGTTCACCATTAAGCATAAATTAGGTTTCGTCAGAGTTGTTGATCAGATAATATACACGCACTTAGTAACACGGTAAGTGCATTTTACCTACGTGTATATTCTTTGTGTAAGATAATATATCTTATATCTTCTCTTGAATAAAAGGATGAGTCAACGCATGATTTACTGTTATCCTTTTCCCAGCATCGAGCATCAATGTACGTTCGAGTAAATCTTTCAATTGAGCTACTTTACGAGCTTGTTCTGTAGGTAAGCCTGTTCCTCCTAGTTCAGTAGCCAAATCCCTGGTGATGGGAAGAGTTGACATTTGTACAATTTTTTCCTGAAAAAAAGGAATCACATTATTAAAAGATTTCAATTAAAATTATGAAATAATTTGTATCAAGTGATATTTAAAATTGTTTTAAACTTACTCTTTCTGTAACTTTATCAACTTCGTGATACAAGAAGTTGCAGTTACTATCAAAGTGTTGATCTTTGAATTGACCTTTTCGTACAACTTTATTGGGCATTTTTCCTTTTAAATCCATAAAGAATTTGAGCATTTGATTATTTGTTTTTCCAGAAAACATGATTTTCCCGGTATAGAGTTCATAAATTGTACAACCAACCGACCACATATCAATGCCGAAATCATAAGGTATACCTAAAACTGAAATTAAAAATAATTTGCTTAAAATATTTAAATATCAGATACTGTAGAATATGCATGAATTTACTTATAGTCGAGTATGGGTGTTAAAAAGTTTTTTCATGACTGTGATAACAAAATAACAAATACATTTTTAAAAATGATTGAGATGCTTCTTAGATCAAAAGGAGCAAAAATTAAATAAAAAGAATATAAAATTATTTCATTTTAAATTACATTGATCAATGATCATACTCACTTATTTCAGGTGCTCTGTAAAATCGAGAAACAAGGTACGGCGTTATCTCGTTTTCATGTGCAAATGAAGCAGAACCGAAATCACACAATTTTAGAACTAATTTACTTTCACTGACTAAAATATTATCTGGTTTTATATCAGCATGCAGAATGTTCGCTCTTTTTAACAATTTTAAAGCAAGGAATAACTGTTGTGTATATGATCTGACAGCCTTTACGTGTAATCCAACATCTTTCCCATACTTTTTCAGCACTTCTCTCAAATTCATTGACAAAGATTCAAAAACCATGCACAAATGGTTTTTGTGAAAGAAGTGTCTAAACAATCGTAAACAATGAAATTTATCTTCAGCATCTGCGTCATTAAGTTTTCGAAGAATCTCTAATTCTTTAAGACCAGTACGATGCCTATAATTAATAATAAAATTATATTAATGATAATTGATCATATTTCTATTGTTTCAATTTAATTTTTAATTAAAATAAAATAATTACATTATTTCATTATTCCTGATTATTTTTACAGCTACATCCTGACCACTGCGGAAATTGTCTCTTGCTCTAACAACATTACTGAATACTCCCTGACCAGTATAACCATACACTACGTATCTTGAATCCAAAGTTTCACCAACACGAACTCTATAAGAAAAAATTGATCATTAAAATAACATGATGAATGTATCTTAAAATTTTATAAATTGATTTTACCTGTAGTAACCTTCAGCATCATCCCAGTTATCCGTTAGATTAGGATTATCATGCCCTCCATGACGTTTAGAACCATCAACGGTTGGACTCTATGAAAAGAAAAAAATTTGTTTAATTTGCACACATATTGAATTAGAAAAATGTAAACGGGTAATCAAAACACCTACATTGAAATCACCGATATTATCTATTTCTGCAAACATATCCCATTCGTTCGATTTTTTTGTAGTTGATGTCTCATTACTCTTTTTACTGTCTTTACTGTCTTTACTGTCTTTACTATCCTTACTATCCTTACTGTCTTTATTTTCGTCCTCGATTTTAAACCAATTTCGTTTATCAGGTAACGGTGGCGTATGACTTTCATAAATGGTTCCATTACTTTTCTCAGGTGTAGAAGAACACTTACTTGACGGACTTTCTGTACGAAGTGATTGTGCTGGAGGAAATTCTAAAGATAAATTTGAGTCTTCATTCGGTGCACCTAGCCGCTGTAAAACATTATTAATATAACCAGTTATAATTTTATGTAGGCGATAAATGATATTAAAGTAATTATTTTCACAAACCTTCAATAGTTCTTCTCGCTGCTTTCTTCGACGTTCAATGATTGCTTCCTCATCTTCATCTTCTTCAATGTCGATATCTTTGATATCTTCTTCACTGGAACTGGACTCATGTTCTGGTTTCAAACCTTCCGATAAAGAATCTTTAAATTTATCATTTCTTTCGCGTTTTCCATTTTTGTCTTTTTCCCGTTCGCGATCATGAGTTTTACCATACCTATCTCGATCTCCATGACGTCCTCGTGAACGAGACCTTGAGCGTCTATGACGGTCACGGTCATTCCGATCCCTGTAATAAACAATTTTAATAGAAAATATTGAAAAAATATAGACGATGGAAACCTATTTTACGAGAACAAAACAATATTTTACAATATACATACCTTCCACGGTCAAGACTTCTGGATCGGTGTCGGTTTCTAGAATTATCACGTCTATCGTGTGCTCTCACATCTCTACTGTCCCTAGGATGATCTCGTCCATCTTTACCTAGTTCTCTGTGTCTTCTACTGTCTTTTCGATCACGACTGCTTCTTCTATCTCGTTCGTGGTTTAATTGTCGTTCACGACTAGAATCGCGTCTAGATGGTCGAGACGGTTCTCGAGATTTATTGTCAGTACTTCGTCGGATGGTGCTACTGCTATTTTTTTTACGCTCTTCTTCCCTACTAATAAAGAAAATACAAAAAAATTTTTTAACTCTACCAAGTATAAATTGCTTCAAAATTTTGTGTTTTATGTTTGCGATTTTGAAAAATAATGAAATACAGAAAATAGAAAGCAAAAATAGTATAGTAAGATCACCTTCTGTACCCATTGTATAAAAAATCACATTTTTATAGCTTCATGTCTATAAAAATGAATTAATGTAATAAATTTATTTATAGACATTCAACAATTTTAAATATTTTATCATTTTTTAGATCATATCAAAAAGTAAGTGTCTGAACTTTAAAGTCATTTTTTAGAACAGTCTTAGTAAAAAGTTTATCTGAAAAAACTTACCTTTTATCGTGTTCTCTTTTTCGAGATTCATCTCTTTTAGCAATTTCTTTGCGCTTGTCATCTTCCAATTTTTTTCTGGAAGATTCATCTTTCTTTTTGTCATCTTCTTTAAGTTTTTCGCTTGATTTTTTTAAGGAAGGTCTATCATCTTTTTTGGAATCAACTGTTTCGTCTTTGCTTTTTGATTGAGAAACTGAATATTGTGCCAAACATGCTTGAAGACGTTCCTGCAAAGCATAATTATATTCATTATAATTTTCTTCATAATCATTTGCCAAATTAATAAAGTAACTAAACACTATAAAATCTTTATTATTTATTTGGTGTATTTTTTCTTACCTTTTGTTTCATCAATTCTTCAAGATCAATATCATCTTCAATGATAGTACAATCTACTTCATCTGAATCTAAGTCAATGATAGTACAATCTGCATCATCTGATTCCAAATCAACCATTTTTTCATCTTCACTGTCTTCTGACTCTGGAATTTCTATGCTAGTACCAATTTTGCCATTCATTTCTTTATCTTTGACAAAATTTGAAACAATTTTGTCAATGACAGCTTTACCATTTTCTTCACTTCTGCTCTTTTTGTGTTTATGTTTATGCTTATGCTTTTTTCTAATATAAACATATTTTTCATGATTAATTAATAATATGAAGAAAATTTTTTGGTGAAATCAATGCTATATTTACCTTTCACTGCGCTCCAACTTTATGTCAGATTTGTCTTTCTTGTGCTTATGCTTATGTTTACGTTTCCTTTTCTTACTAGTACTGCTATGTTTGTGCTCTGGAGTTGAAAGTTCATTGTCGCTTAGTTCATCGGGATCTCGCCTCGAATCAGTAATACATTCCACATCTGAACTCCTACATTAAAAAAAGGAAAAATTAGACAAATTTTAATCAGCATGAAAGATAAAGAAAAAAAGAATTTTAATCAAACTTACATTTTGGCTACAGTGGAACCTCTCTGTAATCCTTACTGTAAATATTCCGTAAAAACTCCAGGCCGAGATTATTACGAAGCAAAATGCTATCAGCTAATAAATGAGGTTATATTTGATCGTTCAATAAATACTCTGACTAACGTTTGCTGTATGTAGCATGTCAATTGAAAACAGTATTTATTGCACGTAACAGAAACTGCCGGAGTAGGAACCAATATTTTTACACTGTCTCCATGAACAAGAAAAAAACATAAACTTCATTAGAAAAAACTAATTATAACGAGCGTAATGGCAGCAACACAAGGTATCCTCCCACGCAAGCGTATTTACAAATTTACAACAAGTTTAGCCAATAAGACGGTCAACACTAACTACTGTCACGTCGCGAGTAAGTATTGGATGCTGATATTTTGTGTACACTTCGTGAAAATTCAAAGAAAATGTCAATTTCACAAGTTCTCTGATGAACGATTTAAAGCAAGGTACACACACAGATTGACCAACACACTGCTTACGGAAACGATGTAGCGACGACGCATCATCGTCGCACATCAGTGAATCAGTCAGCAACAGCCAACAGCTGCTCCGTGATCCGTCCGTTTTCAGGGGCGCTTTAGTCGGCAGATCATTTTATGTGAGACGCGCATAGATTTAAATAAGTGAAAATGCTAATCATACCCTAGATGATTTCAGTATTTTTATTTGTTTATCAATTTGATAAGAAACTTGAACTAGCCTGGTCACGACTCTAAACTGTTCAAATTTTTTTTATTTTTAATTAATAAATTTCAATTATAATACCAAAACCATCAAAATGTTACCTATTTGATAAAGTAGTTGTTGCTGTTATGAAGTAACTTGTTAATAAAAGGACTCATTCGCAAAAGTGACAATCAAAAGTTTACATTTTACTACGATTACTAATCATAAAAACATTATCTGCGACGAAAATGCATTGTTGCAGTTCTAAAATTATATTGGTAAATTTTATCGCATATAATATGGATTTTTAATAATTAAATTTGAATTCAACTAGAGAAAGAAAGATAAAGCCCATTTAATCTTGTAAAATAAAAAAAATCTTTTTCTTCGTTATACAAGGGCTAAAGAAAAATTAATTGCCATCTTTATGTAAATACTGTCATAAAATTTCTTATCCGCATTAAATTACTTTACTCAAGGTTGCATTGATAGACATCAATAAAAAGAATCAATATTATAAAAATTTTAAGAATCTTAACGGCACGAAAAAACGAATACTTATGTGTATTGGATAGTTTACCTTTAATTCGCGAGAATAAATAAATTATATTGATACTTCAAGTCACATTCTTATTACAATTACATCACTAACATTCTCAGAAGCAAATACAAATGTACGAATAAAAAATTCCCAGTTTCAAACTTTATATTTGATCAAATAAAAAATCCACTCGTAATGAAAAAAAAATCTAAAGTCTGAATTAGTGGATACAATAAATAATACAATTTAAATGTAGTTTAAAAACAAATTTTTTCCGAAATTTTATCGAACTATCTAAAATAAAGATGATATGAAATTTTAAGGTGAATTTGTAAAATAGGCACGTGTTTTATGTATAAAATCAGAATAATAAAGTCCTCGTTAAACAGTCTGATAAAATTCCTGCAATAATATTGAATTCTAAAATACTCTAAAATATTAAATTCGTAATTTCATTTGATAATGCTTGCTTTTATATAATACAAAAAATATATACGACTAAAAACTAATTATTAATATTAATTATTCATAAATAATATTTTCTTATACAATTTGGTATTTCAAATGTTGAGAATGAGTTCACATATTTAATTATAATTTTTAAAAGTTAGAACTTAAATTCGATTTTAAATACTATTGAATGATATGGCTTATAATTATATCAAGTTCACGTTAGATTAACAAACGAAAAAGTAACAAATTGAAAACTGCAGTTAAAAGTTCGTTTAAAACCTTCATCTAGCACATAAGTTTTGTATACAAAATGTTACTATGTAAACGGAATATAAAAATGTAATATGTAAAATATATTAAATGTTAAACCTTTGTTTATAGCAAAATACTAGTAAGAATAAAAAGTACATATTAAGTAGATAAGCAATATTTTATTGATACTTCATATATTTTGTAATTTTTAAATGTTATAGCTAATGGGTAAACGTTAAAAGATTGTTTCTAATCAAATTTTTCTTATATTTCTAAATTTACTAATTAAATATGATAATGATGCGAATAACCAAATATGCTACAGTTTTTGTTGTGTTTGGACGCAGAAATATTTTATAGATGATTATAAGAAACAATCATTAAATTTGTTGAATTAATGCGAAACATTATAAACGAATACATATTTTTTCCGTTACAATCATTCTCATTTCATTGAATTTAGTTTTTAAAAAAAAGTATTTGCAAACTAAACTTGAAATACGTTAGAAACACTTTTAATTAACTAATATAATAATTATGATAAGATCTGCATAAGTGTCATAAGTAGAGATACACGATGCAAGCTTTTTATCTAATGCAAGGCTGAAATCTCAGTGTATTATGAGTATATAAAGAAGGATCGTAAAGAAAAATGCTTCATAATACTCTTTCATAATTGTTTATATTTTTAAAAAAACACGCATAGATATATTATTCGAATCAATTGTTTAAAAAATAATAATCGATAATTCATTCTTACAATCTTATAAATATTAAAACTTTGGTGATATAAAAATTGACCTACTATTCTCGATCATAAGTTTCAAAAAGTACTCGATGATAAAATCAAGTTTTATGTTAACTTATTTTATGAGCTATACTATTATATTTATTGAACATTAATTAATGTTACTGAATAAAGGAATTTTTCAAGAGAAAATTTCTGGAAAAACTTCTAAAAAAATTGCTCAGCAAAATAGTTGGCTCACGATCTATTTTCATACAAATAGCTGGCACGTGATAAGCGCTAGATTTATTACGCAATAAAAAAATAACAAAAGCATCATAATATAAAACTCACATTCGTTACTATTGTAAAAGGCACGAAAAACGTAAAATTATTCTTATTTACTTAAAAATTGCACGGATATCGTGAAACGCATATGCTTTTGATCGAAAGCTTGAAAAATGACAACCTTCATCGTTTTAGAGCCGATTCAAGATATCATTTGGCACAAGTCTAAATGATAATAACAAGTGGAATTACCGCAATTTTTCCGATCAAAGTACGTAACATTTAAAGGTATAAATATCACATCACGTATTAATGTATACACAAATACAATGTTATAGTGGGGATTTTATCCAATTTGCAGAGCACGTTGAACATGTTATATACGCATTTCACACTGAGCAGTGGGAGATACCACCAGAATGATGAGACTTGTTTGCGATCTAACACATCAATGGGTTTAAACACGAACAATAATGTTTATATAAAGTCCCAGGCAACAATTACTCACTAATCAGTCAACGCTTAATCGTCGAGCGAACGACATGTCCAAGTTTGTTGAGTGTATTTTCTTCGCTTTGATAGTGATAGGTATTGTTTAATAGTTGCTTTCGTTTTACATCTTTCCAACGATTTTATCTGAGTGCTGTGTTAAATTACTTTGGTGTTATGCGTTTGTTGTATTTATTTTTTAAATAAAAACTGAAGTGATATTTCACTTATTTTATTATTATTATTATCATTTTTTTTTTTTTAATTAAAAATAGTAAATCGAACAGTTTTTTAATAAACGATTTTTCATTGGGGGTAACTAGACTTTAATTGAAAAAGACTATACAGAATTAAAAAAAAATCTAGTATAGGTATAAAAAAGTATTCAATGAAAAACTGAACAATGTAAAAAAAATATAATTTTTTTACTGGTTTGTCATCTCAAGATTAGCAATGTCTAGTTTAATGTAATCAATGATATATTTTAAAGTGATAACTTCGGGACTTTTTGTAGCAATTTATCAAAAAAGTCAAGTTGCAAGTCACTGAAGACATAATATTCTATTCAGAGTTAAATGTTCATTGCAATGATAAGCTATGACGAACAAAAATAACATAAATTTTGTAAATAATCCATAGAATTAATCGTAATTAACTTCATTGAGTTATCTTGTAATTTACTTTATAGCTGTTGAAGCAATCCGAAATAATGGAGAGTTAGCAGAAATCAGCGAATTTCCGTTCCAAGTATCTCTCAGGATAAACGGAGGTCACAGCTGCGGGGGTGTGCTAATCACCCGAAAACATGTTCTTACTGCTGCACATTGCGTCAACGATTACATTGACCCCGCAGAACAAAATTTATGGTCCGCGTCTATAGAATTTGGAGCCACCCATCTCAATGCTGGTCTAAGATATCCCATTTCAAGGATATCCATTCACAAAGACTTCAAAAATGAATACAAACCGATGTTTTTGCCCAACGACGTCGCTGTCATTCATGTATAATTTTTTCATTACCTTTTTTTCTTACGGAATGATGAGCCATCAATTAAACGTTTTTTCTTTTATTCAAATTTTTATTTTTTACAGCTACGAAATTCCGTAAAATTATCTCCAACGATTCAGACGATCGCGTTGCCCAGAATGATGATCGAAGTACCGATGAATACCTCCCTCATCGTATCTGGTTATGGATTGGTAAACCATACGGCTTACCTTCCGTGGGACTCGCCATTAAGAAAATTCGAGACCAAGGTCGCTGGATGCGAAGCTATCAATACCACCACACTGTGGAATGTATTTTGCGATGAATTGAGAGTAGGATATGCCGCTTGCAATGTAAGTCTAGAGAAGCAAAATGGATGAACTTTAAATTTTACCGCAACCCGTGAATACATTTAATTTATACTTCAGGGTGACAGCGGTAGTGGCATAATCGATGCAAATACAAAAACACTGGTAGGAATCGTTTCTGGTATCGGTGATGAATGTGGAGCTGGAATAGAGCCGGATGTATTTCTCAAAGTTTCTTATTACATTCCTTACATAAAATCTGAATTGGCTTATGATCCGGAAAATTCAAAGATCCAAAGTGAACATCCTGCGAGAAATGTGGAGGAAATATTTTACATAAATGATTGTTATAGTCCTGGATGTGCTTATAAAAGTAAAGACTAAAGTTACTTATTACTCTGAATTATATTATGTTTTATGCACTTTCGTAACGTTTTAGTTACGGATTGAGATTGTCATTTATAACTGTACGTATCATATAAAAAAAATCGTAATAAAAGGTTACAACAAATAAAATTTTAACCAATCATTCTTATCACAAGTAAAATAATTATTGACATATGACAATGTATCTTTGTAGTATAATAGTGAATTATTATTTATCTGTTAAGACATCATTTTATTGGTTCTCAAGTCTATATTTGAATTAACATAAAGATTAGTATGAGTTTTCACGAAAACCATTTTGCAAGGGTAATAAAACATTCAAAAATTAAAATTCGAAAATATATTTCGATCAGTAGCATTTAAAATGTAAATAGCGCTACACTTACAATATATATTCCATTTATAAAAATTTTCATACATAGCTTTTAATGCTGGATAACAGTATAGTGCATAAATTTTACTTTCGATTTAATTCATAGAAAGGCACATTATTGTTGATTGCAAGTCTTTAAACACTACAAAATCTTTGAAACATTATGTCAGTGGCCTAGTATAGGAAGAATCTTTGGTTAGTACACATTTTTCATATTTATATAAATATCAAACACATTTTTAATTATAAACTTTGATATTATTCAATAATACTCAGTTGAAATTAATTATAATTTATATGCCTCTTAGTTAGAATCGAATAAATTTTTGTCATTTTAATTAAGTGCTTTATACTTTGAAAATAAATTGTAAAGAACACGCAATGTTGATTTAAGATCAAGATTCACAATATCTGAAACATAATTGATTATGGTTACTCGGTGATTAAGACATAAATTTAATAGTTTTTAGTCACATCTTACCTTCAGGTCTTGCTTTTGGTTTACACAATCCAATTTCTTGCATGAGCTCAAAAGCAAAAGCAACATTGTGTACTTTTTGTTCATAGTTCTTTGGAGTTAAATAAAAATTTCCTAATGGCACAAAGAAACCTTCTAACAATCCCAATAACAGAATTAAAAAGACTCCGTCATGGAATTGATTATCAAGGTCAGTTACTTCTAAATGTACTTTGCTCAAATGTTTATTGACAAATGTTATTAACGACTGAAAATGAAAATTTTTTTATTATTAAACTTATTTATAAACATTATAAAAAAATTATAGGTAAATAAAAATGTAATTTATTTGAAATCAACCTTTTTAACGACAGCTAATTTCTCTGGAGCATAGTCAAATAAAGCATCAAATGCATCACGCTCACAACGCATTCCCAAATCATCATATGTTCTTGTAATTTCTTCTTTTACTATTCTGTGTACTAACTGGCCATCTTTTTTTGTCACAACAACAATTTGAACTGATACTAGTTCTGGCAATCTGACAGGTGCTCTAAAGAAACGAGCAAGGCAAACTAGTAAATGCAATATTGCTACAATATTTCTAGAGTGGATTGATTCAACACTCCATTTGTAAGGAGGGTAAGATCCTAATACTCTATTAGCAGTATTTAAAACCATACACAATTTTTGTCTTTGTCCTTCTTCGGATTGAGTCACTTCAGGTACATCTAACTTTTTTCCTGTTAATTTTTCTATAAAAATTTATTTATATTATTAAATAATATCAAATAATTAGTATCATTGTGGAGTACAGATTGAACTTTAAAGCATACCAAGTAATTTTTGAAGTACTTGCCCATCATAAAGATCTTCAGTTATATCTTTAACAATTATTCTTTGATCAGCTAATTCGTCGTTAATCCACTCTATTAACACATGAATTAACTCTTGAACTTTTGGATTTTCTAAACTTTTAGGAGCAATCATAGACCTTTCTTCATTCTCTTCAAGATTATAATCTTCTGGAGGAACATCTAAATTGGCAGCAAAACCTGGAGATTCAATTGCATTTTTGCCTTCTTCTTGAACTTCTTGTACTGCAAATTATTGGTTAATGAATAATTAATATTTTATATGCACTAAGTTCATTCTCTATGAATATGCTTATTTACATGAAATTTTGCTGTTTTAAAAAACCTTTGAATTTGAACCATTGAATGAAAAAAATGAGAGTATTTTTTATTATAAATGTAATACCATATTAGGTAAAAGTCAATCGCTCAAATGAATACAATTAGCCTCACCCGTAAAATGTTTGATAAATGATATGTAGAATAATGAATCAACGCTCTTACCTTCCTTTATGCGTTTTTTGCGACCCAAAGTTCCAATTTTATCCCAAAAACTCTCCTCTTTATCATCTTTTTTGGCCGATACAGGCCCCGAACGAGGCGATTTTGGTCTTGGCGACGCCATAACTAGTTTGGTAATTCCTATATGTGTGCACAAATGTTTTACGCCAATGTCTTATATTTGAGCGAGAGAAAATAAACTCGAGAGCTGTGTGTTTACATATGTGAGCTGGAAATGGACGCACCCACACATTCTCAAACGAAACGCCAAGCCCGATTTGACAGTGTATATCCGTGTGCGCAGTCGACGGCGTGGCTGCGGATTTTCTGACGTAATTGCAACACGTAAGGAACGAGAGGAATTAAAAAGGCGCGTTTAAAACTTGTTGCGAGTATGTGTACGTAAATTGTTTTGCCAAGAGTTTGTTCCCGAGACACGTGCTGCGAAATCTTATAAACATAACAAAGTTTATGAAAACTTGGAAAATAATTTTTAAATTATGACAATTGAAGAAATGGAGTAATAGATAAAAGACGAGTAAGTACCGCTAGTTTTCATTCATATGCGGACTGCGGAGCCCAAAAAAATTTGAACCGACATCGAGCATTCATGAGAGATTCATATAATGTTTACATCCTCGTGTTATATTGTGTCACAATAAGCGAATGGTAAATTCCTTACCTGAAACTAAGTCGCTGTAATACATAGGAGAAGAATCTTCAGCACAGTGATTCATCATTTTATTATCTAGCCGCTCATGTGCTGCAGCAGCTGCATCACAGCCACTGCTGCTTGAACCATTCGTAAAACTTGCATACTCTTTATCGGTCTGTATAGTTTTATCGTCAGCGGTATAGTCAAGAAACGATCTTTTTCGCACTACGCCGATTATCACAGGACGATGATCCGCCGGATCTAATAGATCGTAGATGTTTATATCATAAGCTAGTGCTTCCGTTTGTATAAAACTATCGAGATCCATGCTAATTTTTGAGTGTTTCATTTAATTAAATATTTTTCTATATGATGTTTTCGATTTGTCACTTGTTATTTTCTTTTTTTCTGAATACTCAAACTTATTACTTCGCACGTAATGTCACTCTCTTAAGTCCACTTGTTCATTTGTCACGTTCATTTGAATATCATTAAACAAAATACGAACAGAATTACATTCAAGAAGAAGTAAAGGCACTTTGTGGTCCGACGTCATTATTAATAATATTGCCTTGAATGCAATCGTGACTGCTACATAATTGAACAGATCTTCGACACGCTGATTTCTTACTACGAGACTGCAAGATACACAGCGATCAATTACTCTCGATGACAAAAACAAACGTGGATGATTCGATTTTGTACTACTACCACCGACTAAACATGCACGATTCTTCCGCGCGAAATCTCAAGCAAAACTGTCGTCACAGTCGCGCCTTTCCCCACTCTCAATTCTCAGCGATTGAGAGATTAGTCGAAGGAACGATGAATTGAAATTTGCTGCTTAGCTGTAGCCTGTATAGCGGACGCTACTCGTTAGCTTTCGGTTCAACAACTGTCTAAACTAGATAGGTTATGTTTATGTAAAATATTTTGTTGATTTTTTTAAAGGATTGAATAATTGTCTGCAAAAATGTCTCTCGTGGCGAGACTGTGCGAAAGACACTCTGTCTATTTGATACCAAGTATCAACAATTTGACAGTGGTAAGAAGTGTTACAAAGGCCAGAATACCCAACACAGCAACTTCAAAAACAGATAAAGGAAAGCATAGTTTTTGTTTAATAATTGCGAAAAATAAAATTAATTGAATTCTCAATGGAGCACCTTTTAACTTAAACACTGTGCTGTCAAAACAAATAAATAACCAAAATCTTGTGAAAGTTATTGCTTTGTTACTTTAGTACTTACAACCAAAAAGTTCTTGTTTTTATTTATTTTGAAAAAATGAAGGATGATGTACATTTTAATTGTATAAAATTAAGTACAGTCTTACTCAAGTTGAATGAAATTACTTTTTAACAAAGTGTGCTTTATCAAGTTTAAACTTTTGTGTATAAAGCACATTAATTGTAAAATTCAGGAATTTAATTTAAAAACCTTATTTTCAGATGGTTTTCGAATATTGGAGTTGATACCAAAACCACCCGAAAAACAACAAAGAATTGTAAAAAAAATACAAGCTCTACCTCCAAGAATGAATCAAATGGCCGTTGATCAAGATTGGACATCAGTTTGGCCTGGACAAAGGACTTTTCATCCAGCATCTGTTCCTTTACCTGTTCGTCAAGGGTATCCAAAAAAAAATGAAGCTCCTCCTAGTAAATATGGCAATGCTGAGTTGATGAAAATTCCAAACTTTTTACATTTAACTCCTCCTACTATTAAAAGACATTGTGAAGCACTAAAAAAATTTTGTACCAAATGGCCTGAAGAACTTGACACTGATATTAGTTATGATAAACATTTTCCTTTAGAAGTTATTTACTCAAATTACTGCTATTCAGGTCCATCAATTAGGGAACCAATGGCCAGAATAGTAAGTTTTAGAGTAAAATTGTCCAATTTGACACTAGATCAACATGCAAAAGACAAAATTTTAAGACTTGTTGGTGAGAGGTACGATCCTGAATCAGACCTTCTCACAATTGTAGCTGATCGATGCCCTATTAGGAAACAGAATTATGAATATGCTGAATATTTACTAACAGCTTTATATCATGAATCTTGGGTAAGTATAAAAAAATATTAATTTATCATTTTCTATTACTAATTAAAAATATCGGAAAATTTTCTAGCGAAAAGAAGAATGGGAAAATGAAAAAACTCTTGCAGATATGGAATATTATGATTGGGATTTAGAACAAAGCAGAAAAAATTTAGTAACAGTATATGCTTGGCCTGAAATACCTCAAGATTATGATTATGAAAATATTCCTAATGCAACGGAATACAAGATTGCTGTATCTGATTTAGTCAACAATGGTGAAGATGATTTTTCTGTTAATAAGTATAAAGAAGCTGTAAAGAAAATTATGTTTTGGAAGCCTGACGGGGACAAACCAAATGAAAAATAAAATCTTGTTATGATTTAGAATCTGTTGTATACTCAATTGATTTCTGTATCAATACAGATGAAAAAAATTTAAATAATCCTACATTTATTTTTCTATTTGAATATACTTTTACAATTAGTTTCTGGAAATTTTTACGTCATGAACAAATTCCTCGAATATAACGAAGTTGCTAAAATAATCACCACACGATCAAGTTTCACCGCGGAGAATAAGAGCAGCTATATCAGGTCAAGCCCTGAAAGTCGCGTTATTTACTTTCTTATCATTTCTCCTGCATTCACATTGCATTGCAAAGAAGGGTCATTTTATCCGCGCCGATGACGACGCATGACGATCGGAAATTGCTGTGCAAGTAACTTACATGCAAGCCATGAGAATCCATGACATGTATTTTTGCTTGAGGAAATCAAAGTTTAAATTGGACTGCAAACTTGCGACAAACAGAGCTCATCGAATTACGAAGTCTACCGATCACACGCATAAAAAGTCCTGAATGATCTAAATGCGGTTTAGTTAGTTGAACAAGAGCTGCGAATCAAGATGTTGTGAGGTCGCAAAAATGCGCTACACTTTGGTACGTAACATTTTACTCGTGTTGATAATTATCTCAGGCGATTCGATCTGCAATAATTATAAATTACGAAATGGAAGCCGACGCTGAAGAAGACGACGGTGACGATATTACTGTGTCTTTGGCTATGTTCGAAATGCCGCATTGCACAGTGCTTCGATGTGGCCAGGACGCGATCCAACTACTTCCTCGGAAACGATTATCCGGAGGATCGGAACAGACTTTGGCTGGGACACATGGCCCGGCGGAGAATCGTCGCTCAACCCGTCGCCAGAGGTGCCACATCTTTGGGACTCGAGCCAAAGAGTGATGAGCTTGAGCTGCCTCGGAGTTATTACGGGATGCCTGCCGCACCTTTTGTGCCGTCAGTATATTCGGTCATTTTTAAAGTTTCAAATTTTCTTTCTCGCCAGTAAACAAATTATTTCTCACGTTCGTTTCTTCAGAGCTTTCGATCCGATCAGTGTTTTAGCTTCACTAGCGTTCCTAGCGTTTTTGCTGCAATCCTTCGCCGCGCTGTTCGATCGTACTAGAGCTTTTGTACCTACGATCGTCAGCAGTCGACGATCCAGCAAGGATAACGGTGAACAATTCGAGGATATCGAAAAACAAGTTCTGCGTGCTTTGGAAGAATATGTACGCAAAAATGTTGTTCTCTTCGTTCAATTTTTCAACATTTAATGAAATATAATGGGAATCACATGTTTTCAGGCTAGTACGAGTAACAATGTGCTGGGTGATGAGAAGGAACGAGAAAAATCAACAACCTTATAATCCTTATGATACATATCTCAAATTACGTACATTGAGACTTACACAACCATTTTTTTATTTTCTTATAAATACTACATATATCTTTAATATTAATTATAATCTTAAGTGCTTTCTACAGTTTATATGTAAAACTTGTCCAAGTAAATATCGTAAAAATCAATCAGATCTATATATAATAAAAAATCTCTATCATTAATTCGCCAATTATTAACCATATTATTAATTAGTATATTCGTATCAACAATAATTAAGAAAAGACGAAGCAACTCAAATAATAACTTATTGCTATTCGTTTTATGAAATAATACCTCGTTTGTTTTGTAGTATTTTTTAAAGTACTTCAGTCGATTCAGTTGTGTATTCGAAGTTACAGGTAGAAGCTACATTATTTTGACGTCAATTTCGTAAAAATTTTCAGTCATTTTCGGAGAATGCTAATTATAAACTTAGCTAAATGAAAATTATTAATGTAAAAAAGTGTTTTCGTTAATAATCACTAAGAATATCGGTAGTAGTATTTCATACAAAAAAAAAACATAAAAAATTATCGTAGAAAACATCGAGGTATAATTATTATGTTTTCGTAAAGATGATGTAAGCTACTGTCATGATCAAATGCACCACAGCCTATGCCTTTTTGAAAGGTGAAACATCAAACTCAAAGGCTTCATACCTAAAATGGTTTTCCAAACTAACCGAAAAAATGTGATAATTGAAAGATATATACACGTAATTGCTCTTTACAAATTTGAGATGTACTCTCAAGAAGTCTTTCCTTTTTTTACCATGGCACTCGAGACGATGGTAGGGCCGGCGTTATTCTGGGTCAAAATTTAATTTGAATTAGTATGAGAACAAAATATGAATAATGAATAATGAAAATAACTCACTAACTTTGCTGTCCCCCTATGAAGATTTGGTTTTTGATAAGGATGAGTAGATGTAAGTCCTCTTCTCTCTTTGTTCCTTACAGCTTTTAAACTTACTTCCGAGATATCCCCATTGAACGTTGGTGGGTTTATTGGAGGTTTCATTCTGTCTGCCTTCAATTTATTCAAGATAGCTATACTTTTAGCAGTCATTGTCGTTTTCTGGACTTCTTTATTATTTTCCTTGCCATTCTGTATTGTTCCATTTACGTCAGTTTTATTTTTGGGCGAAATTCGTTTAGCAACTTTGGGTGGTGTTCTAGAGTTTACCTGATTTTTGCTGTCGGATAGTACCCTTTTCCTGCTTTTGGTTTCTGGGAGACAAAATGTACTGTTCAATTGTTTTGGTTCAGCCGGAACGTCATCTGCATTAACATCTTCTATCACTGCAACGGGATCAGCAGCAAGAGTAATCGTTCCATTAAGTACATCAGATGTAGCAGGTATTGGACTGCTGAATTTTGTTGGTGTGCAATCAAATGTCATCTGAAGTTGTTTTTTAGGCGAAATAACTCGTAATTCTTCATCTTCAGAATCAATTTCGAGCAAATCTATCATTTTAGTTCTGCTTGGATTTTCAAGATCTTGCACACTGAGGCATGTGGTGCTGTAAAAATCTTCTTCTTGCTTGTTCATGTTCATATCAGACCATTTGATATTTTTAATCCCTTCCAAAGATTTCACTAAATGCTTGAACTCTTGTTTTAGTTTTTCTGTTATTGTACCTCCACCACGCATCAAATTGTAATAAGTCTGTAATGTAGAACTCATCATTTTTACTATTGTAGATACAGATTCCATTTCACATTGTTGTAGACTACTTATTTTTTTGGCATGTTCAAACTGTTGTTGCATTCTTAATGTTTCAACTTCAGAGTTCAAGAAATTTATTTTATCTTCCAACTTTTCATATAAGTTTTTGGATTTAATTTTCAAAATAACTTCAATAAGATCTTCTTCAATTTTGCATAGATCATCCCACATTGATTTTATTTGAACCTTTATACCTTCTCTTTGACGTTTGAAATATTGCAATGATTTATTGACTCTTGATTTACCACTAGCATTTTGCTCATCTTGTGGATGTATTTCTACTGTAGTTGTTAAATTATGAAGCCTCTGATCAGCAGCTTTTTTATAAAGGATTCTGCAATACAAAATTTTATCCGAACTTTCTAAAGATAATATTTTTTCATTAATTATTCGTTTTTTGTTATAAAGTTCTGTCAGTCTATTATTAAATTCGGTGAGATCTCTAGCTTGTTCTTCATTATTTGCATTTGATTTTTCTCCAGTAGCAGTTAAAGTTCCCTTTTCGTATGCTATTAGTTTTTGTTTTAAGGTTTCTATTTCCCTCTTTTGATCTTCAACCATTTTAATGTATCCTGTAACGTGCATTTGACAAGAAACAATATTTTTTTTAACGCTGGTTTTGATTTTTTTAGCTCTGTTAGCATATCTTAGTGTATTATATGTATCTTCAAAACTTGCACTAGATGGACTAATATTTGCAATCATAACTGTTTGGCAATTTCCTCCTAGAGAATCTTTTAAGAGTCTTGTTAATTTTGAATCTCTGTAAGGAATGTGCTTAATTCCATCGGCTAAATTGTTAATACAGTTTCCTAGAGCTAAAAGTGATTTATTAATGTTAGCTCCTTCTTTAAATCGTGCTCCTTTGCATCCTGTTGCAGAAGCTCTTTCAGATCCAGCCAAATCAATCATAGATAATTTGACATGTTTCACTTGACCATCAATTTTGCTGGATATGTTTATGTAAACTTGGAAAACAGCATGACTTCTACTACTTTCTTGATTAGCATCTGTAGCATGTTGAGTCCGATTTTTATTACCTTTCGCAAGGAGGGATAGTAATTCATCTGCATTATGAATACTGATAATTTTCAAACCAGCAACGACAACTCCAGCTCTGCCATCTTCTCGTAAATGTAGTGGTCCAACTTTGTGTAACAAATCCTGAACATTTTCATTATAAATTTCCAAGTAAGAAACACCTAAATTAAAATCTTTTGCATCCTTTTGTAGTTCCATTTCAGCAAATAATTCAGCCATTGTACGATAAGTTATACCAGGATCACCTTCTTTGCCAAGCATAGTATGAGTTTTTCCAGCTCCGGTAGCTCCATATGCAAATACAGAGCAATTGTAGCCATCCAATAAACTAGTAATGAGTTCTTTTGTACTACCTTCAAATACATCTAAATTAGATGTACTCATATCAAAAACTTTATCGAATACAAACTGCAATTCTTTATTTTGCTTTTTAAGTAAGTCACGACCTTTTTGTACAACACCTCGATAAAAGAAGGGATTTTCTTCTTCTTTAGGATCGAAAACAAGCATTCTGTCATCTATGATTTTCACTACGGTTTTAAAATTATCTTGTGATTCTTTTTCATTGTGCGGTCTTACACGAACAATAACTTTTATGTTCGTTTGAGCAGCTTCGCTGCGCACAGCAGATGTACTTCCACTGGTACTAGGTTTTACTACTAATCCAGCAGATCTTCGTTTCCCAAATTTTTTCATTTTACTAGGCGAAAAAGCCTTGTTTAAATCTCGTTTATTGAATACCATCTTGATTCAGATTTATTTGATGTTGAAGCCCTTCTGGGTATACCTAAAGATAAATAAAAATAAATTCAAAATTAAATTAATTTTAAAACTTGGTTATGATTAAATATTAAAATTTTTTGATGAAAAATGCTGTACAAATATTCTCAATATATTACAACAAATTTCATTGTTAATATAACACTCAAAATACACTTTCAAAGTTTTATATTTCATGTCCATGGCCCAATTTTTTTAAATTACTAATACTATTGTATAAAATGAAACTTGAAAACAAAATATTTAGAGAGGATTCAAGGCTCAAATAAATTTTAGTCATAAAAAAATAGAGAGTAATAAAAAGGGAATGAAAAAGAAAAAAAGAAAATATTGGTCATACATACTACCCTCAAAAAACTTAAACTGCCAAGCAAAAATATTCCTACAGTATGAATTATGATAACAATAAGTGGAAAAATAAAATCTGACATACACAATGAATTGAAGAAGTTTATTCAAATAAGCAATGATAAGTTCATGCATTATGGGATTGAGTGTTAATCATCACTCTCAAATTACTTGAAAAATGTACACAATTCACGTTACGCCTTGCGCACACTTTTGATTCATTAAAAAAAAGCGAATCCAATACAACACATTCGCACAATCACACGAACAATTGGCAAGGAACTGAATAGGAAAACTACTCGAAAGCATCCTGCAACATGCGAGATCACAGCACTTGGACAATAGCAAATTAGCATAATCTTCAAAGTGGAGGCATTGTATTGACACTGTCAAGGATGTGCGTGATCACTGAACAGGCTGCAACATCAAACTATACCAACAAACTGGAGCAAATTTTTACAGACATCTAGCGAACTTATAATTTTCCTCACCCAGTTGGTTATTGTTTCAATTTCGAGAATGATGATGGATCTTGAACGATGTACGTTTGTTGATTTTTTACACGCTATATAGAATTAGGAGAAAGTATCGCGGCAAAACATATACAATTGTATCCCCGGCGTAGTCTACCGAGCGCGAGTGCACAAGCGACCGTTGGCGGGATAGTTGCAATCCGACAAACATAAGACAAATTCAAATTCAAGTCAATGACGCATCGACGCCAGCGCTACCGTCGCGCCATTCACGTAAGCTTTCTACTTAATTCTTCCCCGGCTGTTTCACAACGTTCTTTCAGTGTGGCTCCATTCAGGCCCTTTCTACATGAGCCTGTCGAAAATCGGAGCAATCGCGTTCGGTGAGCCTAACGCATTCCAACTTCCAAGCCATTCTAAGCCAGAAGTGGCCTATTCTTCGGTATATGTCAAGTCTGTCGGTACTGCGAATCTCGGAGGCCATTTTTAATATTTCATCGACTGATCTCTCCCGCAGTTTTCTTAAATGGTTAACTTAATTCCCTCTTTCATTACGCCCCGGCCACGAGACCTATAATTTCATGGTCACTTCAAAGTATTTATGTAAAATATCATTATAATGCATTAAAAGGTTAAATTTGTCGAATATAATGAATCAGCTGATCAGACGCGGGAACATTTGAATAATGGAGCAATATCTCATGAAGATATAATTTATCAATAAGAAATGCAATAAAAAATCGATTTGAGACGTCAGACTGGGATTTAATGAATCAAAAATCAAATTTCGAAAAAATGTAGCGATGAAAAAAATGCTACTAAAAAAGCGGCGAGCTTTCAAACCCGGCCAGAGATATACATGCAAGTTTTGACGCGCACACTCTGAAAATCATCGCAGTTTGGAATAATCTGAGCGGATAGTGTTGTTTTGATTACATCTGCATCTCCGCAATACTAATAAGACGAGAAAACATTCCATTCTTGTCTTCGCAATGACACTGAAACATGAGCGAGGTGCCAGTACGCGCACCGAAATAGATCATCAGTATTCTTCCTTCTTCTTCTTCTTCTTCCTATCGACTCCGCTTGCTGTCCCGTTATGCTGTGTTTAGTGTAGGACCGCCACTGCTATGACTATCATTAGCGAGCACGCAAGAATATGTATCTATGTCTATAACCTCGTGCACATGTATATGTAGTCGGATATATAGCGCAACGAAGAGATACGTAAACAAGCGTGCGTTATCGTAAAATAGGCTCTTACCAAAGAAACGCAGTATATCGGTCCCAAAAATTGGCAATTACGAACAACTCGAATGAGGAGAATAGTTGTATCGATTCTCAAGGTAGTGGAGGATCGTCCTGTTTTATCTCCACGTAGAGGATGGTCCTGCGTAAGTCACTGAGGATCCTTGAAAGTTCAATCAAGCTCAAGGCTTCCGATCGTGTTTGTTTACGGGCTTTTTCGAGTCTGCCCAGACTCACGCCACAAGAGGTACTTCAATTTGGTCAATCAAAAATAACTAACGGCTTGTTTTTTACACACTAATCATTTTTTACTTTAGGTAACAGATATACTGCAAGCCAATGAATTTACCAAAGAATTTGAAGGTCCAAACTCTGTCAAGAGTTATGAGTCTAATCAGTTAGCATCTAATAATCCCATAGAGGATACCAGATCAGAAGCAAGATGTCTACTAACAAATGGTATTTATACATTTTTAATAACTAACTAATGATCATTTAAAATTATTCTTCAATTTTTTTGTTATTCAGGATTACTCCTTGGAGTGTTCGATGGTCATGGTGGCAGTGCATGTGCTCAAGTTGCATCAAAACGCTTGCTGAATTACATTTCAGCATCCTTGCTTCCTCCAAACATACTTGAAACATTCATTGACGAAATTAAAAAAGGAAATAATCCACAATTATTGGAGACATTTAATGATAAAATAAAGTTCATTAAAGAAATTGATGAATTCTATCATGCAAGTTTTGTCACTTTCCTGGAAGACTTGAAAAAAAATGATTCTGCAAATGAATTTCAAATGGAAGCAGCTTTGGAAAAAGCCTTTTTAAGACTAGATGATGACATTTCCACAGAAGCTTTAACAGCAACTGGTAAAAATATTACCAGAACATTATCTGTAGCAATGTCTGGTGCTGTGGTTTCAGTTGCCCACATTGATGGTCCTCACTTGCATGTTGCTAATGCAGGAGATTGTCAGTGTGTTTTAGGAGTTTTATCTGGTAAGTAAAAAAAACTATTAAATTGAAATGATGGAATCAATTACACATGCTTTTTTATTTTAAACAAAGATGATGGTTGGTCTACAAAAATGATGTCTGTGGAACATAATTCTGACAATCGGTCCGAAGTGGAGAGAATTCAATCCGAGCATCCACCAAATGAGAAATCATCAGTTATAAAAATGGAACGATTACTTGGTCAATTAGCGCCGCTACGCTCAATGGGTGATTTTCGATATAAATGGAGCAGAGAAATTTTAGACTCTTTAGCAGTGCCATATTATGGACAAAGTGCAATTCCTCCTAATTATCACACTCCTCCATATTTAACTTCCAAACCAGAAGTTGTATATCATAGACTTACTCCTAAGGATAAATTTTTAATAATAGGTAAGTCTCATTATTAATTCTTAAAATATTTCATTATTAAATTAAAATAATTTTTATAGCATCTGATGGTCTGTGGGATTTTATTTCTCCATTAGAAGCTGTTAGACTTGTAGGTGAACACATGAGTGGTAAAGTTACTCTGAGTCCATTAAAACTACCAGAAAAACACATGAAACTTTCTGATATCAATGAAATGTTACTTCAAAGAAAAGAAGGTTTGAAAAAGAAACCTCTGGATGGAAATGCTGCTACTCATTTAATAAGAAATGCACTTGGTGGTACAGAATATGGAATAAAGCATTCTAAAATATCAAAAATGTTAACGTTACCATCTGAAGTCGTAAGACTGTTTAGGGATGATATTACGATAACTATTGTATACATGGACTCAGAATTTCTGAGGCACTGTCCTTCATAAATAAAATTGTTACTACTTTTTTATGCTGTGTATAAATATAAATATTTCATGTGTTCAATAATACTGTTTGAAAGATTATTATGTAGAGCTTGTTATTTATTTGATTAACAATAAAAATAATTTACATACATAAGAATTTATACATCAATTACTCAATGAATTCCACAGCTTAATTTATATTTATAAAATTTATATTTTTGTATCCACTCATATTATACGATGAAATAAGAATGCAGAATAATAAAAAAGCTCTTTAGTAAATTAAAAATTTTAAATACAATCTTATAATAAATATTATGTCATTAAAACAGAAACTAAAATGTTATTGTTTTGATAAACATAAAAATTAACGATATGTGTACATAGAAATGAAATTTGAGCATATGTCACTTTAGCAAGTCTAATGACTTAATTACAGAAAATAACATGTTCGTCAAGCTTCTGGTATTCTAAAAATAGTGTCTCAAAATATAAATTCATTGCCATCGATGACAACTTCAAATTACTAACAAGTTAGCCATTTTATGGTAATCTTAGATGTTCTTCTGCTATCAGACAAACCCTTTGAACATTCTCATTTTCGTTGTAGATGCACTGAATACTTCGAAAATAGGAATAAGGCAAGCGCGATTGTGTTTAATTTTTTAGTTTATTTTATAAATTCACTCACTAGAAATTAAGTCAACCTTCTTGACCAAAATCTGCTTTGAATTTATCAAGCCTACTCATATCTTCTTCATTTACAGTTGGACGGGTGGTGCTCAGAGACTTCAACATATCTTTCTACAAAAGAATAAAAAGTAAGTAACAGGCTCACTATCTTTATGGTTATAATTATACAAAAACTTACTAATGTTACTGGTGGTTCAAACAATTTGTCACCCGGTACTTCCATCCAATTCATCTCAATTGCTGCTGGGTCTCCAGGAGAACAAGGAGTTAGTAAATCATCAACAATAATTGAGTTGTCTTTAGGAGATGGTCCTCTAACTTTTTTGAAATGTGTTGCTGTTTGAACTTGTCTTACAGGCTGCATAAGAGCATCTCTTACTATAATGCTGATATCAGCTCCAGAATAACCTTCCGTCATTGATGCCAATTTTTTAAAATCTTCATCGACTAGAGTGTGAGAAGTGTTGCCTAAATGTAGTTTGAACATAACTACTCTTGCGGGTTCTTCTGGTAGAGAAATATAAATTCTTTTTTCAAATCGTCTTCTTATTGCAGAATCTAAGACCCAAGGTATATTTGTAGCTCCAAGAACAAGGATACCATCATTATCTGTGCCAACACCTATGAATAAATGATTATGATTATATCAAAGATTTTTATCAAAAGTAAAATTTCATTCTCTGAAACTATATACTCCAAAAAATACCTTGCATTTGAACCAAAAACTCTGTTTTTATTCTTCTTGCAGATTCTGATTCATTATCTGATCTTGAAGAACACAAAGAGTCAACTTCATCAATAAAAATGATGCTGGGCTTATGTTGGCGAGCTAATTCAAAAAGATTCTTTACCAACTTTTCAGATTCACCTAGCCACTTACTCACTAAATCAGAGGAAGATACAGAAAAAAAAGTGGAATTGTTTGCTTCTGTAGCCAAAGCTTTTGCTAAATAAGACTTTCCTGTACCAGGCGGCTAAAATATGAATTTTCAAGTAATTATTATTCATGACTATAATATAGAATTGTTTTGTAAATTGAAGATAGTTGACTCACACCAAATAACAGTATTCCTTTCCATGGTATTCTTTTTCCTGTAAATAAATGTGGAAAGCGAAGAGGTAATATTACTGCTTCTTTTAAAGCTTCTTTAGCTCCATCCAAACCAGCTACATCACTCCACTTAACATCTGGTTTTTCTATAACTATGGCTCCTTCCAATTTAGTTTGTAGCTTCTTTTTTTCTGGATCACTATCTGTGTCACTATCCCCACTGTCACTTTTTTTATCTTCGCTTTTGGAACTATCTTCCCCAGCCTTAACTGGTTTCTTTTTACTTTTAGCCAAATAAGTTTTAAGTTTTTCTGCTCTATCTAAATATTGCATGCATTTAGTGCGAATACTATCTTTTGCTCTATCACCCTGTGCTTCATCTGCCGTATTATAAAGTAACGGAGCATTAGAATTTTTCTAATAAAAAGCAAACTATTTATATCAGTAGTACTTACATTTAATAGCATGTAAAAAATGTTCCACTGAATGTTCATACAGCCTCAGTGCTTCTTCATAATTTTTATTTCTATCCTCTTCAGTTGCTTTTGTTACCATATCAATGGCTTTCTACAAAAATTATAAATAAAATCTGTATTGTCATTTAATAATACATTTTGCTTATGAATTAACTAAGTGACAAATATTTACCTGTAGTATAGGCCCTGATGCCATGGTGTCTAGATTGATCACACTTTGAGATTATTCCAATATGTGCCACACTGATTTAATCTAAAATTAATGACAACTTAAGTATTGGATGAAACGATAGAAATTACGTTTTTAACGCGTTTTTCATAGTAATTGTAGAACGCAAAAAGTTATTACAAAAAGATAGTATGAAAGGTGAATTGAACAATTACACCACGTATCCCTGTCAAATATTAAGTAACCTTTGTGATGATGACGTCAACATGATAGTTATTAACAATGGCAAGAAAGAATCAATAGAAGATTTTAAGCACCATTTGGATTTACCTTCAATCAATTCAACTGCTTATAAAAAATAAAATTCATCATACGCGAAGACACCGCAGTATTACGTCTTTTCTCCGAAGTTTCTATTTGTTCGCAATACTCGAGATGCCTATCGCATTCACATAGCATGTATTAAGAGTGGGTACGGCATAAACTTAGCAAATAACACATAAACAACGACGAACAGTCACATACAATTTCCGAGATCTACCTTCTGCCTGAAACTTTGCAAAATCGAGCGACTGACAAAAACAAGTACAGGTCACCTCGATTTGTATACCTAGAGCAGCATCTACACTCTAAGTTTTGTGACAGAACGCCACCTATTTAAGAGTTTAGGAACGTCAATTGTGAACTTGGTATGATCGTAATGGGCGGCGTGCAGCTTGACTTGACTTACAGTTCTATTTTTTTCTAATAATGTTGATCGAGAAAGTCTGAAAATTTACGTGAGTTTAGTCGTACGCCATCTTTTGGTGTGTGTTGAAAAGTTAGTACACCGCACGGTAAAGGTTAATACTTACGAATTACAATCTTATTATAAGAGACTGATAGAGTTATTCATTGTCAGTATTGAAAATTGAACCATTTTTTAAATTCTTCACTTGTAAAATGGGTAGTGGCGATTACGAAGTAAAATCGTATTTTTCTCGTAAAAGGCGATGGACAGAACATGAAAAAAAGAGTTTATTAGTAGCCTTAAGATCTCACGGTTCGTCTGATATTGAAAAATTAAAAGAACATTTGCCTAACAAAACAACTAAATCAATTCAGCAAATGATCAAGAAATACAAAGCAATTGCAGATTTAGGAAAAAAGGACATTTATTCTCCATTAGATGTATGGGTGAGAAGTGGTATATTTGATGCTGAAAGTAATATGATTTCTGAAGCTCTGCTGTTTATTTACTTGTTCGAGAAACATCCACCCCCGAATCAGACGGCAGGATTTGATATCAAGTAACATTTTATCTAAATTATTTTTTCTGTCAATTTTTGTCAAATCTAAGACTATATTGTGTTTTAGGAATGTTTACAAATTCATGTATGAGGCTGCAACTGGGGAACCTACAACTAACTTATCAAGGAAAACAGCTTACATGTTAAAGGACTTGATTTACACAGTGGATAGAGAATTTGATGGAAATTTAATGGAGACAACTGATTGGCTGATTAGTGAGTTAGCCTGTGCTGATTCAGAAAGATGTTATAAAAAGAAGAAAAGAAATACAGATTCAGATGAAAACACAAATACAGGACAAAATTCTAATTAGTTGAAATAAACCTCTTCAATAATAATATTTTACATTTAAACTTGTTGCGATTAACAAGTTTAACTCTATTGTGATATTTAAAGATCAATTGTTTTTGCATTAGAAATTTAGTCCATTATTTAAAATTATTACCTATACAACAATTATATTTGAAACATTATAATTTTTGTACAAGATATTCATTTGTTATATTTATACTTAAGAGAGTAAAAAATATTTTGATATACTAAAAAATAGTCAGGTGCAAAAATGCATAAATACATAATCATGTTCGTTTTATGACTAGCCAGCTTTTCAAAAAACTTACATGCAGAAAATTCCAAATATATATATTCTTTTGGATACTTTACAATTGTTTTAATATAGTTTTTAAACCATCAATCACCAAAAACATTAATATAATATAATACTATTGTAGAGTTATAGTACTGGCATTAATTTAAAGGAATTAAAAATTAATTTTTTTTTCTCTAAATGTGTCATACTCTCTTTTTTTCAATTATGAATATTTGAAAGATTGCACATAATTGACAAATGGTCATTCCGATAAAAATAAACTTCAAAACACCATCAATAATGCCAAGTGAGTTGGAGATGACAATTTCTTCTAATTTTTTTCAAGTTAAACATTATAATAGTCAATAGTTCTACACAAAATGTTCAATTCTTCAGTATCTCCCAAGCTTCATCTTCCAGTTTTTTTGAATTATAATTTGAATTAGTTTTATCAGAATCAAAATTAATCAAAGACTCTTGTTGTGTTTTCTTTTCTTTCAATGGTTTTGACGTCGTTTTGTAGGACTGTGGAACTTCTTTTGGTACTGAACTTGTTTCCCATTCCCAATCAGCATTATATGAACTTGGAGATGTTGAACCAGATTTGCTTAAATAAAAATGAATTTATTAAAAATAATTCTTTTCCATATTTCAAAATAATAATAATTACTTTTGATTAGAGCTGGTAAGCGAAGACTTTTCATTTGATCGCCTATAATTGGAACTACTTTGATAAGAATTTTCATTGTCTCTTTCAAATGATCTGTAATTTTGATCAGAGGTATTGCTACCACCGATATCTCCCCAACCTCTTCTACCAAGGTCACCAACCTGCATACAAATTGTAAAAAACACTGAGTGGAGCATAATTTTAAAAAATGACAGATAAAATTAAAAAGAGTTGAAATGATGCAAAACAATGAATTTACAACTTGAAATAAATGTCTACCTTGTTAGCTAAATTAGAGACTTGGCTCCCAACATCTTCTAACAATGTACCATCACGTACCTAATAAAAATATAATCAAAATGCAAAATAAAAAACTCATAAGCTCTACACGAGTGACATGAATAAAATAAAATTAAAGTAAATAAATGATAAAAAATTAATGTTTGTGGATAAATATTAGACACTAATTTTTAAAAGTGCTATTTTATTTCATCTTATGAATACCTTTTGAGATGCATATCCACCAATTTTGATTGCATTTTCAGTAGCTTTGCAAGCAACTTTTGATGCAGTAGAAGAAAAGAGAGACCACCCCTGTGAAATTTTATTTTATCATTTAGATTGTAAAAACAATAAAGAAAAGGCATACAATAATTTCATACACTAGCAAGAGATGAGAGAGCAGTATCCACAAATTCTTGACTTGTACTTTTGGGAATAGGATTAGCAGAATAACCAAAACCACCGTATTTACCACCTTGACTTGGAGGTAAATTTCTGAAATAGTGATTTTTTTTAACAGTATGTAAAACAATAAGTGATATACTTTTATTAAAAACTTACTCTGGACGGGATGCATTTTCATTTTGTTTTCGAGCAAAAAAATCTTCAGTTTGAGCTTTAAAATCAGGAGTATTAAAATTTTGATTTTGGTAAGTTGAAGCAGATGAATCATTTTGATAAGAATTTCCATACTCTCTTCTGCTTTCCACATTGCTAGATTTAAAAGAAGAAGCAGCAGAAGAAGTATTTGGACTCCATGGCTCTCCATGAGCTAATGCATTAATCTACATATCAATGTAAATGATGTTCAAATATGAAAAAAATTAATTTTCTGAATTAATATTTTTTTTAAGTTTTGAATACCTTATCTCTGTACAATGCTGCAGCTTTTGTGTTATACTTTTGGATGATTGACATTGTATCATCCCAATCTGGCTGCGATTCAAAAAATAATCTAGCTTTTCTATTACCTCCAACTTTCATCTTTTCTAATTCTATATCTTTCCATTTATCCATGGAAATGGATCGTACAAAAGAAAGGTGTACACCCAAACCTCTATGCTTACCAGAGCATTCAAGACATATCCAAATTCCATACGTGACAGATACCCATTGCGGATTGTGTGCACCACACTCAAAACATCTCTGTTAAACCCATGACATATGGAAAGTTCACATGATCAATGAAGAATAGAGAAATATTTGAAAGAAAATAAAATATTGGTTTAGCTACACAAACTCACATTGTTTTCGTCAGTAGGCTTGAGATCGCTCAAAGCACGTCGAGTCCTTGGACTGGCCATTTTTAAATTGGCACTTTTTACAGAATCAAAATTTCACCTATAAATCTTTAAACTCTGCCTCGACAACGGCTTGAGTGATGTTTTCTGCTACCGACGCGTTTAAAAACCAAATGGTTATTTAATTGATCGTTGGCACAGTCTCTAATGCTTATTAGATACAAGCTCGATTGAGTAGCATTAGTTATGAAAGGAGAGTTTTTTTGTTCCAGCTGGAAAATCAGAGGCAATAACCGCGATGTTCTGACTTATTACTATATATTGCAGCTCATATGAAGAAGAGAGAGAGACTCGCAGCGAATCAAGCCCAATCTGATAATGCCATATACATGTGACGTAAAGCTAACTCTGCATTTGCCGTGGCGCTAGTTATATTGCAACGTGGTATTTGCACAATTTATAATAAGCCCTTTCATGAATAATTAAATTACATTACTTAACCATATTCAGTCATATAATCAAAAATATATTAATATCATTGGGAACCCAAATATTTATTAAAAATAAAACTTTATCTGGTTTAACATTGAAACTACTTCAACATCGAAGCTGAATAATAAACTATTGATAAATAGATTTTTAATTTATCCATTATATCTTAAAGCATAATTAGAATTTTTACTCTTCAATCTAAAAATACAATTTTGGGTGTATAAATAGTATAAATATATTTTACCCTGCGATCGCGAGCAATATTTTTCTGAGTCAAAATGATTCCGCTCACAACTTTTTTACATATGAGTGTAATCCAGATTAATAGTCCAGTCCAATTAGATCTGACTCTATGTTAAAAGTGAAAAAATTCGCAATCGGCGTTTCTCACCGGGTTCGTTAGGGTTCGATGGTAGGAATGAAGTAATAACAAATGCCACAGTTGAGTCGATTGGAATTTAAACAATTGGGCCCTTTGAAATTAGGAAAATCGGTTTTTCGGCTACAGATTGAAAACCGTACATTGGATGAAAAAAAGTTTCAAACAAAAGTTGTAGGTCTTTGCAAGACCTTTAATTAGATATATATAACATTCTAATTGGTTACTTTGTTTATTAAAAACGCCTCAATTGTCAATAACAATAAAAGGGACTTACAAACATCGTGAGAATACCTAGGTGGGCTCAAATAAAAGATAATTACTTTTAATTTTGTAAAATAACATATTTTTGTCATAGATTACTCAAGTAAAAGTAATTATCTTTGATTTGAGCCCACCTAGGTATTCTTATGATGTCTGTAAGTCCCTTTTATTGTTATTGACAATTGAGGCGTTTTTAATAAACAAAGTAACCGATTACAATGTTAAATTAAAGGTCTTGCAATGACCTACAACTTTTGTTTGAAACTTTTTTTCATCCAATGTACGGTTTTCAATCTGTAGCCGAAAAACCGATTTTCCTAATTTCAAAGGGCCCAATTGTTTAAATTCCAATCGACTCAACTGTGGCATTTGTTATTATTTCATTCCTACCATCGAAGCCTAACGAATCCCGGTGAGAAACGCCGATTGCGAATTTTTTCACGTTCAAAACTAATATGACTGGACTATAACCGCAGTAGATCAGAGCTATCGCGATAAAACAAAGGAAAAATTCCTATAAATGAAAATTTAACCGAAAAAATCCGTTTAATGAACTACGGTACAAGGGTGATATCATTTTCTTGGACACATGATTGCATTAGGACAGTGACATTTTGCTCCCTACTGTTTCTAAACGCATATTTGAATGATACTTCAAATACGTTTCTAAACGCATGTGGTTAGCTTAGATGGTGAAATTCAACTTTTGACGGCCAGTGTAAGTCATCACACTAAATTTGCCTTGTTTTTTATATTCACCTACACGGTTTGTGATGGATCAATTCATTTGCTACGGAAACTGATTTCGTGAAAAAATCCTATAAACTTTACCTTTAATAAAATGAAGAAATTTCGCCTGCCCAAAACGATTTACAGCAACAATTGATGAATCAACAACGGTTGGTCCAATGAGTCATCATAAGGTAAAAAGCAAAATAATGTCTTATAATGTCAAACACTAACGAGGTTTATAATTTTTTTCCAACGGCAAATCATTATTTCATGACATAGTTATTAAAAATCGATATTGCTTTATTGAAATTACAAAAAAACATTCAGATAATTTTCCAAGATTCATTATTAATTATATTTTATATGAATTGTAGTTAATTTTTTTTTAGCAAAATCATTTTTTGGCGTATAAAAGCAATAATTAACACACTGATATTTAAAAAAATCAGTTCATGTCAAATGCTGTGAATAAGAAAAAGCTCTGCATTCAGTAAAAATAGAATTTGGAGTAGAACGAATGCATGAACCTACCTGAACTATCAAGCGTGAAAGTGTTATAAAATTGTAAGGTGGTGAATCGTAAATATATTTTAATCATATTCTATGTTTCTATACATTTTTAACAAAAAATTAATATATTATAAACAATTCATATTGAATAGACCAAAATTAAAAAATATAATATATATCCACAATACGTCAATTTGAACTCGATTATTAGTTTCATGATAAGTTCAAACCCCTACAGGAATAAATGAATTTCGTTAACTTTTTCGAAAACTTAAAAAAATCCTCTTTTAATTGTTTGGGTCAGTTCGTGCATTTTAATAGAGTGACCTATTGAATAGAGAATTGTATCATCATTCCAATTTATGTATTTATGATTAATAAAACATTAAATTGAATTTTAATCACATAGAGATTTTATTTAAAAAAACTCAAAAAAAAGTTCAAATGCTGGGTATATCTCAAAATATACATATGGAATTTCTATAGCTAAAATCAAGTGGTTTGAGTAAATTAACGGCTTCGTCATCCCCTTCAATTCATAATTGGAAAATGACGTTAAATAAAATTGATTCGCACACCCACATCACAAAGAATTAAAACAAAGAAAAAACTTTGAAGTGAGATTAAGAATGGATTGTTTTTAATCATAAATTTAATTATATATCGTTCAAAAATTGACGCTGTTTTTATTTGAAATAAATATTTAAAAATATACATTTTGTTTCACCGACTTATTATACAAATAGAACTATGCAATGATAGATATATACATATATATCTATATATATATATATCATATTTAATATTCATATCAATAGTGTGTATTATTTATAATATGTATATATAATATATTCGATCATTATTGAATATTTTGTTTTTGCTTGCTTATGTATACTTATAAATAAATATCTCAGCTAATATACTCCTATATATTCTCGGTTGCGGAGATTCAGATTTTTTCGTACATACATACAATATACTTACAAGAGCGAAACCATAAATATACGTTTAGATACTCATCAGCAATCATTTAACAAAAATGATTCATTCGATTCGTACACCTACACCCTCGTCTTAATTCTCATAAAAGTTACATTTTAATTTTTTATAATTTTCACATTTTGCGCACAGAAATATTTAATGCTAGGACAAAACAACATGAAAGTTATCTGGATTAGGTTGCACAATGCGTACTCTTTTTTGATCGGGGTAACTAGGAGCTTGCAACGTTCATTCTTTATTCATAATGTTATTCTATGTATACGTATTTTCATATGTAAATTATGATTAATGTGGAGCGGAAAACGTGTCGTTTTTTTGTATACAATGTGCATGTACTCAGTACAGGCAAATATATAATTATACAATATGTATATAGTGTTTTTTTATTTTCAAACACATTAGAAAATTTATGTACAAAGATACGAGTTGATGGAAGATTATTGTTTAATTGTAATCATCATTATATTAAGCGCTCCTTGTGACCAAATTCATCGTACAAATTATTCATGTTTTAAAAATTTTTTTCTCATAATTAAAAAAGGCACTGAACGCACATCATAATGCTGCTTTCCATAGTTTGATGGATTAATTTACACATCTTTAAATTCACGATTATCATTCATCTTTTTTCTCTCTCTAAATTCGCGGTTTACTTTTATACATATATTTTTTCGCTTTTAACTTGTACCCTTAATTTATTATGCAACCGATGAAACAATTATCTTAATTTTCGATGATAATGGTCTAAACTTTCTAATTTGAGTTCTTTGCATACAACTTTTCGGAGAAAATTAAATCTGCAGTCTATAACAAACGTGAAAGACACGATGCATAAGTAAATTGAGATACTTAACATAAGAGTAAATTTTGTTACACCCTATTAGTCGATATTTTTTGTTATAAATTATTTAATGATCTCAATGGCTAATACCTGCATTATTTATTCATACTTATGTCATAATAATTATCGGAATAAACATCGTTTTTTTTAATAGGTCGATTGTAGCGATTGTTATAATACATTATAATATGAATAAATTATTCACTTTCAATCTTTATTTGTAAAAAATCTATCCCAAATCAAAACTTAGATACTTATTTTCTTTTTTGATGCTTTTATACGAATATGAAAGTGTCAATTTTTTTTTATTCTGTGATTCTTTTTGAATGAACTATTATACTAAACACAGAGAATTTTTATTCATTTTTATCTGCTACCTCAGCGGAAAGTATTGATTATAAGACAATTTAGTGTTACTTTTATTGGTATGTAATATTTCATTTTCTTTATAATTCGATAAATTTGTTTAATTTTATAACTTGAAATATTATGCACCACGATTAATTTTTTAATTTGATAATACATCTACTTTTTCATTTAGTTTTCAATTTATTACTTTTTGCAGATTTTGATAACATGTATACGTGTTTTATGGAAGTGAACATGTTATTGTTGAAATAGTATGTATCAACGGTTTTTCTGACTAGGTGATGGTTGCTTTCTAAAAAAAGCAATTAATTTTCATTAAGCGTCAACATTTCTCGAGTGCGCATATATTACATTTTTTAAATAATTTTTTGTTTGTCCGTAATTATATTTATAGAGACTGAAAAGCATCATACAAACATTTGATTTTTTAACTTCTTCATGATTTTACTGATTTTGCACCGTTAATAATTATTATGATAATTTCTTGTATTGTGCAAAGAAACTTGTCAGTCTCAAATATTACTCGTAACACCTACTATTTGTTCCTATATAAACGGCAGTTTTACTCCTCATCGCCATATACTTCATAAGTTACTACAATGTAACTATTTTAATGCACTATTAATGAATACTTATTTATAGTTCTAAACTGTATTTATAGTTCGCAAATTTTCATCGTGATTTTTACAAAAAAACCTTTTTTTCAGTAAATTCTACATCTCTACATTTGATTCTATTTTAGAAACAATAAACAATTTCAAACTAAAAAAAGTTGATTAATTCTGTACAATCACTAATATCATTGAACAACGAAATTCTTATGGTTCCTCATCTAATTAAAAGTATTTTTTAAAAGAAAAAAATATTAGCAAGGTCCAACTAGCATTTCTTGCAATTAGTTAAAATCACACCAATTTTTTTAGTAACTAAACTTTGCATAAATTCACATCATGCCTAAACTATTTTAATTAGTTATGAACAAGTTTAGGATCATAACTTGTGATTTACACATTGTCACCGATTATTTATGCATTTAAAAATCCTGTTCACAGTTTAAAAAGTTTACATGAAGTTTTAATCAAATTCTGCTGGAAACAAACATTTATAACTTTTTCATAGACTTAAAAATTAGTGCTAGTACGAAATCAATCAGCTGTGTAAACATTATTTCAAAATTTAGTAGCACTTGGATGTATCTAAAACATCTGATACGGACACATTTTTTAAATCAATTAAAGTAACCGTTAATGAAAAATAATTACATGACAGTGGATTAATACAATTTTTCAGTAATAATGTCATTATTCATTTTGCATGTACATACACTAACTTACTTTTAATTCTCCAACACCAAAAAATTTAAATACAGCGACGTACGGGCAGTTTCTGTGCCGGTCCTTATGTTATTGTTATTATCGATGCTTGCTTGAACGCAGGACCAACCCCTATCACGCTGTACTTACATTTCTCGATGTTGGAGAATTAAGTGGAAGCGAGTGTGGTTTATCCACAAGGTTCATAAAATTATATTTTATTTACAAGATTCTAATCTGATAGAAATGTATCAATTTTTCATTAGTATTATTCAATTATCATTTAAGTGTACATATATACGTGCCACTCATATTCTATAATTAAAGAAATGGTTGATTAAATAATGTTTACATTTCGTAACTGCACTTTTACAAAAACGTTTATTGGCTAAGAAAATTTGACATAGTTATAATTAATGGACATCTTTGTTAGTAAGACCTTTTAAAGCTGTGATAATAAACTAAATAAAAGCTATAACCCGGTAACAGTAATTATACTTATTTGTATTTTTGAATATCTTAATTCATTTACATTTTAAAAATTAAATAAACACGTAGACTATTTTAATTATTTACATTTTTTTCAGTTATAGTTAAAAAATCAGACTTTCTAGGCGACTGTAGCCCATGCCAAAAACGAACTAGTGTACATTATATATTTCATTATGCCTATTTTACTTTATTGTTATTGTTAATTCAGTTTAACCTTGATTATTCAATTTTTCATTTTTTACATTTTAGGTGTATTTGTTTCTCTATTAATATTTATGTTAATTTGCATGAAGAATTAGGGAGACTTGAATCTAATCACAGAGTACGATGATTTGATCGTGAGAAAACACAATTTAATAAATTAAGTGTTAATTTCAAAATTATATCACTTTTCACATGCACTGTGCATGACCTTTATTTTAACAATCCATCTAGCGTTTTTGGTTTTAGTAAACAAAACAAAAATCAGCGGATAACAAACATTTTTTCCACATATAGTATCATTACGTATAATAATCATATTAAAAATTTGCCTTGGAGTATGAAAAAATATTATTTCTCAACAGTCAAAAAAACATTTGGTTATTGCAAACTAAGTGATTGACAACATTATTTTACATCCACAAACTTAGGTTGTATAAGATTGGTCATTATTTCAATAAAACATGTAAGTCAGCAATTGATTATTATATTATTGATTCCAAGGCATTAGTAAATGTAATAAGAAATTATTTTTATTACATATTTTACTTCTTATTTTATTGCATTGGCTGCCCAAGTACATACGAAAAATTGAAATTTTATAATATTTTATGATCTTGAAACAAATATGTTACGAATTCAAGAGGCTATTATGCACAAAAACAGGAACAAATCGCTCAGTATAATTACACACTAATCTTCATAGATAAGGTTTGAGTTTGAATGATCAATTTGTGACAGCTTGAATTTTTTTTTTGTCACAAAGCTAATTATACAAAAATAATGTACTGTATACTCATGTTTCATTTGCAAACTTTATTATCATTGTCATCAATTTATTGGTACGATCCAAGTCTGAAAAATTCAATCTCATCATTAATCTTCATGAGATAAGTGCACCTCGAAACAAATTTTGCAATGAAGCAAAAATAATGATTCATTTTTATGTACAGTCTTAGCTAAGTCTAATTCACGCTTATAAGAGATTTTTATAGTACATTTATAAATCAGATCATTATAAAGAAAACCAGTATGGTAAAATACTGTTTTCTTTTTAAAATATCAAGGACTTTTTCGACGTCAGTACTTTTAAATCAGAATTACATACTTTTTAGATACATTCTCGAACAATAACCTGAATACATTTCTATAAAAAAAATCATTGAGTCATGCGCTGAATAACAATAACTACTTTCATTGTCAGACGATTTAGAAATTTTTGTTGTACCAAATTATGAACTTATTTGCACATATCTACAAAAACTAAATGTGTATTAACAAAAACTTAAATCTGTTGATATTTATGAACATATGCAATTGAAGAAAAATTAACGAATAAATGTATATTTATGCATTAAAAATTAACCAAAGATAGCATTTCTTATAATGCTAGAGAATTACATTCTACAATATATTTTTGTTAAATTGCATTTTAATGAATTGCAATCGTTTCAATTTTCAGAAAATCGATTTATTTTTTACTTAAATCTTATCATCTTTTTATCTATAATTTTGTCGCATATTAGTAACAAATATATTATGTGCTATTTCTTCTTGTTTTATGTATGTATAGACAAGCCAAGCTCTTGTAATTTACGCAAACACTTGAGGCACTTATTTGTGTGCTCAAATATGATTTTTTACCACTTTTCATTTATCTGTTTTGATCACTCACTTATTTCAATTACTATTATTATCAAAGCATTCAAACTGTAGAATCATTGGAAACAATGAAATTATGCTTCAATTATTGACATTGTCATATCTTCTCATTTTATGAACTAATGCATAATTTTATAAAAAGTATACAAATTTGAAGACTAGTTTTAAATCCGAAAAAGTGAATTTCATATTATATGCCCTAGTATTTTATTACTTTCCAGAATACTGATATTTGATTATTTAATGTTTTTAATTTTCTCTTGTGTATGATTTTCAATTTTCAAATAACATTATGCAGTACGATTTTACACTCATTGAAACTTTCAACAGTAGACTAGTTTAAAAATAAAAGTTACACTATGTATCCCTCAATACTTTTTGATTTTTACTAAAACTGTCATTTTAAATGGAAATAATAGTGTTTGAGTCTCCGTTTCTTCTGTAATTATTAGAATGATTTTGCAAAGTTTGTAAACTACAAAATTAAATTGAGAATGCTCTGGAAATTCTTTGTGCAAAAAAGTCGGTAACACTTTTATTTCATTATAAATAAAATGAAACGTATATTTTACCATTTTCAACTGTGACAAACGATTGATATTGAAAATATAAGCTTTCATTGATTCACTTCAGCTTTTCATTTTAGTGATTTTATGATCATAAAAAGGAGAAGAACGTAAAAATTCGTTGCATTTTGAAAGTTGCTCTCGCAATATAGTACTGAAAGTGCTGATATCTTGCACTTAAAATCAAATAACATTCATATCCATACGTGCATACTTATGCATACACATGTACATAGAAATTAGCCCACATGCATATTCAAGAATATATACACATATTAATATGCATTTAGAATTAAGAACAAGTGATATCAATGATTTGGCACAAGAATTAAATATATCATTCGTCAATTACAATAATAGCACTATGCCACCTAAAATTAATATTTTAAATTATTTTTTTAGCGGTACTTATATGCACGGTTAGTTAGTTTATTTCTAGTTCAATAATCGATCGATCGAATATCATACAAATCGATGGTTTTTAACAACCTTTTTATTATTATTTTTTTTTTTTATTAAATATCTGTGTACTTATTAATTGTACAAACTATTCAATAAGTGTCTTCGAAATCATAAAATCTAAAGCAAGTTTTTAACAATAAATTATGAGTCGTAACCGTGAATCATTTCGTTTTTTTCTATCTAATAATGGTATACAGAACTTGTTAATTTAATATTTTCATAACTAGCTAGTTTTTCTACGTTGTAAACGTGTGAATTTTGATGTACACGTAAAAAGTACAATTCTATCAATTCGTCACAAGTGAAAGTGTACTTGAATTTGTTGAAATGTACTTGAGCTATAAATGGTTTATATTTTTTGTAAATACGTGTTAAGTTATGTAATATTTATATACATTCTTACACCTTCGTATATTTTTTGCGTTTGCTATCAACAGTCAGTGTAATATGGAATTCTTTTTGTTTCTCATGGATTTCTAAACTTGTCTTTGCATATAAGTACATTCACATTCATAGCAGATGATAAAAGAACGACGAAGTCGATTAGTTCTTATCATTTACTTTTGGGTACTATACAGCCTCTTTACATGCTCAATCTCACACACGTAAAGTAGTAAGAGAAACAAAAAAATAACATACAAAAGTCCGAGCGATGTGAATAATAGTTCAGACAAAGTGTTGTATATAAGGTAAATACCTCGCACCACCACCAATGTTCAATATATGTGTAAGTTATAAATACGTAGCACAAAATTATTCAATTTCATGCCTCATTTCAACAGTGTTTGTGATTATTCGTCAGAAAATTGAGCATTGTCACCTGCAGCAACTGCAGACGATGATAGTGATAAACATAATATTCCTTGCGCTTTAGATGTGTGGGCACAATAGACCCCAACGGTTTGGTCACTGCAGGATTTGAGACAAGCTATGTAAACATCGTTGAAGCGTGAGTTCGATCCTGCAACGATTCAGGCAGCCCACAAATTTTCGTCCTCCAATGTAATTAATATTAATTGTTGCTGGTGGTATGACTTCTGCTCATTGTCTTGTTCTGCTTCTTATCGCTTTTGTTATTAACGATTTTGTTGAGCTACTTGGGCATAGCTCGGCCTCGGCTGGTCCTGAAACGAGACAAGAAAATAATTGCATGTCAATTCTTTGCGTATCAAGAATAAAAAATTTACTATAACGCATTTTATTATCTTTATATTATTACGTTCAACTTTTAATGTTTTATAACGAAAACTTTCAACAAAGTCCAAAAAGGCCTAAGAATCATTAAAAGCTTGCATTTCCTCCAGTAGCCTGAATTTTATTAAATAACACCATTGCAATACAAAAACTCTTCGATATTGATGTAAAAGCTCATCGAGCGGTTTGTTCTTCATGAGCGTGAAAAACTTCTTTCATCGGTAAATGAAAGTGACGAAAAAAATGGTAGTTTTAGTAATGTTTAATATATAACGATATCACAAATACAGAAATTATAGAATATTCCATAAACGATAACGATAATTATATATTCAAATTATGCCATAGCCCAGGCGATTTATACATATTACACTCACATAGATTTTAGTGATGAAATATATATATATATATATATATATAGAGAGAGAGAGAGAAATTTTGAATCAAGTAAAAAACGATGTATGATATTATTGAAGCATGTTTTTTCAACAAAAATAAAGATGAAAAATTTTCCTTTTTAAGTAAAAAATTCAGTATGAAATTATAGTTACCAATGAAATCGACGACTCACACCTCGCATTTGATGGATTTGAACTTCCGGTGCACTACGCCTACTAGCCGTCATATTCTATTGCAATTCGATATTTATGAGTGAAGCTTATATATTGTGTAAATGATTGAGCGTTTTTAAGTTTATTATAACCATTATTATGATAATTTATGAACATGCAGGTACATAAAAATTGAAACATACAAAATACAAGAATTTCGATTGCAAAAGCTAACTGTGAAAACTAGAGGATGCTACAGGTGTCTACGAGATTACCAAGACTTACCGTAAACAAGTCTGAGGATCTTCGTCGTGCAGCATCTAGGTCGATCATCACTGTATTACGAACGAACATCCTTGGTGTTACTGTTGGCATTGTAGTCGTCGAGGAACAAGATACTGTAGTTGATGGTGTCAATAGTGATGTATTTGTGGTGACGGTGGTTGTGGATGTTGCAGACGTGCTTGACTCGTCAGTTTCAGTCGTTTTTGATCTGTCAGGGGCGTTTTGATAGTTTTTGGTTGAGTTTTATTCTATTTAACTTTTTCAGCTATCACGTTTTTTTTAAATTCATTTTGGATGAAAATAAGATAATTCTTGTGCCATGAATATGAAGAAAAGAAAAAGTGTCGAGTTTTGATTGTATATGTGGACTTATACATTTATTTCGCGATCATGGATTGTCATCGAGCATCGAAACTTATAAGAGAACGAATCGTTAGGCTATATTTGCAAGTCCGTAAAAGTCAGTTTATAAATCAATATGCGTTGGCGCTACAGAAGAAGCAAAATAATACAGCTTAAAAGATATTGAATTTTTTATATACTGCATATTATTTTACACCTATTTTATACCCTTCTGACTTTTTAATCGGATGAAAAAATACCTTAGTTCCCTTAAATTCAGTCTTCTTTACAAAAAATGGTGATGTACAGTTCGAGGATATAATTGATTGAAAAAATTGGAATATGCAGGTACGTTGAAGAAATGCATGCACGTGTACTTAATAAATCATTGCAATTGCTGTGGATAATGGTGGTGTTTGATGCATGTATACAAAAAAGGTACAGAATTTATCCGTAATCAAGCTAAATGACGAATATACAACAAAAAGAGAAAAAAAAACTCAATCAATCTAGATTAGTTATTTTAAAGCAACAATGTATGTATATGTGAGGTATATAGTAAAGGGCAAAATATTCAACACAAACTATTTAACAAACCATTATACACTTATTTATTTACTTTCAATGACAATGTTTTTCTAGTCATTAGCAAATAATATAATAATAATATCGATAATAATTATAAATAATAACTAATAATAGTAATAATAATAATGTAATAATAAAATAAACCATGCTTCAATTTGCATACTTTTTTTGTATCTTTTATCATTCTTTTTAACGATTCGAAATTTTACATATTAGTGGTTATTGATATACTTGGTTATAAGTAAAACTTTAAATGAATGCCTTTAAAGTAACACGAAACCAAACAATCAAAATAATATTATGTATAATAGTTATAATAGTAATATTAATTATTATCGTAAAAATAATAATAGTAATTATGATAATAATAATAGTTGTAATAATTATAATCATAATTCATAATGTAAACTAAATATTAATAGTATTTTTATCAAAGAACCCTGAATATCATATAAATGTAACATATAATTGTCCTTAAGGGTCGGGCGTGTCGTCGTTTGATCATTGCTAAGATCCAACAATGGCAATAATCGTAAATAGGTAAATATACATGTATTATTATTTATATGCAAGTATTGGTGTCTCCTTTTGACTAATACCGAGAAATGCTTTGACTACAAGTTGCAGGAGACACTCCGATTTTTTCGATCGTGTGCTTCATTTAATTTTTCTGTACAAAAAAACGAACTTATATATTTTTTCATATCTTTTTTTGCAACATTTCTTAACGAAAAAAGATAATCAGTGATCGCGTTATCTTTTAAGGCACCCCGTAACTTCGGTAACTCTTTGACTGATGAGAATCTATGGGTTCTTCAATCACCGAGTAATCAATATTTTTACTTATTCATCGATATGTCTAATACACATAAATAAACGAAGGCGCACCTAATAGTTAGAGTCAGCATCTAAATTTGAGCTGCTTTGAACTGAGGGAATGAAAAAAATGGAAAAAATACAAAATTGAAGCATTCACAAAGAAAAATGATGATAATTTAGAAGTTGAAATGCCAATGGAAAAATGGAAAAGATAAACTCAGAAATCTTGAGGGAAAAAAGAACTAAAAAATTATCAAAGCGTATTTGCGTGTGCTACACTTTGAATAAACGAGTAAGTGTGTGTACATATGTACATACATAAACGAATATATGCACATAAAGAGAAGCAATCTAGTTCGAATCTACATTAAGAAAATTTGACAGCTCCAGATATTCACGCTCATACACACGATCCGTTCTTACACACACAAGCGTACTCGTGTATAAAATAGTCCTTATAATCGCTAATATGTATAATAAATCTTTTTTTAGTTTTTTTTACTTAATTAGTTATATAACATATCGTTATCGTTATTATATCCACGCTTTGCTTCGAACGAAATTATGTTAAACAATATATACTATATGTATATGTCGCGTATATATAAACAATGACTATCTAAAATTTAGTTTTGTCAAAATATCAGTCCCTGATCATTTTCAAAAGAACAACTTGAATTAACATTTTTAATCTTATATCATCGTCGATTAAGCTTTATTTTTTCTATTCTCAATAATATTTAGATTTGCTAATTTTTGAATCAACTTTTGATATGGTGGACGAGATCTAGCTAAGCTTACACGACGACGGAATAAGCATCCACCGCGTATTTGTTGTATTTTTTCTGTGTGTGTGTTTGACCATTAAATATGTACATATATATAAATATATTTAAGATATATTTATATATATTTGTATATATTGCATGACGCATATAAATAACAATATTCAAAACAATTCGGCATTTTTCCGTATATTTCAGCGGCTTTATGTCATGTGCCCGCACATCTTTCTCCCTACAACAATATTTCACTCTCTATGCACATATGAACATTTTCGTATTAATATACGAGTATATCCTATAAATTATATATATATTTTTTATTATTATTATTATATTATAAAAAAACTGAATTGTCCTGGACTCGACAAATCACGAAATTAACTTGGCATTAATTTTTACCTTTAACGTAACAACAATAGATTTTTCAGTATTAACTTATTGACAATGGCAGTCATTAATCAACTTTTTTATCATAATATAAAATTGTTAAAATGAACAAGTTGGCATTATATAAAGTATTTATCCAGAAAAACGAATAAACTTTAAAAAATAAAAAGATATGTGAAGCTTTGAATTTTTATTGAATAGAAATATGCTCAAGACTTATAAAATTTTATTTTTTTGTTTTGCTTTTCATTTTTTGTTTTTTTGTATTTTTTTTGTGTTTTTGAATTTTTTTTTATTTGTCAGTCAATACGAGTTAAATAATTAAAAGATATCTAGAATATCAAGATGTCATATATATGATCATCGAAAGAGAACTGCATAATACGCGTACGTGATTCGCGTCAGTTATCTTGGTAATTAATAAAATTTACAATGTTTATATCTTAAAAATACGACTTTTCATGTGTACATGTTGAGTTTAGTTTTGTTTTAACAATGCAGTTAGTACTCTCACTGCGAATGGTTTTTTATGATTAATTTATATTATATCTAGTCTGTTTATTTGAACCAGTGCCTTTGATTAAAAAAACAAAAAGAACTAATTATAATCGATCATATAGGATGAAACGAACAATTTCTGAAGAAAATTTGTCAGTAGTGATTTTAAAGTTTAATTCAATGTATATAAAAGTGAATTTTTCATATAATCAAACTAAACTTAAATGTATGTGATAATAATAAATGATTTTAACAAGAACATTATTAAAACTTTCAGTAATTTATGAACGATTACGAGTTATGAACTACCCATAGAAAACGCACGATTTGAAATCGATCTATTGGTAATTTCCAGGAAGTTCTCATTTTGGAAAAGCAATACAAATTTTACGTTTTAAACGCAAGCTCCAAACATTGGGAAAGATAAAATTTTAAATTAGCAGAGGTTTTACAAATTTAAAAGATTATTCAAAAATCGTCTCTTTGATAACTAAGAGGAAAGGTAATATAAAATCTAAGTAATCAAATTGGAAGCACGATTTCAGACAGAGTTTTTGCTTTTTTCGACGATGAGCACGGGGATTTCATTTTAAATCACATACAGCTTTGAAGACATAAATTTTATCGATCTTCAAACATTATTTCACAACACACATTTTAGAGACTCGTCTTTATAACTGACTTATAATTAATTCCTTCCAAAATAATATTTATAGAAAATACTTTCTAAGATCGCGCATGATTAATCGAAACAATTTGCTATAAATATCATGGATAATTAATTTATACACAACCAATAAACTTGTTTCACTTTTGTAAAACAGTATCGAGAGCTTCCAATACTTTCTAGATTGCAATGTTTTATTTTTTTATAAAGTTCGAAACTGAGAATTACGTGAGTGAGTAAAGAACAGTATTAAAGAGAGAAATTACATTCTTTACCTAGTGTAAAAATAACTTTGCAACAAAGGTACTAAATAAAAAAATTATCGCAATGGATAAAACGAAGAAACTTAAAGACATCCGTGCAATTTAAATGTACATACCGTTAATTTGTACATACATAATAATATATATATATATATATACCACACACAATACATTCAAGAGTGTGTCTGTATATAATTATGTGAATTTTGATTAGAAATAAATGTCTCTAAAATGAATGCATGTGAAGAAGAAAGATTAATTTGAACTGAAAATCAGAAAAAGAGACAATCGGACACTCACTTATCGGGAGATGTTGGGGGAGTGAGAGTGACGGTGCCAAGAGCAACGTCCGAGTCGCCGTTGTTGTTAGCCGGAGAATTGGTATTCGCGGGCGCTGTAGTAGGCGACGTCAGAGTCGTACCACTACTCGACACTGCCACACTATGATCCGCAGAAGAAGCAACTCTTTGACTATGTTGTTGCTGTTGCTGTAGTGGTTGTTGCTGCTGCGGTTGTGCCGGACTCGTCGATCTGGTACTACTTTGATTAATCACATTGAAGGTTGTTTGATGGTAGTGATGGTGATTGCCATGGTGAGGATGATGCGAGTGGTGAGGTGGCGCGTGGTAGTTTGACGACTGTTGGTGTTGTGGAGAAGAGGATGTTGTCGTCGGTTGAGATTGTTGGTTTTGTTGTTGCTGCGGCTGAGTGGCAGGCAGAGCAGGCTGATCCTTATCCTTCGTGGTACTGCTTTTGAGTTTGGCTGTACCCTTGACGACATCAGACAGGCGATTTTGCTGTGCGCTATCGCTCGACTCGCTGTGCGATTTGCTACCAGCCGAGTTCGAATCAAGGCCAGGTAGCGGAGGGAATGCTGTAGCTTCCAAATCAAACTGTACACCTCGATTGTGCTGTGTGCTGTTGGAATTTGGGCCGGAGTGCACGCTACTGCTCGCTCCACTAGCACCTCCACTGCTGGAACCTGAGTTCTGACTTGTAGAGTCCCTCGTCGAACTCAAAGAGTTCGCAATGGGACCCGATGCACCACTCGAGCTACTGCCACTACCACTGCCGCTTGCGGTGTTATTACCACTTCCAACACCACCACTCGCACTATTGTTGTTCGTTTTTGATAGGCCATCTTGGTCTTTGGTTCTGCGATGTGTTCGATGACGAGGGTACTGCATCGTCGTCGGTTCCTGACTTTGACTCTCGTTCGCCTTATGTAACATAAATTTCTTCATTGGGTTTAATTTTTTTCGCGTTCTCTTACTATAAAAATAATTTTTTTTTTTTTTTTTTTTAAATTAATTTTAAATCCATGGATTGTTTACAAATTTATAATACGACAATTTTTCTCAAAAAAAGAAAAGGAAAGGAAAAAGATAAAAATATATTGATAGTATCAAAAGTATAACATAAATAAATAAAAAATAAATAAATAAATAACGAAAAAGCAATGAATAAAATTCAAACGTCGGAAATTAAAAAAGCAGGCAGTATCCCTTATATCCCTTATATCTGATTACCGGGTGAATTTGCAACGCACGCGACTCTATTTATATAACGTCGTAGACATTTCTATCTTATGCAATGACGAAAAGAGAAGAAGAACACGTGTTGAAATGTTTTTGTTCTCATACCTGTGACCCTTTATTAGAGTGACTGCTGCTGCCAGCACTGGCATATTGAGCGTCGGTAGCACCAACGACATTCGGTGCATGAGACGACTGGAACTTTGTGCCAGTAGAGTAGGAAGAAGACATAGGTTTTGAATTAGGCATTGTGTTTGGGAGGCTGGGCGCTGCCACCCCTATCGTTACTGGTCCTCCACTCAATGGAGGGTGTGAAGTACGAGCTATAGGCACCATGTTTCCTCCACCATCTACAAGACTTACACCACCGCCACTTCCGCCTCCACTATTTCTATCAGAACCATTTCTTTGCTTGTTTCTGAAATTAGGATTCCTAAGCATGAAGATAAATAAACGGTTTAAATTTTGTCATTGATGGAATTGAAGTTAAATCGGCAGCCAAATAAATTTTATTGCGATTAACTTCATCATGTACGAATGTAATCAATATTCAAACTTTATGTTAGCTGTTAATTATTTCAGTATATTAATTTATGGTACAATAATGTAAAGTTACCTGCTTCGTTGATTAAATCTAGTATTGTGTGGTTTGTATGTGTTATGAGGTGCCAGTGCTCCATTCATCGCAAAAACACCCATATCGAAATATGCTGGGCTCGCATGACCCCAAGGCATCATTCCGGTATGATAAAACTGTGGATGCTGGAAAAAAATGAATTAATTAAATAATTAATTTCATATCCCACAACCAAAGTAAAAAAAGCAATTTTATGAAAAGTAGGTTCATTTCTAATTAAATTATTCAAAACATTTGAGCTTTTAGTAAAGAAGCGAAGAATTCTTTTTTGAATTGAATACATACATAAACATGAACTTGGCCTGGATATGGCTGCATTGTAGTTTGTGGCATAGTTGTACCATTAGTGTAGATGAATCGCTGTTGACCAGGTGGAAAAGCATTCGGATCATACACTGGAGGTGCTGTTGGTGTTCTATAACCATTTTTGATTCCACTAACAGTGGGAACAGATGGTGGCACTGGTAGATGCATTGGTTTGGCCTTAATACGAGCCATTATTGGTTTGCCCTAAAATAAAAAGGTTTTCAATAAATTAATTTTATCATTACATTTCATAAAAAAAAAATTTGAAAAGTAATAACTTAACACATGACATACACAAAAATTATTACTTGATTTTCAATATAATTATCAAGATAACATGGACTCACCTGAAACTCTTTGACTACTTCTCGCAAAAACCTATAGGCCGCTTGAGCATCTTCATCAGATTCAAAAGTAACGTACCAAGAATTGTTGTGTGCAAATTCACAAGAAATACACTTAGGACAACCTTCTCCAGAAAATAAATTCTGAAAAATTAAAAACAAATAACATAACTTCAAATTTTCTTATCCATAAGGTAATTTTTCAAAAATAAATTTGTTTTTAAATTTAAAAATTATAAATTTAAAATTGTTTGTACCTTAACTTCATCTAATGGAGTATTATCAGGTATTTCTCGTAGTATAACTATACACCGTTTATGGTTTGGCCTAACTTTTTGTCCCTCTTCATCAACTTGTACATTAGGTGACTCTCTAAGCACTTCTGTTATTAATTTTATATCTTTTGTCAATTTCTTAACTTGATTGAAATTCGCTACAGTCCAAATAGGTACATATTGATCATTATCCATTTGTGATAATAAATATGCATCATTAGCAAGATTTTCCCTAAATAGAAAAAAAGACAATTAAATTCATTTTTTATCATTTTAAATGAGATTCAACTATATAGAAAATGAAACAAATGACTCGAGATAAATAATAAACTGTAAAATATTTACAAAGTTGATTGTTGTAAAATTTATACCAAAGTACATAAGAATTTACAAAATTTGTATGAGCAAAAAATTAAATAGTACAAATTATTACCTAGAGAAGTAGTATTCAAGTTGCGACGAGAGCATCTGTTTGAGCTGCTCCAGTGGGATATTTGATCCTGCATGTTCGCCCATCTGAGTTGGGGGTGGCATTTCATTTAAAGGTGCCATTTCGATAGGTGCATAACCCACAGCACCTCCCATACCAATGGCGATCTGTGGTACTGGCTCTAGGCCGGATACTACACCAGTTTCAAGCATCAATTCACTAGCAGCAGCAGCTCCATTCATGACGCTGTAGTCTAATGGTTGAGTTGGTGCAACTGCACTAACAGTTGCCAGGGCTTCAAGGTTGGCTGGGTAACCCGCCCCTCGTGGCAGCTTACCAATGTCCCCATTCATGTACACTAATCCTGGTTGAAACACCGGGAACTGATGCAACCTCCTACTTTTGCTTGACAGTTCTGTAATAAGCCACAAAGTACACATTCACTAAATGTCACTTGGTGTGTGAATAAAAATTCAGAGAAAAGAGGTAAGAAGTCAAGACAACATGCAACATGCTTGAATTTGTAGAATTTCAATGAAAATGTTGGTTTTGCACTAGTGTTACCAAGCAGGAATATCTCGCGTGTGCTGCAAATCTTTTACTCCCTCTCAATGAAACGAGGTACAGGAGTTGAGTGATGTAATGCGTGCCGAGGAATCATCACGGTGAGTAAAAATAAACATATGTTCCGGGACTTGTGTGCGTTAGTGTCGGTAATAATGCAGCGTATCGAGCAGTCGTCGCGAGTTTAACGGGCACTCACTGTTACGGGTCGGTCTTGAAAGTTCTCCAGGCTCAAGCACCAGGTGCTTCGGACTTGGTATCTTAATTAGAGACGAAAAGAAAGAAGGAGAGAGGCGGAAAGCAAAAACGCGGCTGATATCAGAAAGAGAAAGAGCGAGCACACGGGCGGAAAAGCCCCACTTGGCTTATCTCTCTTTCTTTCTCTTACGCACGGGTTCATGCGGACACGCACTACTCTCATAATAGGCAAACAGAAGGATGGGTGGTTCGTGCGTTTAACACAACCACTAAGACCACGACACTCAAAAAAACCTGGATTAATGTTGCTATATGTATTGATGTCGACAAATATATAAGTATATTTATGCTGTTATGTACAAAAGAAGAAGACAGAACAGAAGCGGTAGAGGCAACTGCTGCGAGGTGCTAAGCCGTGCGAACGTAGGTATATATGCGAGCGAGCGACTGTATATGTATGAGAGTATATGGACGAGTAGCAGGCAGCAGCAGCAGCTATTCAGCTCGTATACTTGGGTATTTTGTTGAGTATTTATGCGTGTATCGATATGGGCTTAAGGGTGTACCTTGTTGCTCGTGCTTGGACTCGTCACTCATGTGTTGAGGGCAGCTTGTAATTAGAAATTTTGGTCACTGACTGTTACGAATGATACAATTCTGGGCCTAGTTCACGAGGCCGCGGGGCTGCCACATGCCGAGCTCTTAGCCGAACCGTATGGCAGTAGCAGCAGTGAACTGAACATACATACTCGCGCGCGCGCGCTCTCTCTCTCTCTCTCTCTCTCTCTCTTGCTCACTCACGCTCGCTCAGTCTCTTGCCTGTGCCTGTCTCTCTTTCTCTCTCTTCGCGTCGAACTTCTCGCGACACTCACACCAACAGAGAGAAAGAGCGGACACGCATACGTATCTATCTCTTTCTCTGTCTGTCTTTCTCTCTGCAGAAACTGAGCGAGGATCAACATCAGCAAGTAACGAAGAGAGCGTTAGAAAAAGTGAGAGAGAGAGAGAGATTCAAGTCGTAGTTGTAGTCGCGTTTGTTCGTTCGTTTCGTACATTTTATACACAAATATAATAATACATCTATATATCCCTACTCAGGCGATTACAATTCGCACATATACGTGCACACGCATTGGGAAGAATAGAACGATCAAGACAGAGATAGATGGAGACTGGCTAAAATATATATGTATACATATATATAATATGTACATGTATATGTATAAACCCATACTTTTACATCGCTTCATATGTACTTGTACGCTACACACATACGTATCGGTATATATGCATTTCTGTGTTGCGCGAGTAATGTAACGGCGAGAAAGAGAGACGGCCAGCAGTAGCGGATGATTTTTTTCCCTTCTTTTTTCTAACATGCACGAGTTAGCGAAAAATCAACGACGAGGATGATTATGCGTTCCTATCTGTCGTACTATTTACAATAGGATAATCGTGCATTTATGAGATTTTGCATATGCATTCAAGCTTCGCATGTATACAGTCAGCATAGTGTACAGATGGGTATTATAAAACACAACAGATATTATTATATTATATAGATGCACGTAGACATGGAGAGAAAGAAAACGAGACCAAGCGACCGAGAGAGAAGAGAAGAGAGAAAGAGAAGAGTAGACGATGTCTGGCCAAATATAGCGAGAGACACATATCGAGTGAAAAACGAACGAAGAGAAGCAGAAAAGTCCGGCCCGGTTCGAGTATTATAAGGGTGCATAGATGCAACGGCAATAGCAACGGCAGGTCTCAGTGTTGCAATTTAACTTGGGTACTTCATTATTCGCGTATAGGTGCCTAGAGCATACATCACGGGCTAGAACACGCGCCATGCGATGGGCTCTTGTTGCTCTCGCGCGCTACGGGTACATTTTTATTCAAGTATATAATAGCGGTCAATAGCTTAAAGCTGCTGCCACTGCTGCTGTTTCTAAAGCATGAATGTACCTAACTGCTGTTGCTGCTTATCACAATGTGGCGCGTCGTTGTTCATCGCCTTCGACATATATATATATGTGTATATACGTTAAATAGGTACACATAGTAAACGAGAGACTTAACCTCGTGTTTCTTCAGCAGCAGCAGCAGCAGCAGCAGCAGCACAGCAGCCGCAGTAGTTCGAAAATATAAGCCATGTCTGTCTCTTTCTCTCTCTCTATTTCTCATACTCGCCACGCGCTCGTTTTGTCGCGTTCTTGTAGCATTGCCTCTGGCTTATACGATCCCTTACAGAGTTGCAGGCAAAAGCAGCAGCAGCAGCCTATAAGCGTACGTAAGCGCGAGAGATGATCGCGTAATACGTAATCGTCGCATGCGGAGCTGAGAGGCGCTCTCAGACGAATTTAAGTCGTATGTATGTGTATATTATATGTAACGTATGAAACGCATGTGTGAGTCGTCGACTGATTCGTTGCTTCTCCGCTTCGAGACACTTTGAAAAGCTCGAAACGCATTTTTGTTTCTCTTTGGTGTGCAGAAGAGATTTTATCATTGTTTGAAAAGCAGTACAGAGTCGTAATGTAAACGATGATGCGTTATGGCTTACCTGCCGTTTGGTGCGTCGTTGTTTACGATTGTCCCAATGCCTTGAAGCAAGCGCAGCACGCGTGTTGTCACGGACGCGCACTACTCACTCTCTCACAGCTGCTGTCTTGGTCGTCGTCGTCGTCGTGCACGACACAGAAGAGAAGGGCTCAACACGCGGGGTGGATAATAGAGCCACGAGTTTTTGCAACACTCGCGTATATCCGCCGTATGCACACTCGTTGCACTTGAGCTCGAAGCACAGAGCAGCAACTTTATACACACTCGCACGAACACACGCGAATAGCGCGCCAAAAGAATAACGATAAAAAGAGGGAAAAGAAACGAAGAAAAATTGTTGTAAACTTTCACACTGCGTTTCTTTCGTAGTTTATAGGCACCGCAATCGCGCGAGTAGCAGTTGGAAGTAACAGCAGCACTGTACACAGCAGCACTAGCAGCAGCAGCAGCAGCAGCAGCAGCAGCAATAGTAGCAGAAGATGACGACTACGACAAAAGTAGCAGTAGCTGTACTTAGTTGGTATGCGCCGATGAAAAGTCGCCGACCTGCTCGACGTATAAATATATATGTCTGCGATGTGTATACGCTCGACCGTCAGTATGCGTGCGAATTACACACGACTACGAGACGAGATAGGTGCAGTTGAAATGCAGCAATCGACTTTACACGTATACGAGTTCACGCTGGGCTGGCTGGCACACACTGCAGATCGCACAGAGTCAGCTCACTAAAAGAGAGAGAGAGAGAGAGAGACAGTCTAACACAGACAGCCAGCGAGAGAGAGATAAAGGCAAAGAGAGCACACTGTTTTAGACACACTGTCACACATGTACACACACACACGCGCACACTGGGTAACACTCGTTGAGGAACAGAAGAGAGAAAAAAAATCAACGAGGCAGCGGCAAAAAGTTTGTGCACTTGTTTCACTGGCGTCTGCGAATAGTCAGCTCGGCGCGATTCTCTGCTCTATGCGAACGGATTACGACGATGACGGCGACTACTACACGGCTGCGGTGGCGGCGGCGGCGGCGGCGGTGGCGGGCGAGTCTCTCTCTCTACAGTATATAATGCTCTCTGCCTTACACTAATGTACTCTCTGCGCTGTGTGTCCGATGCTTGGTATAGCAGCGATAGACGACGACTACGTGTAGCTCTCTTTTCCTCTCTCGCTCTATCGCTCTTTTTCTCTCACTCGCGAGCACGACTGCTGCTCTGCAATTGTGTGCGTATACGTACGTGTGGCTTGCAGCAAAGACCGAAATACTGTCTTTCCTCTCTTTTTCTCTTACTTGCGCTGACTTGCCTTGTACACATAGGTACACTTATGCACACTGACTTTGGCTGGCTCTCTACTCGCTCGCTCGCTCGATCGCTCTAGTCACCGAGATAGCAGTGCTACGCTAGTCAGTATAGGTATAGGTATAGCGAGTAATATCGGATCTGCTATACAGAGGCGATATGTGACGGGCACATCTCCAGTCTCCTCTCTTTCTCTCGCACACACGCAGCCAGGCTGAGGCAGGCAGTTATAAGCTGATGGTCTCTTCGGCGCGTTGCTCGCGGCGGCGGGCACTTTTCACCTCTCGGCTCTCGGCTCTCTCGCGAGTCTCACGTCGGCCGATCGTGCCGTGCCTCGAGCCAGCGGGAATGTCGTCGTCGTCGTCGTATATATCGCGTATATGTATATTTTACGCGTATATCTATACTCTTGCTTGTCTCGTCGTGGGCGCGAGCTACCTATACATCATGAGCACCTATAGGTATGCATTACAGTCGCCGGTGGACTCTGGCGCGTTCTGTATATATGCTACGAGCACTGCTCTGCCTCGCTCGGTGCTGAAGCAGCAGCTCTATCATGTATACGCGACGACTGCACCACGCAGGTGTCGTTCAACGCCGACGATGCCCCTCGCCGAGCGGCGGCCTCAACATGTCGATCGCATCTCGAGGTCCGAAACAGCTGCTCTGCCCGCAACTTCACCGGACACGACCCTGCGGACGATTCTCCTGGCGGGAGCGCACTACGTACGCGATGTCGTCGTCCCCGTAGTACGAGTAGCAGTGCGTCAACGTGCACATCGGTAGCAGCAGTAGCAACGGCGTCGCGTTTCGTACGAATCGCGTCGGTCCTATCAAGCCCACACTAGCGAGTAATAAGTGCGTGTGGATTTATACCTATATAGGTTGCATATATGAACGCCGTTCTGCGCTCGTGGTGGTGCAGCGCTCTGCACAGCCCAACTTGATATATACACGCGTGCTATATGATATATATGTTATTTTTACGTTACATGGCAGCGCTCGGATCAAGCCCGTGTACTACGCACACATTCTAGTGTGCGCGCGATCGCGTTTTCCTTGCGGAAACTACAAAATGGCCGACTCACATGTATATAGATATAAGCCGTGAATGGCACATGCTGGCATGCCGTCCGTATATAGTCCTATACACACACACAAAAACATACAATACGTGTACGCTCGGAGTGCACACATGCGCTCTTGGCACTCACACAACCTCGCGCGAATCCCGTGCTCGCTTCTCGGCTATGTGCAAATTGTATACGAGCTTGCGCGGCGCGAATCTTCGCCACCGAATCCCCTCCAATGCTCGTCTCGCTCAAACATATAGCTAATACACACTCATTGAAGTAGAGCTGTTGTAGGTGCACACGTCGGTGCATACGAGAAAGAAGTTTCGCTCGTCGGCATGTTTATGTGTGCGCGGCGCAGGCTCGCATGATACATAGACAAAAACATGGGTGTAAGTGCACATAAGGGACGTCAATGTGTACTGGCGAATATGGGCTATCGCTATGCGCCTCTATATACATATTTTCCTCGACGCGTTTATACGTGCTCTGTTATCCGTGCTATTATACCGTGACGAAGCGCCTATGAGCTCTCGCTCATTTCAGCGTCACCTTTTGCTTCGGCGGACCGACAGCGTTAACGCGTAGGCGCTTTCTATGATCCTTTTCATATCAAGGGAATACGAGAGTCGGGCTAAAACTACCGGCAAGAAACTTTTTTTGACATTTAACAAAGTATATTGCTTTGACTAATTGAAAATTCCTCTAACGACAATTTTTAAATCTAGGTGTGTATCACATATCGAACGTTTGAACTAGAAATACGAGTGTAACAGTTGAAATTTTTTGGTGGGGGAAGTAAACACGATGAAAGACTCGAATTTATTGTTTTGCTAGCTGTTGCGAGGCAGACGATTGATTCTCGGCTTTGTACGTAGCGACATTTTTGAATATTGGACTTTAACATAACTTCTGTCCATACAAAAAGCAGGCAAACACACGCATGCACATAGAGACAAGAGGCAATCGGATATAATGTGACATTTATATCCCTCTTGTAGTTTACACTCGTGACCCACATTTGAAAGTGTGTGTTTTATATTTTTTAAAAACTGATTTCTTGCGTGAGACTTTTGAAAAGTCATCGACTCTGGGCAGGCGGTAACCGTCGCTTTTGTGCAGTGACTTGTACCGCCGAGACTCGTAACGTTTGATAAGGCTGGAATGGCGCTACCAAAAAAACTGCGAAAACAAAATGCACATCGAGTCACGAGCGATAGTCTATTGTAATAAGGCGCGCGCTATCCGCAATTCATTGAACGAGGCTCGATCAACGTCTAACGTTACGCTCGTCCTCTCTCTCTTTTATTCGTTGCCTATGGCTAATTGCCTTTCGAGGAATCCCCATGAGTCGGTTTTGTTTCTCCCTGAAGGATCGGTGGCTGCTCTGCTGCTTAGCTCTCGTATCACTCTGCACCCGATACATGTTTGCGCGAGCATATCTTTGTATATACATTTATTATCAGAAATATTAAACCGTACTGGGGATCGTGTTACCACGATCTTACAAAACGGCCCTCATACAAGGCATAAGCGTATTTTATGTTGAAGCAAACGAATTCGCAAGCCAAGCTGCTGCTGCGGCTGACGATTTTTCGTTTGTGTAACGTAGATGCGTGCAAGCAGACGACGCTTATATCTCGCTTGTGCCGAGCGTATGAGAATCATATTCAAGATAAATAGTCCGGGTAAAACCTGCTATATATAATAATAATAACAATAACAATAATAATAATGTACTGATAGAAAGAGTGTATGGTCAAAAAATTGCAACGATGATCCGGCAGATATGCAAAAGCTTATGGTTCTGCATGTATCACCACATTAATAGTAGAGAGCTTTTGCTATAAGGGGGAGGGTCGCGTTAATCATTCACGCGTCGATCATATACATACTGTGCTGAAGAAAAATTACCTCAAATCAGTTCTTGGAGTCATTTTTATTACTTTTACGAATAGTCTAATAACGTAAATAAGCATCAGTTAAGGCACTAAGCCGCATACTGTTTATTTTATTTTATTTTTTACATGAATACATATGAGTTTGGTAAATTTGGAAGTTTTTTGGTCGTTACTACTCTCGTGAAAAAATCTCGAAATTCTAACCCGAATTAAATTGAAGTAGAAAATGACTTTCTTCGTATGACTTTTATAAGAGTTTTTAATACTACGTGATTCGTTGCAAGATTGAAGCTCATGTTTTTGTATCATAAAAATGATTTAGTCTGTAATAGTTTGTTTGGATTGGAAAATAATTGCGGGTGTTGACTTGTCTGGGTCTCCCCTAAGCTCGTTCGAGTTGGATGTTGCAACTACCGCAGACATTGTAAATCCAGCGTAGTAGGGCTCGTCGCCACGTTGAGCATGATCGAGAATAACAAGAGTAGCAGGTTCGTTGCCACAGCAGTCCCCGTGACACTGTAATCACTCCGTCTATAGCAGTTGCAGCGTAAACGATGAAAATTCAGTCGAGTTGCGCGGGAGCCGAGCGCGGGCCATTACGGTCATGATTCTAAGCGTGTCGCTCGATATTCGGTAACGAACTCGACGCACGCTGCAGACAATGATTTCTATCGATCGATTTCATTTTTTAATGCCTCGAGAACGGTTATAAGTTGTGCGTACGCGTAGTAACTTATTAGGCTGCTATGCTGCTGCTGCCGCAATAGCGCGCGTACGATCTACGTGTACAATTTGGTTGATGTTGCATATATATGAGCAGTTTTTTCATATATGTACAACTTTTGTGCGGGGGGTTCTCGGATCTGCCCCAAAATTTAGTATGTTATTTGGGTATGTGAAAATAGCCTTCAGGTAAATTTTTAGCCCTCTAGGGGCCTTAGGGCCCAAATTTGGGCCCCTCGAAGGTCCAAAAATAGCCGTTTTTACCTATTTTTGCGTATTATTCAAATATTTGTAACTCGGGCACCGGTGCATATTTTTTAACTCTGAGGGTCGCATTTTTTAGGTCAAGACATGTACTTTTCGTAAAAAAATTATGTAGAGCTCGATAGACCAACCCCCGGTTATGGGGGGGCAATGAAGGGGGATGAAAAATCGCAAAATTGACGTTTTTTAGCTTTTTTTGAATTGATGCAGAAGGCGACTGGATTGACGTATTTACTTTTGCAACGTCTCATTTTAAAGGTATTTTTATTACCTTTAAATTGCCGTGCGCAGAATTAAGATTGGTTCAAAAACGACGGAGATAGAGCTGTTTAAAGGTGTCAACATTATGAAAAAAGGCGTTTTTTCGAGATTTCGATAAGCTGTAACTTTTTTCTAGTAACATGAATCTCTTTGAAATTTTATGTGAAAGTAGTTGATTACATGTAGTTTGAAGCCATGTAGGTAAGGATCTTGGTATTTGCCTCTATAACCGAAAACGAGGCCCCCGAAATCCGGCACTTTAGCCCTTATATAGGCAAAATACATGTTAAATTGGGCGGCAAAACTATTTGGTAACTCCTGAAATTATCGCAAAATAAACATAAAAAAAAAATCAAAAACCCCATATTAAACGTATTTTTCGACGAGGAATCCAATGGTAACCTCGAATTTGACCTTGAACATAACCTCTAAACTATAGCGAACCAAAATTGATTTTTCGCACGGTGACCCCCTTTTTTTATTTCAGATTTGAAAAGAGCGGAAAATTTCACGTTCAAATACATATTTCGTTTTTTTTTTCAAGGTAATTTTAAGGGCCCCACAGTTTGAAAATGAAGGCTCCATTAAAACTAATATTAAACTCAGCCAAAGAGTTTATTCTTGATCTGTGGGGCCCTTAAAATTACCTTGAAAAAAAAAACGAAATATGTATTTGAACGTGAAATTTTCCGCTCTTTTCAAATCTGAAATAAAAAAAGGGGGTCACCGTGCGAAAAATCAATTTTGGTTCGCTATAGTTTAGAGGTTATGTTCAAGGTCAAATTCGAGGTTACCATTGGATTCCTCGTCGAAAAATACGTTTAATATGGGGTTTTTGATTTTTTTTTTATGTTTATTTTGCGATAATTTCAGGAGTTACCAAATAGTTTTGCCGCCCAATTTAACATGTATTTTGCCTATATAAGGGCTAAAG